TTGTTATTCAGTTGCTTGGTTGGTTTCATCTCTATGATTTGGTGGACAACATTTTACCAAGTTTTTTGTTCCTCAATAATTGCTTTTTTTGAAGTCTTGTAACCTTATACTTTGTACCACCAGTGATAATATCTTGCCACGTCTTCTGTGTCTATTTTTTGGTTGCTTTTAATTATTGCAAATACTATGATCTTTTTAAGTAGCTCTTGCCTACATTATATTATAGGTAGCTCTCGATTTACAACAGTTCATTTACTGACTGTTCAAAGTTACGACGGCACTGAAAAAGTGACTTATGACCATTTTTCATACTTAGCGATCATTGCAGCATCCCCAAAATTCAGATGCTTGGTAAACTGGTTCATAATTAAGATGGTTGCAGTATCCCAGGGTCACATGATTACCTTTTGTGACTTTTTGACAAGCAAGGTCAATAGGGAGGCCAGATTCACTTAACAACCGTGTTACTAACTTAACAACTGAAGTGATTCACTTAACTATGGCAACAAAGATCATAAAATGGGGCAAAATTCACTTAACAACTGTCTCGCTTAGCAACAGGAGTTTTGGGCTCAGTTCTGGTTGTAAGTTGAGAACTACCTGTATTTGTCCAAAATGTCTAAGCCTTCACTTGTTCTCATATGGTATGATGGGTGGCTCTTTTAACTTAAGTTATACACAACAGTTTCCTCTAGCACCATGCCCAGAGTTCCTAATGATTCAGTTTTTACAACCAACTGAGAAAACAATGATGTCTGTCATTGTTTGCTGTCAGTGTGATAACTCTGTATTTTAGATTTGTCATAGTCTTTCTCCCAAGTAGTGGCCATCTCTAGTTATTAACCTGCAAATCTTTGAGTCTAGGAAGGTGAAATCTGCCGTTACTTCAACTTCCCTGCCTATTTGTATTGGGCTGGCATTAGCTTTTGACATCTTAGGTTTTTTACACCCACACACACCCATCCCTTTTTCATTCTCTTCTTTTACCTTCAATAGGGGATTATTTAAGTCTTCCTTAGTTCTACACATCAGAGTGGTATCATTTTTATATCTGCAGAGGTTGATTTTCCTCCTAGTAATTTTAATTCCAAATTCTAACTGGATCCTAGACCATCATTTCTCATGTTATATTCTGCATAATACATTCTAAATAAATAAGGTGACAATGTAGGGCAGACATGTCAAACACAAGGCCCGGGGGCTGGATGCGGCCCACGAAGTGGTTTCATGTGGAAACCTGGAAACAGTGAGGAAATGGCCCCTGCTGCCTTGGCCCTGGCCCTAGCTGCGTTTCTTGCCTGTTTTTCTCCCTCCCTCATCTCAAATATTTTCCCACCACTCTGTACTTAGGAAGGAAGAAAGGAAAGAAGAAGGGGGGGGGTCTGAGGGAAGTCCTGCCTTAGTCCGGTCCTGCTGCCCTTTTACCATTCCCTTGCCCCCTCCTCCTGGCCTATCCTGGGGGGGTCTCCCATCCTATTGCTCAGGAAGCTTTGGATACAAAGCCAGGTCTCCTCCCATGGAGATGGAATGGGCCTCCCTCTGACTTTGCCCTGGTACCCATCATGAGCAACCTGGCTAAGGAGAGCAAGCACAGCAGCAGCAGCCTTGAGGAGTAGGTAAGTGCAGCTGGGTGCCCCCTTGGGGAAGTGGGGCTGGGCTTGGTGCTGCAGGTGGTCAAGGGCTAGGCTGGGCATTTGACCTCTGCTGCCCAGGGCTCCAGGCAGCCCACACCATCATCCAGCCACCCCACATGGCCTGAGAGGAACAGTGAGGCTCCTCAAGTGGACCATGCCTTGGCACTTGCCCTGATCCCACCTCCTTCTGCCAGAGACCCTCAGATCTGTCCTACTCCTGCCCAGGCCCCTTTGACACAAACGATGTAGAGCTGGCCATGCCCACCCAGTAGGCCACACCCACTCCATGCCCACCCAGTAGGCTACACCCACCCTGGCCACACCTGCCCGCCCCCCCCCGAGGGCAACCGCAATGAAATTGAGTTTGACACCCCTGATGTATGGGCTTGGCTCATTACTTTCCCCATTTTGAACCTCTTCATTGCTTTATAGTCTATTCCAGGGGTAGGCAACCTTGGCTCTTTTATGACTCGTGGGTTTCAAATCCCAGAATTCTTGAGCTATGCTGGCTCAGGAATTCTGGGAGTTGAAGTCCACGAGTCATAAAAGAGCCAAGGTTGCCTACCCCTGGTCTATTCTAACTATTCTTTGCCGCCATAAAAATTCTTCAGCAGATAAAGTGGTACGGTACATGTTTTTAAAGGCTGTACAAGTTTATTACAGTTTATATGTTTGCCTTCTTTGCAGCAATAACATACTGCTGGGTCATATCAGTTTGCAGTAGTTTAAGATTCCAAGATGTTTTTCAAAACTACTAGTATTAAGCCTATTCTCCCCTCATCTGATACTTGTGTATTTAATTTTTATTTCTAAAGTAAGGAACTTTGCAGTCGTTCTTGTAAAAAAAAAATGCTGTTAGTTTCAATAAATTTCTTCAACCTCGAGCCAGCTTCATTCATTTTGTTTTCTGAGCAGGAATGTGTATTTTTAACACATAGTGCAACACTGTGTTCTTTTCTATTGCTTCCGGTCCTTTTGGACAGATGTTCTCCTTTAATTACTGTATTCCTTTCATGGGAGTCATCCTGCCAGATTTCCATTATACCATTACCATTTGCCCTTCTGTACTAAGAAATGAAGCTCAGCTTATTTTCATGTTTCCCATATTTTGAGCATTACTGTTTGGACAGTGAAGCTTATACATTTTATGAGCCAGCATTCTTTTTGATTGTGCTTGAGTGGTTTAATAGGCTTCATTTAGCAATATTTCCATTTCTACAGGGCATAACTCTAAAGTCTTTAATTCAGAGTTTCTGTTGTTCATCAACAGGATTCAATCAAACCCCTCCTAATTAATTTTGCTTTGTCTAAAATACAGTTTTGCTATTCCATGTGAGGTTTAGCCCATCATATAATATAATGATGATAAAGTTGGAAGGGACTTTGGAGGTCATCTAGTCCAAACCCTTGCTCAGGCAGGAACCCTATACCATTTCGGACAAATGGCTGTCCAGTTTCTTCTTAAAAACTTCCAGTGTTGGTGCATTCACCGCTTCTGTGGACGCAGGTTGTTCCACTGGTTAATTGTTCTAACTGTCAGGAAGTTTCTCTCTTTGATTAGTTTCCATCTGTTGCTTCTTGTCCTGACTTCAGGTGCTTTAGAAATAGCTTGACGCCCTCTTCTTTGTGGCAGCCTCGAGATATTGGAACACTGCTATCATGTCCCCCCTCGTCCTTCTCTTTGTTAAACTAGACATACCCAATTCCAGCAACCGTTCCTTATATGTTTTAGCCTCCAGTCCCCTAATCATCTTTGTTGCTCTTCTCTTTACTCTTTCTAGAGTCTCAACATCTTTTTTACATCGTGATGACCAAAACTGGATGCAGTATTCCAAGTGTGGCCTTACCAAAGCATTGTAAAGTGGTATTAATACTTCACGTGATCTTGATTCTATCCCCCTGTTAATGCAGCCTAGCACTGTGTTGGCTTTTTTGGCAGCTGTAGCACACTGCTGGCTCATATTTAAATGATTGTCCATTAGGATTCCGAGATCCCTCTCACAGTTACTACTATTGAACAAGGTACCCCCTATACTATATATGAGCAGCCTATCAATTTTGTTCCTCAGGCAATGGTTACAGGAACCAAACCTTCCTTCCTTCCTTCCTTCCTTCCTTCCTTCCTTCCTTCCTTCCTTCCTTCCTTCCAGATAATAATAAATGATAATACTATCTAAATCCCCAGAGATTGAGCTTCCTTCCAAGATTTTATATATCTATGATAATATAGTTAATAGTTGTTATGTGCAGTATTATTTGTCCCAAAGAGTATCAGTAAGAAGGAATAATTTAGCAAATCTGAGAAGTCACTTTGAAGTTTTGTTGCATTCTTGAACCTGGTATTACAAAATACTTAAGGAGGCAATGTGTCGTATCGGCATATGTTTGTGGGTCATATCAACATATGTTTGCTTCAGGTCTGTATAGTGGGGCTGTACTTGTCTTATTATAGGACACAGTTGTGCTCTTTCTGTCCTTTATGGATTCATCATCATGTCTCCCATTCTACAATGTCTCTTTTTCTTCTTCTGAGTATGCAGAGCGAGGTTCATCCGTGGGGCTCTGAAAACTTCTTAAATTCTTGCTGCGCAGAATATCTTCTAGGTTTTTAGCTTCTAGCCCATAACTCTTACCTGCTGCATAGGCTCCTCTGTGTCTTCCTTGTAGAGCAGTGTTTCTCAACCTTGACAATTTTAAGGCATGTGGACTTCAACTCCCAGCATTGCTGGCTGTGGAATTCTGGGAGTTGAAGTCCACATGCCTTAAAATTGTCAAGGTTGAGAAACACTGTTGTAGAGAATTGTTTTCACAGTCCATTTCTCTTGTTGAGAAATTGCTTTCACTCTCCATTTCTCTTTTTTCCTTGAACTGACAAATCCTTGCCTTTTTCATCAAATGTGGTTGCTCTCTGCTGGAGGGCTTTGACATTTTTTTCAAAGACATTTGCAAGCTCACATTTGCTGAACATAAACCTGGGATTGATTTTAGGAAGGAAGAAAAACATGCCACAAGGAGAGCAGTTCATAATTGTACATTGTGTTAATTGGCCCTCACTTTTGTCTTTTTAGAGCAACACAAGTAGGAAGATTTTTATTTCTTTCTGTTCCTTTCTCTGTTATATTAGCCAGGATTCTTGATGTACAAGGAAAAATTGTTGGGGGCTCCCCTGATGGTTAAGTAAATTCCTGTTAGCTTCCCCTCTTCTCTTGCTTATATTGTGAGTATTTAAGTAAGCTTATTCATTGGACTGGTTTGTATCAGATTTTTATTTGTAAATTATGCTATCTTTAACTTTTTCGTTCAAAAATAATGGAGAAATATACAATACACTCAATTGTTCTTTTTTTTTCTTTTTCTTTCTTGTAGGGCACAAAAATTGAGCAATGAATAAATTACGGCAGAGCTTCAGGAGAAAGAAAGATGTCTACGTTCCTGAAGCCAGTAGGCCACACCAATGGCAGACAGATGAAGAAGGGGTTCGAACTGGGAAATGCAGCTTCCCGGTTAAGGTAAATTAAGGATCTCTGCTGTCAGTCACCCCCAGTTTCCTAGAGCAACTGTTGCTTTTTCTTTTCTTTTATGAACTGTAAAATGGCAGAGAGTAAACTGAGGGGCGAAGAGAAGAGGCAAGTGTGGAACAAATTTGTGAAGGTGTCTGTATTTATGTGTGCATGTGTGTGAGAATAAGTGTAAATATATAAGAACAATACATAAGAATAAATGGATGGGTGCAAGAATAATAGGAGGAATTAGAAGGAGAATTTTGTGTGGCCATTTAAAACCACATCTCTGCCTTTTTCTGTGATTTCTAAAAATGTTTTGGATTCATGTTTAGCTCTAGAGTTTGTGCTGCTTTCCAAAAATCATTTATGTTCCTTTTTTAAAAAATAAAGAATGAGAGGATTAGGGACTTAGCAGGCACTAGGGAGTGTTCTGGCTCTGAGTACTGCATTGTTATCTTGGAGGTGAATATATAGAGATGAGGTTTACACATTGTAGTAAGCCCAGTTTAATTAACCATATTTTATTGGATGTAAAAGCACAGCTGGCGAGGTTTGCATAATTCCATGATATAAACCACGGTTAAGAAATCATGATGGTTGCTGCTTCCCACAACATATTTAAGTAAAACATTACAAATCAAATTATAGCTTAAAGCAGGAGTTTTTAGACATGACCCTCTTCCAGCAAATATAAGGTGGATCATGGATTCTTGGGTATCTGGAAAGGTTGAAAGCTGGATGGAGAAGGAAGTGCTGCACCTTCAGAATTGTGATTCCTGATCATGGCAGGAAGAAGGGAGTTGTGTCTCATGTGATACATAGCTGAGGAAGGAGGGAAATTAACACTGTGACTGGAATCTTTGGACAATAAATCATCTGGAATGAGAGTTGGCATATTTTGTGAATGTAACCAAGGTGCAAAATTGGTAATTCCAGCCTTCAGAAGGATGACAAAACAGACAGGAGCACAGCATCTGCGGAGCTACTATGGCGAAGAAAACATGCTTCCAAGACCCCACCAGGTTGACCTTGTTTCACTGAAGGGGCCTGGAGTATGCTCACTCTGCCATATTCAGTAGGAGAGGATGGAAAGCATCAGGAATAGGCAGGCCCAAAAGTAACCTGGCCACGAGTCATGTAGGGCTTTAAAGGTGACATCTGACATTTTGAATTGCACCCATAAACCTGCTTGGAAAGTGGTGCAGCTCACTCAGCAGTGGTATTACATGGGCATACCAAAAGGTTTTCACTGCTACCCGTGCTACTTCATTCTGGACCAGTTGCACATTCCAAATGCTCTTCAAGGACAGCCCTATGTCAAATGCATTACAGCAGTCCAATTAAGATTACTTAGGCACGAGTGACTATGAACAGTGCACTCCAATCTAAGAAAGGCTCAGTTTGTGCACTAGATGTATTTCCTGGTCATGGATGCTACCTGCTTTTTGAATTGAGCCATGAGCACAAGAGAACCTCCAGATTGTACATGAGCTCTGACTGACAAATATCACTCCAGCCAGAGTTAAAGATGGCAAATCACTAGATATGGGAGACCCTAAAACCCACAGTCTCTTAGATTTGTCATGGTTGAGCTGAAGCCAATTTATTTAATCTAGACCAATTAAGGCATCAGTACCTCAATGACATCACTTGGGCACCCTGATGCAGTACAATCAAGTATCATCAGTATATAGATATAGATGGTACTTTACCCTGTGCCAATGAATTATCATATCCAGCAACTTCATGTAGATGTGGGAAGAGAGTTGAGCTCTGCTAAAGTAGGGGCCTAGGACTAGATCTCTCCTGTCCCTATCCACACTGACTGGAATGGCCTTGGATGATGGAAAGAACCATTGAAGAGTTGCTTTCCATTCCAGATTCCCTCAGTTGGCTCCAAAAATACCATATTAAAAGCTGATGATGGATCAAGTAGGGCCAAGATGGAGGTGTACCACTTTCATCCTGGGCCTGTAAGAGGTCATCCATAACCACAATCAATGCCATCTTGATATTGTGCCCCATTCTGAAGCCTGACCAATGGATCAAGATTATCCACTTGAAGCTGTAGCCTGCCCTACTACCTTCTCTACAACCTTATGCAAGAAGAGAAAATTGGACACAGGATGAAAATTGTTCAACACTCCTGTGTCCAGTGATGACTTGTGGAGCAAGAAACAGACCAATGCCTCCTTCAAAGCAGGTGGAACTGTTCCCTCCTCCAAGGAAGCATTCTGGATCCAGAATGAATTACCATACTGAAAAGCTTATTTTATAAGCCTGTTAATTGAAATACTGTTAACCTTCTGCCCTGTTCAGAGGATATTTTAATAAAAATGTCCCTATCTATTAAATAAATGTTCTCCAGATTGCTAGGATTATAAAAGTTTCTGCATGTCTTTCATATTAGTCAGAAATATATAGTTTTACATAAAAAGTTAATTATAGAAAATTGCTAGCAAAGGCAGAAAGTGTGATTCACACTAAAGAATGATAAATATGTATATATTTCCCACAGGGAGTCCATCTTCTCTGTGAGTAAATTCTTCATGTACCTAATGTCTTGAAATAATTTCTGATAAATAGCTGTAACCTTTACATTGTGCTCCTAACTGTGTTTTGTTTTTGGTTTCTTTGGCATTTTGATTACTTCAGATGGGAGGAAGTAACAAATGGTTGTGTTAAAGGAAGCAATTTTAAATGGATATGAAGGTAGAGTACATTACATAACGACTTAAGACAAGCTGGGGTGATAGAAACCAGCAGATTTCTTTAATACTAAGATTTTATAGTGGTGCTACTGTAGGGGTTCCCAACCCTGTGGCCCACTACTGGGCTGTGAGCTGTTCAGAACTGGGCTGCAGAAGCGGCATGCGTACGCGCATCCCAACTTGTACAAGCAGCGAGTGAATGCGTGCTCATGCAAATGGAACTGCGCTCACATGTGTGCACTTGCCGGCCCTTGCGTGGAATCATTCCCTCCCCCACAGTCTGCAAAGCTAGAAAGGCTGGGGAACTGTATGCTACAGGACGTCTTAGTAATTGATCCCAACTTAAGCAAAAGCTCTGGAATTTAAAAAAAAAAGTCATATCCTTTTCTGGATTTAGGAAATTTAGATGATAGATAGATAGATAGATAGATAGATAGATAGATAGATAGATAGATAGATAGTGTCAATGCTGCAAATACTGTATATTCTTGCTTTGACAATATGCAGAACTGTCTGCAGAGCAGAAGAGGGTGGGGGGAAAAGCCCGGGAAAGAGAGAGGAAGGAAACCTTTGACCTTCACACTGATTGGATAACGTAATATATGACTGCTAATTTAGGGAGGGAACATGCTGATAATTTAATTGCTTGGGGGAGGAGAATTTAGATCTTGGCATACCTCTGTTATGCCTGTGCTGACATTTTGTAACAATAAATGACTTTTAGGAAAATCAATGCCTGGAAGTTCTTTGAAGTGTTTCATTAGCCGGAACCATAACAGATAGATAGATAGATAGATAGATAGATAGATAGATAGATAGATAGATAGATAGATAGATAGATAGATAGATAGATAGAACGAACGTCAAAGCAGACTTTGTTGTAACTGTGGTTTCTGGAACAAGCAAGAGTCAATCTTACAGGCAGACAAAATAGACATGGATTGTTTTCTAATTCCTGATAATTTTCTAATTCCATAATTTTCTAAGTAATACCTCTGTTGTGTGAGCTGGATATTACCTTTAAAGCCTTGAATGGAACAGGACTGGTTCTTCCTAAGAATATCTGTCCATCATATGAGATTGGATAGGGTGGGCACTTTCCTAGACCCTTCCCTTGAATGTTGTCATCTTATGGATGCTTGCCTTTTCCATGGCAGCCCCATCTACCTGAAATTTGGCAGCCTCCCCCCTTTTAATGTTCCAAAAAGCACTCAAGGCCTGACTTTTTCCTCAAGCACTGGGATAGGGTGAGCTTTGTGAAAATGACCTGTTGTGGGCTTCATGGGAAAGTTTAGCTACGGTGCCAGGTCTTTGGTTTTAATGTTTTTAATATTTTTATTGTACCTGGGTGTGGTTTTATCACTTGATTGTGAATCACCCAACGTTTGGTACAAGATGGTGGTACTATTTGATTAGAAATTACTTTCTAATATTTGTGTTTTGGGGTTTCTTTTAATGACAGATTCGTTCACCTATATGCATCTCCTTTTATAAGGGTATTATGTATCTTGAATCTATTTATACTTTGCTAAGCGCTTTCTTTTCATTTCTGTGAAATAGTAAGGCAAATATGGTTTTTTATATTTGGGGATAGGAAAGCGTAGCTTTAAAAGTGTTTTGGCTCCTGTTGGATTACATGGCTATAGACAGGCAAGGGCAGAGACAATTGTAATTCAGGATCCTACATTGAATTACAGCAATGCATGGTTAAAACTAGGATGTATAAGCTATAGTTTAACATTGGGGCTTGTTTCTCAGAGAAACTATGGTGCTTCATTTGAGACAGATCACCTTAAACACAATAAATTACTGACTCAGCATTTGATTCAAATCTGATTAAGGTATAAAATATGTTGTAAATAAATATATACTCTCAATTTTTGAAATGGTTTCTTTTCTGAAATGATAAATGATATTTTATGAAGGCTAATTTGGATTATTTGTAGGATTTGAAGAGCATGAGGAAAGAAGAACTGTTAGAAAAGACGGACATTGTTGAACTAAGTACTTGTGTTTACTTTGCAAGTAAAAATGCTTTCAAGTTTGAATCTATAGATTTTGCCCTGTGGCATTTCTTTGTACAACAGTGTTATAAAATAACTTTGAGTAAGGCTGAAAATTCTAAAATGTCTAATTGTAATTTTAATCCACATAGACAACTGTATCTAGAGATTAACTTTGTAGGTTCAACTGGGATGCTTCAGTTAAAAATCACCTGCTTACTCTTTGCCTGGTTTCACATTACGGATATAAAATGCTTTGAATATGAAGCCGAAAAGGTGCTTTAGGGTCAGCATAGGTGCATATGCCCCACCTACCAGTGTTTCTATAAAGAAGTTGTGTCTTTTCCCAGCCTTTCCCAGAAACAGCAGGATGCAGTGAAAAGTCGTGTTTGAGTTAAGGAGAGGCTGACAGCAGGCCCTTGCCCATTTCTTGTTGGTTTCTTCAAAAGCATATTTTCCTGGGATTGTGTTGCTACTATGGGAACCAGAAAAAGATGCAGTTTCTTTAAGGGGGAACCAATAGATGAAGCATGCACAATCAAACCCCCACAAAAGCACCTCTTTGGCTTTGATTGTAAAGTGTAGCAGATCCTTACCTTCATACATTGCCTTAAAATGATAATATAAGTCATTGGTTTTGTATCATCACTATGGTTTGTAAATCATGATTTATGGCATAGCATTAGATACAAACTTGCAATTTCATTGATTCAGCAAAAATAGCTAAAACAAATCTTATATTAATGTAGATTAATCTGAACCCAAACTATTATGGTTTGAATGCTTGAAAAATGAATGTTTAGTTTAAAAAGCTAGTTTTGTCAGCTTTCTGAACAATTACTAGAGTTTCTTGTTTTTCTCAAGTGATATTTATCTTCACTTTCTTTTTAATAGTTTACTTTGTTGAAACACTTGTTATTTCATTAAAGAGACACTAAACCTATTGAATAGAAGTTCCTTTGCTTCACCCTTATTTAAACTACAGGAAGTCCTTGACTTACAACCATTTTTATAGTGACCATTTGAAGTTACAACGACACAAAAAAAGTGACTTACGACCATTTTCATACTTACGACCATTGCAGTATTCCTATAGTCATGTGATCAAAATTCGGATTCTTCGCAACATATTCATGATGGTTGCTGTTTCCCAGGGTCACATGAACACCTTTGTGTCCTTAAGACAAGCAAAAGTCAATGGGGAAGCCAGATTCATTTTACCACTGTGTTACTAAATAAACAACTGCGGGGATTCACTTAAGGAACTGTGGCAAGAAAGGTTGCAAAATGAGGCAAAATTCACTTAATAACTTTCTCGCTTAGCAACAGAAAGTTTGGGCTCAATTGTGATTGTAGTACTCACTTTATGTTTTATACCTGACTTCACGTAACTTAAGAGTTGACTTAAGTTGACTCAATAGCACTGTAGGGAGAATGTGATAAAAAACCCATTAAGAACTGACACTGAGGTTTTCATTGTATCAGAAGTGACTTCTCATTTTTTTCCGTCTTCTATACTATTACCATTGTGTTTGCTTTAGCACTTTTGAGAAGCTTCATTGGTTCATACAAAAGATTTGTGTAAATACGCTTTTAAGAAGTGTTGCAATGAATTCTGTACTAGAGACTTTAAAATATAACAATAATTAGAACCACAAACCCACATGCCACCAAATAAAGTATAAAAGTTAGTTTGCAGTGTTTACATAGCAGGAAGAAGTCTTATAATAAACAAACATAAGAGTCTAGTTGAACTGAAGAAAATGGAAACTAGCATAAATCACGAGGCTGGCCAAGAAGGATTTTAAGAAAGACATGGAAAGAATGATTATAGTGGTGTTTTTAAAAGATACTAAAACAGAAAATTAGTTTAAGGCAGCAGTTCTATTCATTAGTAAGATGCAAATGGAATCCTTGAAATTCTGGAAAGAAAAGATTTTAACTTCCTTTTTAAGAATTTGTGGAATAGAATAGAGTCTGCTGCAGCATTCAGTATGCACACTCATACTGATTCGCGGCTGATTTTGCTGGACCTCTTTTTCAAATGAACAATGGACAAATCCAACCACTAAAACCTTATCCTTCCCTTGTCTTCTACACTGATTTACTGATCTTTAGTTTTGAAGTGTTATGCCTGCCAATTACTATTCAGGTAAAACTGGTGGAATTTAAACACTACTGTTTATGTTTGACTTGATTGGAGAATGCTCAATTCCCTGAACTGATTGGGTTATAATAAGGTGACCAACCGTCCTCCTTTAGGGAGGACAGTCCTCCTTTTGTGAGTTCTGTCCTCCCTCGAAAAGTGTCCTCCTCCATGTCCTTCTTTTCGATATTTGAAGACTAATCTGCAGGGCTTTTTTTCCCTCATAGAACGCTCAGAACGGCGTTTCGGCACCTTTTTTGATATTTTTTTTCAACTTTTGCATGAGCTGTGCTACTCCCCCTATTGGCTTTCGAAAGCCAATAGGAATTGCTACTGAGCGCGCCAAAACATCTGGCCAGCAAACTTTGCACATGTAAGTTGTCTGCAGCGAAGGCAAATTGGCAGGAACTTTGCACCCCTCCCTGCTACCCAACTACACCATCTCCTAGTTAGTCCCGAAGATATCTGGAGGAGACTGGAGCGGCGACGCCACAGTAACTTTCTCTTGATCTTTGGCCCTGCTAGGGCAATAATGGCTGCGGGCGCAGGAGGCAGGGGCAGTGGGGCTGCTGCGGGAGGGGGTGTGAGGGGCGGCAGTGGCCAGCTGCCCCCCGTGCTGTGGGATCCTGCTCTACACGGGGCTGTGCAGGGTGGGCGGTGGTGCTGGTGGGGTGGCTGCAGGCGGGGTGTGTTGACGGCGGGCTGCCCCCCAGGGTCGGAGCCAGCACAGCTGGTGTTTTGGGAGCCGCAGGGCCCGCTCTACACGGCAGGGCAGCAGTGCTGGTGGGGCGGCTGCGGGCGGGAGCGCGGCATGTAAGCATAATTACAATATAAAATGTTATTGTTACAAATGTTTTTATTATGCATTTATCATATTATAGTGTATTCTGTATTATTGCTGCAATGAATAAAATATTTCTTTTATTTACAATATTTTTTTCTTCAATTTATTTGTGTCCTCTTTTTCATTGTAAAAAAATTGGTCACCTTAGTTATAAGTTTAAATTATTTACAAAATCTGTATATCCAACTTTCTTTCCCATTTTTCTTGGGTCAGGAATACGCAGGAGGAGTTCTATTTGCTCAAGTTTAAAAAGCATATGCCTCTGTAAACTCCTATAATTTTCTGACATTACTGTCAATGTCTTGCAGTACTGTAATCCCTCATAATAACTCCTTTTTCTGATATCTCTATTTAGTTCTTGTGTAACTACTGAATATCAAAAATTAAACCAAGTCAAGACAACCCTGATCTATGTGTTTCCCTATTTCCTGGTAGAAATACCTAGTATTTGTCTACTGTACTGCCTTTGTTTTTCACAGTTGAGAGTTGCCTGCCCAAGAATTCATTAAAGCAAAAAACAGGCAAGGAGTATTTGCAGTGGAATATTTTCAGTGAGCCTGAGAAACAGCTTGTCAGAAGGCGGGAGCCAAAAAAGATCAAAAGTCAGAAAAGGTTTTGAAAATTTCTTAACCCTGTAGTCTATTTGACTTTCCTTTTGTAACAAATACTGATTGCTAGTCAGGAAGCTGTTTATTAAAATGCCAACTGTACATGAGACCTCGTAATTTTACAACTTTTTCTGGATGAGTAGCATTTTTCTTCAAGGACTTGAATATGCATAAAGAATTTACTTTCAGGGAAAGTGCATTCTTTCCCTTGGCAAGTTATTTTAGCTATTCTTAAAAGGCTACAATAATATTTTAGCTGCCTTTGATCTAAACAACATAGCTGGAGTTTTTATCTCTCTTCAAAAGAATGGTTTTGAATAAGCATATAGCGTTGCAGATGTCCAGTTCTGGATTTTTTTTGTTTTAAAATAGTAACTTTTCAACCAGAGTGATAGCCAGTGTGGTATTAGTAAGTTATTAGGGTATGGGATTAGCCTCAAGGGGACCTAGGCTGTAGTTCCTCTGCAGCCATGAAGCCTCTTTAGTGACCCTAAGCAGTCAGAAGGTCTCAACTCAATCTACTTTACAGGGTTCTTGTTATAGTGAAAAAAGGAGGAAACACTATATAATGCTGCTCTGTGGCATTGTCTGTGGAGATTCTCAGTCATCCAGGTCATGGTTTCCCCAAAAGTGCTTGTTCAAAAGGCAACTGGGCAACAATCAAAACCAAAGAATGGTTAAAGTCAAAGAAGGTCAATGTTTTGGAAAGACCAAGTCAAAGTCTTGACTGTAATCCTATAAAAATATCATGGAAAGATCTGAAGCAGGCACTTCATGTGAGGAAGACCACCAACATCCCTGAGTTAAAGCTATTCTGTGAGAAGGACGGGATAAAATTCCTCCAAGCCAATGTGTCAGGACTGACCAATATTTATCAGAAACTTTTAGTTGCAGTTATTGGTGCTCAAGAGAGACATACTAGTTACCAAAGCAAAGATTCACATTCCTTTGCTGTACACAAATATGTAGCTTTGGTAATTTTTCTTAATAAATAAAACACATATTTATGCAAAAATACTGAAAATCCAAAAGGTTCACAAATTTTAAGCATATTTCTAGTGATTCAAGAACTATTCATCTGTTGAGGATTAAAAAGTTAATATTTATAAATAAATTTGTTTGCCTTTTTTGTGGATCATACTGTTAAAGTCATGTTCAGTTTGCAATCAACTGTCATTGCAAGATCTTTTTTCATAAGTGCTACATTTTTCTAACAGTGGTTTCTCTAATAGAGAAGGATGTTGATGTTAGATTACTTGGGCCAATTAAGGACTGCCCTGACTGTAATGGATTATTTTCTGTGATCCTCTTTTTAATGTGTTTTGTTGGATCACATCAAGACATTTCTGAACTGTCTTTTGATTACAGGTCTCACTGTTGCTTGATGTTTTGCAGCATTATGTAAGCTTACTCAAAAATTTGGAATTGTTGAATCTGGCTAACTGGATACAGGTCAATTGATCTAAACAAGTTCTTTCAATGTGAATCTTTTTTTCCCCTTTCATTGTTAGTATCTGGGACATGTAGAAGTGGATGAATCCAGAGGAATGCATATATGTGAAGATGCTGTGAAAAGACTAAAAGCTGTATGTATATTAATTTATATTACATATTTCCAGCTTCAGATTGTACATGTCTTTTTTTCTAAAAGCAGCACATTATTTATTAAAGTAATAAAAGTATTGCGTATTATTATTATTGAGAAAGTATAACTTAGGAAGATTGTTGAAACAATGGCCCCTTTTTGCAGTAGCTATCTCACACCTTAAATATTACTGAGAAACTTTGATTATCAATGTTGTGTTTGAAGTCTTTGAAGTATGATGTATCTATTGTCCTTGAGCTCATTATCTTTATATTAAACATCTTAACTATTTGGACTAATTCTCTATTCTAAGCAACCTAGACCAAAATTACTATGATATATATTTGTTCAGAGGTTTTCAGTTAAACAGCTGACTTTTGGTTCATAGAATTTTCATTCTCAACATCTGTTTTCACTTGTATATGAAGAAATTGAGAGGGAAAAAATGGGATAAAGATTGAAGTCCAGATTCCTCACTAATAAAAACAGCACATGCCATAATGGTCTTCCAACTGGTATTGTTAGCTTTTGCTGTTTACTATTACATTCTTCTGAAACAACAACCTAGACTCTAAAACTAAACAGCACAGAAAATTTGTTTATAAAAATTGCATGCAGGACAATTTAAAATAAAATAATTTTAGAAAGACACATTTGTTGTGTGACTTCTGCTTCAGACTTTCTGAACAAAACCCAGTAGTAGAAGTTAATGTAATCTCAATTTTTCACTGGTGTTTCTCTTGACTCAGTTAAAAGATGCCATTACTACTCTTAACTAGTTTTTAACCTAATATTTGCAATATCTCAGAGTAGAAAGAAATATGAAAAGAGCTGCTAAATATTTTCTAAGCACTTGTACAAAATTGAGCCCGTACAAATTAAAAATATTGACTCATAATACTAATTTTAATGATTTTTCCCCTTGCTGAAGTTCTTTTTTTTTCTTCTTCAAACCATATTTTACTAATTATTGAAAGAGACTTCTAATGTCACACGGGCATCAAGTAGTAAATTGCTTTTGTCATATAGACTAGTTTGTTACAAGCATATCTGAAATGCAATTTTATAGAGTGAACTCCCATTTTAACCTGATGGATTTCCTCAGGCATTCTAAAGTTCTGAAATGTTCCATGTTGGGAAAGGCAGCAGTAGAACATGATTTTCTCAAAACAATCCTTAAGCCGTTTAGAGGTGGTTGAGTCTAGATTTTCTTCTCAAATGTAGCCTTATTATGTTGACACAACAGATTGGCTTGTGAATAGCTGCACCCTTTGTTCTGTACTGTTTTAGACATTTTAATGTCTGTTTCTTGCTTCACTTAGTGTATTCATTGGATTTGGATAATTGCTGTATAACAAAAAATTACATGAAACGTTCCCCCCATTCCAAAAGACATCCTTTTTTCTCCTGTTTCCTTTTCCTTTTCCTAGGAATACTCACTCTCTCTCCCCCTTTTTTTTACACAGGGGAAAAAATATATCCAAGCTCAGTTAAACTACAGAGAATGGGAATCTTTTTGTTATTACCTATTCCATTATGAGGCATTTCATTAATTCTATTTTCAGTTATGTTTTGAATTGCATGCCTTGATATTTAGCATTATAAAGTTCTAATTAAAAGGAATGCTTGCTTGGAAATACAATTAAATCAATTTTAACACTGTGTTGTGCTAACTGTTTAAACTTTGGTCTATATTGAATTCTGTTGGCACAAAAAACATGTCAGACATTTTGTCAAAACAGTGAATCAATTTTGGAAGGACATGATGGTATGGTTTTGCAAATAATAACCATTGTTAATAGATAACCTAACATATAGGAAATAAACTGTGGGATTCTGACAGTAAGGGAGAAGCTGTGAAATTAGAGCTGTTTAGCTGTTTTCTGACTTGGCCCCTCCCAATCTGTTGGTGACCGCAGCTTCCAAAATTCTCAACACATCTTTATATTTCCTTCATACTTTTCAATTTAGCTAAAGTTGTCTTTAGTGTTGATGTTCTAACATGTCAGGCTTTTGTTTGCAAGTATGATACATTTGTTAATATATGTTCTTGTTTTAGCAGGTACGAGAAACATATTGTATTTAAAATATTAGTGATGTTTCTGAATATTAACTTACATAGCTATTCTAAATCCATTTTGCATGCTCTCCACCAATAATACTGTCTCTGAATCATCTCAATTTTTTCCATGTTAACATTTTCCAAAAATGAAACTAATTATAATCTCCCAAACAAGGTAGCTTCTGGTGTATCCTCTGAAAGATGATTATATTGATATTTAATGCTTAACTTGGCAGTGTGACAGTCAGTTTTAAAAAATATGTAGCTTTATGTTCTTATTATTCTCAACAATTATTTGGGAATTCTGTAAAATTGTACTGTAAATAATAAGCTACTTTGATCACTGAAGCATAGTATCTGTTATATATTTTTTCATTATATATTCTGTCTGTGTCAGCAAAAAAATAACTGTGATGATTGAAAGAAATCCATTGTTGATTATACAAGGGCCTAAACTAAACATCAGAGAAATTCATAGGCATGTGCCAGATATGGGAAAATATATAGGAAAAAATGACAACTTGCAGATTCTGTAAGTATTGTCTCTGAGAGGGGAAAATACTCATTTGCAATAGCACATCATATTGATGGAGTGGTTTTCTCCCAACTATCACGAACCTATGAATTTGGAAGACTATGATGGTGCGAATAAAAATATTTCATATGCCATACCAATGATTAGTACAAGAGCAAGCTAAACTCTTTTTTCTTCCATACCTTATTAATAGTTTTGAGAAAAATACATTGAGGCTTTTATTTGTGATTAAAACAGGTAAATAGCTCTAAAATAAGCTTCATGTAAAATGTATACTAATTCTACCAAATTTAATTGCATATCAAATTGTAACATCCATTTATTTAACTGGGTATGTTAAATATATATGGTATATTACCTCCGCAAATTGAAATTTGGATAATATTGGATAATAAACATTTTATAGTAGAAAAGAGGAGATAAATTGTGCTATGTAAAGATGTTGGGGTCCAGCTTCTTAGCCAGTACTGGCAAAAAGTAATGGAAGTTGTCATCCAGAACATCTGGAACAGTGTTTTTCAATCTTTGCACTTTAAGCTGTGTGGACTTCAACTCCCAGCTTCTCTGACTGGAGAATTCTGGGAGTCGAATTCCACACATCTTGAAGTTGCAAAAGTTGCTATTCCGGTTTTTAATAGAATACTCAATTTTGTGGACAGTTTCTGAAAGGAAGTATACAGAAAGAATAACTTATGTGATGTTAACAAGAATTTATTGTGAAGCCTTTTAGAGAAATACATTAGATTAGATACATATAAGATGCTCCACATTTTTGTCAGATCAGCTTTAGAAATATGATTTCTAAATGGGTGCACAGGCTTGAACACTTATTCATGCTATTTGATCTCTGTTAATATTTTCAGTTTTCAAAATGTCATAAATTAATCTGTATGTTCCAAGTCATCATCACCCAGTTTAGAATGAGTCCATGTCTGCTGCCAAGTTTGGCTTGTAACTCCACTAAAAGCTAAGGGAACAAACAAAATGAAGCAAGCATTTTGCATGAAATTGGATCTGATTATACTTTTTTCTCTTTCCACTGATTTCAGAGCTATAGCCTGTCCTAATAAAAGTCCATGTAAAGCCTTTTATTTGCATTTTCATGGGACTTTTCACCTCTGCCTGTCACATCCTCTATGGGTAACTCTAAGCATTCCCTATTTTCCTTCAATCCCCATTTTTATATGTATATGTTGGTTTGAAACCTGGGACACTTTAGCTACCTACAGTAATAGCATTCGACTTGTCCCCCCTGTTCCTCCAGGAAAGGAAGTTCTTCAAAGGCTTCTTTGGAAAAGTAAGTTTAATGATTCATTGTGTTTGTGCTGTAAGGAGTTACATCCATAGTATAGCATTGGGATATGTTTGAAATCCTACAAAATGGAGGCAACAAAACCTGTATTTGGGAGATTGTAAAACGTTCTCTGCTCACCCCTCCCTCAAAGGTCTCACATCACAGATTCTGTCCAAGCTAGAATCTTGGGGCTACATAATTTAGGGTTATATTTATAATTTACATTCAGTAAAAATTAATTTCAGAATTAATAAATGATCCACTTACTGTTCGAGATGTTGTGTGCTGATGTTTCCAACTCTTCTGAGTGTATGCATTTAAATTTTTCATCCTGTCTTTTCCTAAGATGACCATCAAGGTAATTTATGTGCAGATGTTCATTTGGAAAAAAAAAAGTATTGAAACAAAGCCAAAAAAGGAAAGGCAGACACACTGCAGCAAAATTAATAGTAACCAAGAACGGTGATATTAGTTCTACATTACATCACATTTAGGGAAGTAATACCAGAAATAATATGAGATATAGTCACAAAACTCTTGATTCAGTGGCTAAACCACACAAAGCCATAGACAGACATTAAAAGATGAACTCTCTGATGCTCAATTCGTAAGCAGATAAGTTCAGAAGACGGTTGAAACCAGGTCATTGGAATTACAAGGAAAAAGTATTGGGCCAATTAAAAAGAATTTTGCATGCATATGAGTTGTTTTAATGGAAGAGCAAACTGTTTCAGAATTCTTAACTTTTGAAGATAAGAAATCTAAGTTCAAAAAAGTTTGCTTTTGCATACATAAATTCAAATAATTTCTCTGAAATAAAACTCAGTGATGTTCTTCTATGACTAAAATTGTTTCCTTTATTTCAGACATGTCAAACTCGCGACATCACATGATGTCGTGCAACGTATCGGGACAGTTTTGCCATTGCTGGCAATGGGGTGGGCGTGGCTTCTGCGTGATGTGTCCGGCCCGTGGGCCGGAAGTTTGACACCCCTGCTTTATTTCATTGTACCTTATTTGTGGTTAAATAACTTTTCTTAACATCTGTGGTGATTACTATACTCTACTATAAAGTTGTACTCCTTTCTTGGAACAGAATATTTTACCTTAGCAGTAGTACACTTTTAGATATTTAACTGACTTCATATAAATTATTTTGTAATCCTTAATAACCTTCTGTAGACAAAAGTCCAATTTTATCCTTATTTTGCAGATAGAAGCTATGGTTGCTTGCTTAATGCTATTTTAATTAAGGTGAAGTTTGAGGGAAAGATAGCATGATTCCTAGTTTAGTGTTTTCATAAGTACAAAAACCAAAGCCATCCAATATTTGAAGCTTAAGCTTTGGCATGATTCAGGATGAAGACACTTTACTACATAATTAGATGAAAAATCATAGTACAGTTATAGCCAGAAAGGCAGAACGTAAATGGAAAAACTAAATCTTTTTGATAAATCTGTATGTTATGATGTGTATAACAGTCTTTTACCATACATGTTTAGTCTTAGGCTAAATTTTAAAGCTGTAAATAGGTTCACAGTAAACTCTAAAGATGTACAGTAGGTGAAAAAAGCAAACTAAATAACTATTGAATAATCTTTTTTATTACAGTAAAAAAGTACCAAATTAACAATATTTTAGTCACTGATCTGCCAAGTTATATAAGCTGAGAACTTAGCAAAGTATACCATATAAAAACTCGACTGAAATAACCTTAGCTGTGTTTAACGTATTATTACGTAAGCAAATTAGGTTATCCAATACAGGACAGAAGGTGAAAATTGCCACAGTCATTGAGCATATTATCTGTAAGAAATATATTTCTCTACAAAGAATGGTGAATGCAGATAATCAAACTGCTTTTCTTTTGGAACTGTGCTTCCCACTGTCATTTATGGTACATTCTTTATTATAATTTGTATTTGTACTGATTTCTAAAAGGCCAGTCTGGATGATGGATTTATGTATTTATTTCAATTTCTGTAGCTGCCCACTTCACGTATATGATTTTGGACAGTTTACAACAATTAAAACAATAGATGACAGCACAAAAACAATTCACCAATGTGTTATATCACTCACAGGAAGCTTTCAGTCAGTAACTCATGTCTCTTCTACAGAGTTACTGTGAGAATGCAATATATGAACTTCCTTGTGCCTTTAAAGAAAGGCAGGATAAAAATGTGCCTAATCTGGAAAGACCATTAGTATTTCTGGAAGGATGGTTTAGATGTTTTAAATAGGTTTATTTATTTATTTATTTATTTAATTTTATTTATATGCCACCCAATCCCAAAGGACTCAAGGCGGTGTACAAAATTAAAATAATCATCTAACAATAAAACAATAAAATAATACAATCATACCGCAAGTCCGATCATATCCCGCCCCCCCCCCTGGTTCATAAATGTTGGGATAGGAAATGTAGGATTTTAGTTTCTGTATTTATAGAAATATCCATATATCTGCAAGGATTACCTTCTGTTACCAGTTAGCTTAAAATCAAAGTAGAAGTGTTTATATCTAACATGAGCTCTTGGGGAAAGAGTAGGCTAAATTATGAACATGTTAATCTTAATGGCAGTGTTATGCATAACTCCTTTGAGAGGAACTTGGGTGGAATGTTGAGATAATGGAAAAGCAAGAACATTGAATGCTAAAAGTTGGAAGGGGGAAAGCTACATGTGATGTAACTCCTTAAGCATCAGAGTTAACTGACAGTTTATTTGGTTTTAAATAGGTAAAGAATTAAAGTTTGAATTCTTTGCCTTTATTTGAATTTTTTTAACCCACTTGACTCATCCTGTTCTTTCCCCTTCCTTTTGCATTGTGTTTTTAAAAATATGCTTCAGCTTGGTTCTCTGGAGCTCTTGCTGTTTGATCTGAATATCTGTCTTTGGGCACTCCTGCTGGAGTTGGATATCCTCTCTTTATGACTTTTGTGCTTCTTGGAAAGAGGAAATCAGAATTCAGCTTTTTTTTTAACAGCCTAGCAATAATCTTTTTTTCTCTTTTTCCTTCCCCGCAAGAGTGGAAAGAAGGCAGTTAAAGCAGTCCTGTGGGTTTCTGCAGATGGACTCAGAGTTGTGGATGAGAAAACAAAGGTTAGTTGCTGTTTGGTTTTGAGTCAGCATTGATTAAACAAAATGTTGTCTGATCCTTTCATATAAGTCAATACAAAATTTTGTCTTTTGATGTCTTCAGTGAACAAGTGTATGCCTAAATTTATAAAAGCAACAGGGTAAAAAAAAATCCTGATATTAAAGAAATATTGAACTGTTAAACCCTTGGTTTACTGGATCTAGTTTTACTGGATATGATAGGAAAAAAAATCCTACAAAATCCCACAATTGGCGAAATTAACAATCTTCTACTACATAAATCATGATGCAGAAACTATAGTGCTTGTGCTGGGTTTGTGTAGTATTTAAAGCCAAAATGAAACATTTCACATTATATTAGGACTTAGCACAATATTTGAATTCAATCAATGTTAGCTATCTCTTCCATTTGTATTGTTTGCAAATTTGATAAGCATGCCTTTTACACTCTCTTCAAATTACTAAGTAAGAAAGTTGAAGAGTAAAGGCTCTATGATCTTAAGATACCTCACTTAGTTTCTGAAGGACTTGCTATTAAGCACAATTTGTATACTATATTCAGACTAAATATATATCCATTCAGCCCCTACTTCATTAGCTTGTTAATTAGACAGTCATGAGACACTCTTCTAAAACCAAGATATTTTATAGCTGTGGTATTTTCTTAAGATACCCAACCAAACATCAGAAGGTTAGATTGGCAAGACTCATTCTTGACAAGTCTGTGTTGACTGAGTAATTCTTACTTTGTTTTGAGGCTGCTTATAGATCGATATCCCTATAATCTCCTCTAGAATATTCCTGAGTGTTGTTGTCAAAATAACCAATCTATAATTTCCTAGATTTTCCTTTTTTCTTTTGAAAAAAGGAGATTTGCCCCCTCCAGTCATCTAGCCCTTTCTTTTCTTCCATGATTTCTCTTATATATAGAAAGGTAGCTCAACCTTTTCTTTGTTATCTTATTCCCATTTTGCTGCCTTTGGTGAGCAGATGATATGTTGATTTTTTTTCTTTTTAATATCCGAAGAAGCTCTTTTTGTTTTTCTTGGCATCACCAAGATGTGTCCCCCATTGTTGCTATTAGATGCCTCTTTGAAAGAACTTTCTTTTGCATTTGGAGAGTATCAGCTACATTTTCTCCTTGGCTGGGAGGCACACTGCAACTTTTATTTGTTTCTCTGTTTATTTTAAATTAAATTAAATTCATGTTTATGGTGTTACCAGCTTTCCTCATATAGATTTCTTAGCAAATGTGCAACTCCATCTCCTTTTCTAGCAATGCTTCTGTTCATTTTGAAGTACTCCCATAATATAAATCATCTATCCAGGTCCCCATTATTTCTATGAAAACTTATTTGTCTTCCTGTATTAGAAGATAAATTTGATCTTACATATTTCTTCTATGCTGAGCATTAGTACAGAAATATTGAGGTTGTAAGCCAGTGTTTCTCAACCTTGACAATTTTAAGGCATGTGGACTTCAACTCCCAGAATTCCACAGCCAGCAATGCTAGCTGTGGAATTCTGGGAGTTGAAGTCCACATGCCTTAAAATCGTCAAGGTTGAGAAACACTGTTGTAAGCCAATGTTTTTTCACCTGTTGCTTAGTAGGTTACTTTCTAGCAACATTGTCAGCTTCTTCTAAAATACATTTGTTGCTCTGTAGGTCTACAACAGATCTGAAGATCTTGTATCTCCAATTCCCACAGAACTCATTTTAAAGCCATTCTGATCAAGCATGCCATACTTCAGCTAAATAAAATGTTACCAGTCCTTGAGAGATGCAGTGTATCCTAGGCCTGAAATCTGTATTTCTAAAAACATTTATCTGTATTGGGAAAACATTTTTGTTTTGAAAGACAACAAGTTGAAAAACATATTGTTGTGTTATTCCAAGTTCTTGGAATGACTTGAAATATATTGTTCTTTTTTTTTAAAGGATCTTATAGTTGATCAGACAATAGAGAAGGTCTCCTTCTGTGCTCCAGATAGGAATTTTGACCGAGCATTTTCCTACATATGTCGAGATGGTACTACAAGACGTTGGATATGTCATTGCTTTATGGCTGTAAAGGACACAGTAGGTCTCATTTTTACTCGATAAAAAGTTTGTCATTTATAAATCAATACTGGCTGGGTAATGTTTCCTGGATTTTAATTCAACTTTAGTATACAAATTATATAAAATAAAAAATGCATATTTTTTATTTGTTGGAAGCTGGTATTATGGCCTGGTGTAGTATAGCAACTGTGTGTTCGCCACTCAGAGCCCTAATTTATTGTGGCAGTTTATAAATGCAGTAAATAAAGAAAGCCCATTCGTAAATCTTACGGGTTTGAATCTAAATATATTAAATTTCTACAGATTGTCCAGTGCATACGTTGATACAAATGGTAGACTTCATCTGCTTGAGGTGTACAAATTATTTAAAATGTTTAAACATAACTGTTTTTTATAGCAATATTTTAGTAGGTATGTGGGCAACATATTTTAATATCACAACTAAATAAAAGTATTCAGTCTCCCTTTTTCTCCAAATGGTTAAAAATCATATGATTTAAAACTGGTTTCATTTGTTCATTTGAACCTTTTTGGTTAGATTTTACACAAAAAGGTTGATTATATGGAGTGCCAGCTATCATTTGGCAGCAGTTGGGTGGTTTCTGGTTTCGCTTCTAATTAATGTGAGATCTTTTTCAGGGAGAGAGGTTGAGTCATGCAGTTGGCTGTGCGTTTGCAGCATGTTTGGAGCGAAAGCAAAAGAGAGAGAAAGAATGTGGGGTGACAGCCACCTTTGATGCCAGTAGAACCACTTTCACAAGGGAGGGGTCTTTCAGGGTTACTACGGCAACTGAACAAGCAGAAAGAGAGGAAGTCATGAGACAAATACAAGACATCAAAGGTAATAGAATACAAATCTGGCCATTTGAAGTATAGGTTGTATTGTTGAATTCTTTCAAATGTTATAGATATTTGCAGGCCATATGAAGCATCAGTGAGATGTTTGGCTATAGCACCAGGTATAGCAGCATAATGTATTTAAGAAGCATTTCTTCATATTCTTGAAGCTGTAGAAAAATTCATTGTTTTTATATGATTTCACTGAATTTATATGGTTGATGTTTTCTTCATTTCTGCTTTTTATCTTTATGTAAACTCATGTATCTCACCCTGTTATGGAGAATATCTCTATCTTGGTAACACGTGGGTATAATGTTTGCCAAAATGGAAGTCGCTACTACTGTTTTATTGAAAAATCGTGAATATATTCTGATACCTATGGCATCTTACCATGTGTAATTCAGTCAGTCTTTAATCTCCATATGAAAATAGGACCCAGGATAGATTTTGGATCTCATGTCTTCATAAAATATTTTTTATCATATCATGTAGTCTGAAAAAGGGTTATGTAAAACTACTTATGTAGTCCATTTGTTATATGTAGATTCTACTAAAAATAGTATCCAGTGAGGATTTTAGTTGTTTTCCATGAACTAACACTACATTCTTTTTTGGCTAGTTTTGAGAAAATGAATCGTAGCCAAAAATCAATAGGATAATGATAATTATTAAATCAGCCTCAAGAATAAAACATAAATATGTGTTTATATATTTTGTAAATAAATAGGAGTTTGCTATTTGTCACAAGGAAATAGAATAATTATACCTTTTGAGTATACATTAGAGGGGAAAAATATTTTTGACTTTTTTTTTACATTGTTCTGAGCGATTTTATCAAATAATGAAGGAGAATCAGCAGTGTTAATGGTTTACAGTATTTGTGACCTGATAATCTTGGAAAAAAATAACCACGACCAATCTGTTTTATAAAGACCAGAACATTTATTTAAAAGTTATAAGCCAAGTAAAATTAGAGTGGCTTTCATGGTTCTCACTACAAAATAGTGAGCGTGCAATCTAGTTAGTCGATTCCTCTTTCATCATATGTGATATTTCTAGTTCATGCCCAGGTAGGAAAGGCAGAGTTAGAATTGGCGTTGGAGCTTGGTATTTTCCAATCCTCATTTAACCTTCTGATATCAACCTCTAAGCCAGGGGTTCTCAACCTTGGCAACTTTAAGACTTGTGGACTTCAACTCCCAGAATTCCTCAGCCAGCAAAGCTGGCTGGGGAATTCTGGGAGTTGAAGTCCACAAGTCTTAAAGTTGCCAAGGTTGAGAACCTCTGCTCTAAGCGTAAGCTTTATAAATTAAGTAGAAGAACAAGACAGGTTACAGACGTTATATACCTTTTGACGATCTCCATATACTGTGGAACACGTATCATATATTACTGTTTTAAAGTAATTTATACGTGTGATTGCAAAGCAATATGAAAAATGCAGCTTCATTGCGAGAGAAAAAAGGCTAGACATGAAAATACAGTACATAAAGCTGAGGGCAGCATTTTCTATTTTCCTATTCACGGACAAACAGTTCAAAGGCTCCGGGTTATGATGCATCATGGCTCAAAATATAGTAACTATAGGAAGTGTCTAAATAGAAGTCTGGAGGACCAGTTGTAACATGTACCTCAGGATGAAGGAATTTGTTGCTTTCTGATCTTGAAATGAATGGGAGGAGAAGATCGAAAAGAAACATATTGCAGGCCTCGAGTTATAGATGAAAACACAATGAACAGGTTTCAGTGCAGTACCTCGGACATTAGTCCACCAGATGAGAAAGGTCAATGTGAAACCAATTCTCTAAACGTTTAGGTCTGAAATCATTGTTGCTGTTAGTGACAAACTTTGCAACCTGAGATTTAAAAAGAAAGGTCTGACCACCAGTTTCCAGAACCGTTAGATACCCAAATCTGATTTTTATTTCAGTTTTACAAATAAAGGACTGAGTGCATACTCAGCCATATTTACTCCTTTCAGTTTGGGGGCTGCAAATGTAATCACTTAATAATACAGTAAACCCTTGAGAAAAGAATGTTTAATTGATAATTGAAATGTTAATTAGGTAATAAATCATTGAACTGTATTTGCCTTACGTTAAAGATGTAAAAACTAAATAAACCAGAAGCTATATTTTGCATCAAGAATATACTTTTCCATAAACTAAAAGGAATTTTTTTTTTAAAAAAAGTCTCAAGTATTCATGCTCTTCATTTTTTAAATATTTTATTACAGTTGAAACAGATGTGAAAACAACTGCTTCAAGTGTTGTACCTGGCAACACAGCTCCATCTCCAAGTTCGCCCACTTCTCCTCCTGCTGAAGTGGCAACTTCTGCTGACAAAGAATCCGGCAATCCTCATGCCATCCCTCGGCGGCATGCTCCCATTGAACAGCTGGCCAGGCAGGGCTCTTTCCGAGGATTCCCTGCTCTCAGCCAGAAGATGTCTCCATTTAAACGCCAGCTTTCTCTACGAATCAATGAGTTGCCCTCCACAATGCAAAGGAAGACTGACTTCCCTATGAAAAACTCAGGTTGGATAATTTCTTTTCCCAGATTCTGTTTTTTGAGTCTGTCTGCATTTGAGAGAGAACTAACGTTGGTTTGATTCTCTTCAGAACTTCTATGTTTTTCGTCTGATATGCCACCACAAAGTGGCATTATGTTGCTAGTTTTATGACCTCCAAGTTATAATATTAAATCCTATCTAAATATAATCAGAATTTTTAGATAACATCACATATTACCAAGTATGGGTTTGATATCTGTATTAAAAGTTTATTGACTGCTGTTAATTATCTTTGAACTATAAGGAGTCCACTTAGTCAAAGACATTTTGGCCTTGGTCAGCATCTCTTGAGTAATAATTTGTGTTTGCAGAGCTTAATGAGTTAAAGGCCTAGCTTCTGCCAGTGAAAGTTGTGCGGTTTTGATAATTATTCTGATATTTAATATGAATGTAAGTACTCCGAGAAACTGACATAAAATCAAAATAATTGTAACCTTCGTGCTCCTTCCCCAGTTTTTTCTTTGTTCTTAACTTTTCCTCTTTCGCTTTTCAAAGGACATGTAGCTTTTTCCTAATCATGGAAAAAAAGATCAAAGAACGACATTGTGAAAAAGCAGGAAGGTGCCTTTGTATTATGCTGGGCCATATCTGTGCAAACTTTTTTCTTCTTCTTTCAGTTCCTGAGTCTGAAGGAGAAGTCGATAGCATTAGTTCATTGTGCTCCCAGATTACAAATGCCTTTAGCACACCATCTGAGGATCCTTTCTCCTCTGCTCCAATGACAAAGCCAGTAACGGTGGTTGCACCACAGTCGCCAGCTTTTCAAGGTATGTGGTCTCTAAACCTGGATGCATGTGATACTTTTTATATGTGCAAATGCTGTTTTCCTTTTGTGTGCTGGCAATGTAATGTTTTAAACCATCTTTCAGCTCTTTTGTTTGCATCTGGAATCATTCTGTTTTAACTAAGTTACATGCTTGTAAGCTATTTGCATGTGAGCTTCCTAGAAAGTCAAGGACTTATTGAGAACAGTCAGTTACGTGCTAACAATAGGGAAAAACATTTTTAAAACAGAAGGCCACACCTTTTAGATGTTACAGATAAAATGTTACTATGTAAGAAATTACGCAATTACCCATTTTCCAATCTCCTTGATCTTTTTAAAAAAAACAGATAGATGACTATAAAATAAACATAAATCCAATAAATTTGCTACGTGTTGCTTATTTTAAAAAACATAAAGGCTCTAAAGTTGAAGAGACGTTCCCAGCTTTGATGTTAGGTAACAATATTTATGTCTTGCTTTGATATCCTACAAAAGAGATGCAACTTGCAGTCTAATCTTTGAGACAGTAAGTATCTCACTGCTTGTTTTAAATGATGAAAGGCAACAGCTGATAGTCAAAATAATTTTCTTTTGCCAGAATACCAATAAAGCAGGATGCTTCAGCCCATCGCTGTTTGTCCTTCTAAACTTGTTCTGAGAGCAAAGAATAAAATCAGAAATAAAGTCCACAAAGCATCCTTTAAAATAATTAGCAAATACCCAAGGTATCTTCCATACGAATTAACAAAATTAAATGTGTTGAATAAAAAATGCTTGTAGAATAATAGTGGACAAGCATGACTAAGTGCTTGATGTATGTTGCATGCTGGCAAAACCATGTTTTATTTTTGACATTCCAGTCCTGTGCATGCTTTGCATGAATTAACAGCACTGATGTTGTTTGCTCCAATTTTAGTAAATGGCATTGCCTCTGCCTTCCATGTGTTTGCTGATAAACCAGCTCAAACTACTATAGCATCTACAGCAATACCACTTCGTGAAACCAATCCCTGGGCTCAGTCCCCTGCTGCTCCAGCTGTTGCTAAAACTGGAGCTGTAGCTTCTCCTTCTGGTAAGACGGGGCACTGATCTTGGCGTGTCGCTTTTGGAAGCTTAAAGTTGGTGGTGCTGGATTTAAAAGACTTTGATCTGATCTAACAAAATGGTTCTCAAGGATTTCTTTTTAATATCCAGAAGCATAGTTAAGGGAAAGTAGAAGAACTGGACATTTAGATGTGGTATTTTGTTTTAATTTGGAAGTTAAATTAGTACGGTAGTTAGGATAGGTAATTAAGTAAATAAATAATATATTAAAGCTTATTACTAGAAGAAAAGGCTGTTTCAATAACCAGTAGCTTTAATGTAAAAAAAAATGGCTCTTCACAAAATCAGTGATTTAGCGTTAAAAAATAGCACTTGGAGTAATTGACATTCTAATATAAATATATAAGATTTCTAGTGATTTAGAAAACTACTTGAGGATCCATCTTTAAGCCATAGTAGATTTTTTGGGTTTAAATCAAATGAGATATGTTTCTAAAAGCCATACAGTTTTCTCCTAAGAGTAGTACTTTTCATGTATTTTTATTCATTGAAGCAAAAAAGTGCAAGGGCTGTTTCACATGTTTCTACATATTTATCACATTCCCACAGAATTTAATTAACCATCCAGTCCCTGCATATCGGTCTCATATCCCTTTTTTATAATTTCATGTCTTTTAACTTAAGGCTTTGTATCCAAACTGGATAAGACACATTTCTGAGTGCCTGAAATTTCTGACATAGGGATGAAGGGTATAGTTTATGTTATTGTAGATCAGTTGGCTTGGCTAACAGTCCCCCTTTAGGACATTAGAATGAGAAGATGGAAGCAAGCCTGTAACTTGTTTAATTAAATGCCCAGTTCTAGTCTCAGTTTCAAAACCTTTGTCAACGTTACTGGAACTTCATACATACACTAGTTACAGTGTGTTAATTATCGTTATGGATTCTTTACTACTGACTGGCAATAGGAAACTAGCTATTCTCACCTGGTGGTGGTTAAAAGCTACTTCAATTCCTCATCAAATTGTTCTGAAGACAGGGAAGACAATACCTTGCTGAGGTTATATCCTGTTCTTAATTTCTTTTCACAGGTGCCGACTGGAGTGCTGACTCAGGAGCTGCCTCTCCGAATGTGTTTCAGGCGAGTCACAGACGCACTCCCTCGGAGGCAGACCGTTGGTTGGAAGAAGTATCTAAAACTGTCCGGTCTCAGCAGCCTCAGGTGCAATCCCAGCCTCCAGCTCCCCAGCCACTCCTCCAGCCTCCTACGGTGGTTTCTCAGGCAGCACCAGCTTTTCCAGGCGGCACCTTCATTGCACCTCCACCAGTGCCTATTGGGGTGGTGCAGCCCATGCAGCCTACGTTTATCCAGGCGCAGCCGTATGCTGTCGCAAATGGAATGCCCTATTCAGCTCCCAGTGTAACCATGATTGGAATCACCCCTTCCCAGATGGTAGCCAATGTCTTTGGCACTGCAGGTCATAGCCAAATGTCCCATGCTCATCAGTCACCCAGTCTTATAAAGCAGCAGACATTTCCTCAATATGAAACTAATAGCGCTACTGCCAGCCCTTTCTTTAAACCCCCTGCCCAGCAGCTCAATGGCTCTGCTGCTTTCAATGGTGCGGACCCTGCCAAGTGGCCCACAGAGGACAAACATGTGCTTCCACCTGGAGCTGGCCAGCAAGTGGATCCGTTTGAAGCACAGTGGGCAGCACTGGAGAGTAAATCCAAACAACGTACTAATCCATCTCCAACTAACCCTTTCTCCAGTGAACTACAGAAGACCTTTGAGATAGAACTCTAAGCAGTCCTTTGGCTTGTACTTCATCTCTGTGTATATGTGTGTTGGCATTGGATGTAAGAGTATACCAGAGGCAGCATTTTTTAATCACTCATGTCCCTCTCTTTGGAATTAGGTTGGGGGTAGAGAGAGAGGACACTCATGGAAGGAGGCTCCTAAGCCCAGCCTTTTGGGGTATAATCCAGGTAACATACCCTTGCCACCTGTTTGGGAACTTGAATGGCAAAAGGAATCTGAAAAGGGCTGAAGAAGGGAGTTGAGCCTGAAGCCTTTTTTCCACAGAAACTTCAGGAAACCTCACAAGCTGAAAAGCAAATGACTCACCACTATCTTAAGAATGTGTCTACCTTCCTGTGAATGGTCCGTTCCCTTGTGGCGAAGGGAGGGCTTGGGGAATTGGGGCCCAGTAATGAATGGGCTGGTGGAGAAATCCTGAGAGCTGCTGAGACTATGCTGTCAGTTGGAAAAGGATGAGCTTCCATTTCAAGTAATTATATATAGAATAAAGCCAAAATCTTTATTTTTATGCATTTTAGATTATTTTAAATAGTTCTAGTTATTGAAAGTCGAATGAGTTGTAAGTAATCTTGCCAAAGTTATAAAAGGGGGTTGGATGTAAAATTGTACATAAGATTGATTTATCACTGATTCTTACAGTCAGTAATATGGGAATAGGGTAGGGAGCAGAGTTCCTAGCTTGTCCCTGTCTGTATCATTGTAAGTAGCATATTGCAACTACAATCATGAATCATGACCAATTTTTTTAAAAAATCATTGTAGAGTAGTGTTAAGAACAGTATTGTCTTGGTTTGAAAACAATTGGTAAATTTTATCTTTTTTTAAGCAATCAAACTAGATATTAGAATTCATATAGGTTATTTCATGTACTGCTGCAGTTTATTTGTCTTACTTCTCTTTTAACACTACTGTGACAACTGTAATTATATTTACAATCAGGTCTACTTATGAACCCATTTTAGGTGAATTAAATAGAGTTTAGATTTTTTTTTAAAATGCTTTTCCCATTGTTATATGTGAAAGCTTATAGCAAGACTGCAGCTATTCCATGTCTTTCCTCTGGCAAATCATGAAGTCCATCTCATTTTTAATTTTACTCTTAAAACTTGGCCTTACAAGCAAATGTAAGTTATATATTTGTACTGATGATTTATAATCTGCTTTAACAGAAATAAATGTTGGTAGTAGATTATGTGTCTTTCTCAACAGGTTTCCTTGTTTTCCTGCAACCAGTTTGATCTCCATTTCATTTGGTGTATAGATCACCAAATTTTAAATGTTTGATCTACTAATAACAGGGCAAGATATATATTTTCATTTGCATCTATTGCTTAAAAGCAGGAAATGCAACTTCTGGAATTTCAACTTGCTTTTATTTTGAAACTTGTATTATATTTCTTATGTCCCCAGAAGAATGTGGTTCCAAGAAATTGCCACATTTCCCATTAAGGGATTATCACCGTATTATTCAGAAATAGCCCTGGAGAACTTTGTATTTGTTCTACAGCACTGTTCGTTGTCTAGAGACAAACTGGTTTTTGCTCAGTTTTAGTGTGTCTTAGTGCATAATGGAACTTAATGGTATTGCTGTTTAAAGTTACAGTACTTAAGTGGTTTGTTTCAGTACAAAGCATGCTTACTCTAAAACAAAGCTACCTCAAATGCAAGTGCATGTATGGTGGATGTATGAATTTGGACTATGCCATACTGCACTTGAGTAAAAATCCCTTTCACTCTTTTTGTCCTTGGTCTATTCATACCTTTTGCAAATGTAAATGCATGGAATTCTCATAAAGCTGCCACATAGACAATAATTGAATATTGTCAATGAAACATTTGTGTAGCGCCTAAATAAATTCCTATTGGGATCAGAGGCAAAAATTTCCACAATCCAGTAATTTTTGTACAGTGAATGGACAGTTATTAGCCTCCTAAATACAGGTCCAAATACTTTTAAGGCCTTATTTCTGCTGTAGAAAAACTTTTATAAAACCAGGCTTTATTTTGGGTCTAGGGGAAAGAGCTTCTTGGAATATGCAGTCCTTATCGGGATTGTTGTGTAGAATGAATGAACAAATAATGATCAATAGTTGATTATTTGTTATGTCATTAAGGAAGGTATAATTCTATCTCTACAATTTTATCAACAGACAGAAAAATTGCTTCTCAGATATGCATTCAGCATTAATCTAGCACAATAACAAGTACAGCAAAAGCTGCTTTGCTATTTTACCATTTCTCTTTATTTTTAAATATTTTCCAGTCATGGGAATAGATACCAATGTGACCCAGATTTTGAAAAAGGGGTTGGGAAGTGATGAACTACAATAGATATAAAAAAAATCCACAGACCCCTGTTAAAATGCCTGTTTTTTGAGATGTAAAAAAAATCAGACCAAGATAAATCACCCCAGATTTTTTTCCACCTTTAATGTAACATATAAGCTGTACAATTCAATTGAAAAACAAATTGAAATCTTTTAGGGGGAAAAATAACAATAAAAAAATATAATAATGTGGTTGTAGAAATGTGCACACCCTTTAATACTTTGTTGAAACACCTTTTGATTTTATGACAGCATTCAGTGTTTTGGGTCAGGGGCCCATCAGCATGGCACCTCTTGCCTTGGCACTCTTTGCCCACTCTTCCTTGAAAAGTCCTTCCAATCTGTCAGATTGCGAGGGCATCTCTTGTGCATAGCCCTCTTTGGGTCACCCCACAGATTTTCAATTGGATTCAGGTCCGGACTCTGGATGGGCCATTCCAAAACTTTGCTCTTCTTCTGGTTAAGCCAGGGGTTTTCAAGCTTGGCCCTTTTGTGACTTGTGGACTTCAACTCCCAGAATTCCTCAGCCAACGTGCCTGGCTGAGGAATTCTGGGAGTTGAAGTCCACAAGTCACAAAAGGGCCAAGTTTGAAGACCCCTGGGTTAAGCTATTCTTTTGTTGATTTGGAGGTACGCTTTGGGTCATTTCCATGCCGAAAGGTGAAATTCATCTTCGTCTTCAGCATTTTAGCAGAGGCCTGAAGGTTTTGTGCCAGAATTGACCGATTATTGGAATTGTTCATAATCCCCTCCACCTTGACTAAAGCCGTAATTTCTGCTGAAGAAAAGCAATTCCCAAAGCATAATGCTGCCACCACCATGCTTCACTGTGGGTATGGTGCACATTTGGTGATGCACATTGTTTTTGCACCAAACGTACTTTTTGGGACTATGGCCCAAAAATTCAGTCTTGATCTCATCAGACCATAACACAATTTCTTCCATGCCTTTGTCAGATTTGATGTAGGTTTTTGCAAAAATATAGCCTGGCTTGGATGTTTTTCTTTATAAGAGAAGGCATCCATCTTGCATCCTTACCTCATAGCCCACAAGACAGGAGATTGCTGTTACATGTAATACCCAACCAATACTAAACAGAAATTCCTGTGGCTTCTTTACTATTGCTGTAGACCTCTTAACAGCCGCTGAGACTAGTTTTTTTTTCTTGCTTTTTCATCAGTTTTGGAGGGACAGCCAGTTCTTGGTAATATAATTGTTGTAACATATTTTTTCCAGTTGTTGATGACTGTCTTCACCGTATTCCATGGTATATTCAATGCATTGGAAATTTTTTGGGTGGCCCTTCTCCTGACTGATACCTTTCAACAATGAGATCTCTTTGATGCCTTGTAAGTCATTTGCAGCCCATGGCTTTTGCTGTAAGACGCAACTGAGTAAATGTCAGAAAACTCCTACTATAACAGCTGAACATTATATGGGCTTGATCAGAGTCACTTTAATTGACGGCAAGTGTTTATTGACTATTATTTTGCCATTAGTTTGAATGTGATTAATTTGGAACATAGGCATAGCCCTGCTTACAGTATAAGAAAATGTGCACATTTATGCATTTATATTATTGTACATTTTTAAATTATTTTTCACCCTAAAAGATTTCAGTTTGTTTTTCCTTTGAATTGTATAGCTTATATGTTATATTAAAGGTGGGAAAAAATTCTGAAGTGATTTATCTTGGCCTGATTTTTTACATATCAAAACTCTGCCCTCTTAACAGGGGTGTGTAGACTTTTTATATGCACTGTACTTGATCTTTAATTTCCTTTAACTTCTGCTCCCCAAAAAATAATTGAAAATACCATTTTAAATGCATAGAGGAGTGGAGCCTTGCTGTAAACTAAGCAGCGTGGGTTCTGAAAAAGTAATCTTGCCTCGTGAAAATTTTTGATGATGTTGCCCACTCAGCTGCCATGGAGTTTTTTTAGTTGGATTTGCAACTGGGGAAAGATTGAAGGAGAAATAAATAGGCAATTTTCATATTGCTGAGAGGTGTATAGTGGGATCCTTAGGAATCACATTGTGACTGATGTTTTTTAACTGAGCTGAAGTTAAGTACATGTACTTGTGAGACCAGAGTACTATGTACTGGTTACTTTACTAGAAGCATGATATTGTAAAATTTTAAAACATACAGAAAAGTGCAACCAAAATGATCAGGAGAATGAAGCAGCTTTGCTATAAAGAAAGACCACAATAATTGTGGCTGTTTTGCTTGAATGAAGGCAAGATTTAATAAAGATTAATATAATTCATGGTGTGGATATTGTGGAGAAATATTTTCCCTTGCTTCAGATCATTCAATATATACAAAATATAGGGATACTCAGAACTTTTTCACACAGCATATAGTTAAACTGGATTTTATTGTCAGCGGCTGGGGTAAAAGTCACCAGTTAGAATGGTTTAAAGGGGGATTGACAGATTCATGGAAAATAAGACTTTTAGTTGTTATTGATATTATCTGTTGATGACCTGGATCATAAATAATATGCCTTAAAGCAGGGGTCTTCAAACTTGGCCCTTTTGTGACTTGTGGACTTCAACTCCCAGAATTCCTTAGCCAGGCATGCTGACTGGGGAATTCTGGGAGTTGAAGTCCACAAGTCATAAAAGGGCCAAGTCTGAAGACCCCTGCCTTAAAGCCTGATTTCTTGGAAGCAACAGGGAAATAAGACTACCTTATTCCAGTTCAGATTTTATATCCTACCTTTCTTTTAAAAGCTCAGTGCACTTTAAAGGGGATCTCTTCATTTTATTTTCACTTTCCTCTCCCCTCTCCATGTTAGAGGCTGGGTTGGGAAAAAGTACCTGGCCCAATTTATCCAATGAATTTCCATGGCCAAAGGTGGTTCTAATCATACCATCATACCGAGTTTCACCATTAAAACCTGTAAGATACCATCATTAAAAGCATCAAAACATACCTGCTTTGATTTTCAAATTTTCTATTCTGAAAAACTGGCCCTCAAGGTGATGAAATGCGTTTGTAACAGATTAAGAGTTGGGAGGTATTTAGAGGTCTCCTAGTCCAACCCCCTGCTCAGGCAGGAAACCTTTTACCATTTCAGACAAATGGTTGTCCAATCTCTTTTTTAAAACTTCCAGTGTTGGAGCATCCACAGCTTCTCGAGGCAAATTGTTCCACTGATTAATTGTTCTAACTGTCAGGAAATTTCTCCTTATTTCTAGGTTGATTCTATCCTTGATTAGTTGATTTTAAGTTGGTTGCCTGTTGCAAGGTTACCTTCTCAATCCATTAAAGGGGAGATAGACTCAATGGATTAATGTTTTTGATGAATGGCACTCCCCGAGGAAAACTTGTGCTTATGATTATAAATGATAGTTGGGGAATGATTTGCATGTGTAAAAAAATACCACATGCCTTCTCTCTGGCTTTTGTAAGATAATATTTGTACCTTCCATGACAAATCAGTTCTGAATGCAAGAAAATACAAACATGTTTTGTTCTCTCAGTTTGTCTACATGTCTGTGCTACAGTTAAATTGTACTAACACTGAATTAATTTGCATCTTTATTGAAGAAGCTGAAATCTTGTTACCTAGTTCATACGGCACCCTGCAGTTCTGAGCCGCAGGTAATAGGCAGAAGATTGCCTTGTTCCCGTTACTAAACATTCTGCATAATGTGCTGTAAATACTGGTTTGTTCATTTTTTACAGGAGCCATTGATAAATGTTTCTCATTTTCAGTGAAGATAGTCCCATTGTACAATCAGATAATTAAAAAATAGATTTGTTTGGGAGAATTTGTTTTTCATTATTTGGTTATAGCTATTCATGTATCAAACCTATAATAGAGTAGCCCAACTATAAATCATATTTGCCTTCAGATATCAGAACATTCATGTATTCTGATTGGCATATCTTAGTATAAACATCATAGATATGGCAGATTCTCATATTTGTTTTTCCATCAAGCAAATTAAAAAGTATGGTATTACAGATATACTTTGTTTCTAAAAGAAATGAGATCTTGAGCTACTTAAAATCTGAGAAGGTTTCAGGTTAATTGAGTCCATAATAGTGGACCGAAAGCTATAGCAGGAATCATGTGAGGAAAAAACTGCAGATGTGCCAGGAATGTTGGCTTAAAGGAAATTATACTAGTTTATGGTATTCACAATCTTTGAGACACTTTAAGGTTGTGAATAATTGACAACCTTATAATTAACACATACAGATTTGGGATGGGTCTAGTCTTGCACTGTAAAATATAATTCTAGTCAGCCATTGAGAATGCATAGATACTGCAGTTTGAACTTCTATAGTGCCCATGGTCATCCTTGTATTAAATAATTTGGCACATAGGATGGGATAATGAAAGAGGCAAAGCATACCTTTCCATAATTCTGAGGCATCAACAAGCAATTCTGTTGTGATGCTGTGTACATTAGTGGGGCTGGCTGCACAGTGCTTTGAAACATACAGGAGTGCAAATTCAGTACTTGTCTATGACTCATTAATGCAGTGGTATCTCTGGAGATTGCGTGGCTGCAGTAGTTGTGAGATTCTAGAAACAAAAAACACTTCTCAAATTGCACAGCCTTCTGGTATTTGTTTATGCAGAAGAGATAAAACAGAATTCGTTTCCTTTTTCAAAGGCCTTAATGCAATTGTATACATGTTTAATTGGAAGAGAGGATCACTGTTTAATGAACTTACTTCAAGAAATACAGCCTTCCTGCTTTAAGAGTATTTGAAGTACAAAACCTTGCCACGTCGCCATGCATTTTCCTCTTTTGATGCTTCTGTGTTCTACATATTTCCAACAAATATTAAGTGATACTCACTGCTGCTAGTTAACTCAACAAGAGTAGTTTCCTCTATCTGCTGAAAAAACAATTGTCTGCTTGTAACTGTTTATATCTGAACTGCAGGGACATTTAATATAACTGCAGGAAACAAGTTTCTAGGTCAGTATGCTAAATTTCCACAAAAAATGCAATCAGCAGTTTTTTTTAGTGGGTTCTGGCACTAATTTAGCTTTTATGTTTGATTTAAAATGTGTCTCCTATCCTTGATTTATCTTGAAGCAACTTTCCCAGTTAACTTTGAATTCTTGTCTGTATTGTTACGCTTTGCTAGTGGAACAATTCTTCATTTCCTTAAATGAAAAGGTCAGCCTGCTGTTAGAGGATTGGTGTTTCTCTTGCAAAACAAAATACAGCTTAGGAAGGTGGAGATACCATTTCTGCCAACTATTCTTCTTGTTCTCACATTAGCTGTACTGACTACCCGTGTGTATGTATGATTGGAGATGAGTGCTTCTGGAGTAGGCTTGCAAGAAAGGTAGCCAGCCTGTGACTCAGCCATAGCGTCGAGAACAGCTGGCACAGCAGAAGCTGGAGTAATACTCGTTGTTGCAGAGCTGAGCCTGTAGAATCAGATCGCAGTTAGCAAGGTGTGGCTGATCAACACATTCCCTGCTTGTGTCCACAGGGAGGGATGCTGGCACTAGAAGAGTAAGGAAGGAAAGGAAGTCAAATAGAACCAAACAAGGTGTTTTTCATAATCAGTTGGGAGTGATTACAGTAGTTCACTTTTTTGTTATTTACATTATGACTATTTCACTGCATGCAATGGAAAATATTCCTATCTGCTGCAGCTCCAGCAAAAAATACTGTGAATGGAATCTACATCTTGGCAAACATTCAAAAGTAGCAAATGGCAACATCAGCATTAGCGCATTTTGAGAGAAAATTGATTGGTTTCTGCCGAGAGATTCTCTAAATGGCAAACAGCTGTTTCAGGCTGAAAATAAATGCTCTGCACTACAACAGCAGTTACAGCTTAGTAATTCCTGAAGTCAAAGGGGCATAGTTTAAAAGACTTTGACCTTAAAATTGTCTTCCAAGTGATGTTAACTATTACTGAATGTAATAGAATTTATTTGTAAATAACAGGGACTGATTTGTCTCAATGATTTCATGTTTCTGACTGTATGCAAAAATACCATTTTATAGGAAAGCGTGCAGAGGCAGGCTGCTGGATTGCTTTTCAACCCCCCTTACCAGCTGTGGCAACAGGAGTGTCAGATTTTAGGCACCAATTAATAATTTATTATATTTATATGCTGCCCAACTCCCAGTGACTCTCAATTCTAAATTCTCATAGCATCTCCAGCCTTGACTAGGTTTGCCATATGTAACTCAAGCCCCAAACTGATGAATAATTTAACTGATTTCATAGAGATAACCACAGGAAAGAGGACCAAACCCTGCAGTTTGGAGTGATTACAGGCTCAACAGCTTTTCCCTAACAATTACTAGCTGGTACTAATAGCTCAAGTGGAAATAGGGCTACTGCGGAACTGTGCCCCCAACCACTATGCCCCCAATCCATAAGGATGCCATGGTTGATGGTATTAATGCCCACCAAGAAATTAATAGCATTTGAAAGCATCCAAGACATCCTTCACAGTTTTTTTCCCCCTTTCATATGGCCAGGCCTGGATAGTGACTGAAAGATACCTAGTAAATCTACTTTGGCTCTGTAGCTGATTCCCCATCACCACCTCAAGCATATTCTCTAAAAAGGGAAGGTTGGAGACAGGACAGAAGTTGTCCAATATGGCTCCATTGAAAGATAACCCCTTCAGGGGAGCATGCACTACTGCTTCTTTGAAGGCAGGTGCCATCTTGCCTTCACAAAGAGAGATATTAGCCACTTCCAGATGCAAATGCTTCTCTTTCAACTCTGCCTTCCATACTCATGTGCTCTCATTAAGGAGTACCAGATAATATAAGGGTTCTAAAATAATAAAAAAAGAAGTCCAGAAGTATCAGGTATGTTTCTACAGAAGGTCTACAACAGAAAACATTTCCAGTCCTGGAAGGAAAAGCATATGGCACATTTAAGGTTGCAGCTGCTGTGAAATCCAATACTGGAAATTGGAAGAAAATTTAAAAAGAACTATGCACACCCACCTTCTGACCGTCTTTTGATGACTTTCACATCTGTACTGGCACTGACCGAATTATTGCTACTGTAAGCATTACACGTATAGGAGCCCTCATCACCAAGCTGAACATTGTTTAGAAACAAGCTTCCATCTTGAGACACATGGATACGATGACCATCTGATCTTACTGGAACCCCATTTCTATGCAGAAGTAAATAATTAGTGGTCTTGCAGTTGCTGTACATTGTCCCCAACTCCCAGTTACAAAGAAATAAAGGAAGGGTTTGTATCCAGAAAGTCTTTCAAGGAACACATAAATAAACGGGTTTATTTCAAATGAGTTTGAAAAGCTAAGTCTGGATTCATCTTCGAAGTAGTTGGTTGTTGCTTGATAATTTCTTGCATGCTTCAGTAGTACTAAAAGGATAAGTAAATATAGCTGGGTTTCCCCCCCCCCCACTTACCTTGACCATCTTATGTTTACATTGTTGCCTGTCACAACACAATGAAGATGAGCATTCTCCCCTTCAGACACAGAAAGCCTGGGCAGCAAGTCAATAATTCTCAGGTCTCCTAAGCAGGAAAAGAGTGTCCTCAATTCCAGGAAAATTTTGCCCAAGTGTCATCAAATTATGTTCTGAAAATACAGCTCTGATTGAATAGCCCTGCTCTGCTCATGTGAGGTTGGCCTTTCCAGTTGAAAGACCATCTACTTGGGAGAAAAATCTCAACATGATATCCACAATAGAATTCAACACAGAGAAACATTGTGTAACCAATCAGCCACAGTTAAGTACTTCTCTATGGCTGTCCTGTACTGATAAAAGGAGAAACTGTTCTCATAGCAGTAACTATATCTCCTTCCTACATTTATTCTCTCTTGCACACAAGTCACTGCAGCAGCAATTTCCAGAGCCCCATTTTCTTGTTTCTAGAGCAATATTTCCACTAGGCGCTTAAACTAATTTGAATTATCTTAACCATCACCACCAAACCTTTTTAAAACACTTGTATTGAATAATTTTCTACACCTCTTGAAGCTGGCACACTTTATGGGAAACCCTAAATATCTCAGATTATTTGATGGCACCATTGATGAAACTAAACTGATCTCATACCTAAAGGGGATTGTAAAGCATAATAATAACAATAATAGTAGTAGTAGTAGTAATAGTAATAATATTGGAAGGGGCATTGGAGGTCATCTAGTCCAACCCCCTGCTCAGGCAGGAAACCCTATATCATTTCAGACAAGGAAACCCTATACCAGTGGTTCTCAACCTGTGGGTTGGGACCCCATTTGAGGTCGAACGACCATTTCACGGGGGTCGCCAAACAACGCAGTCCGCCATTTTTTCCCCCTTTTCCTTAGCTGTGCTACTCCCTTTTATTCTATTGGCTTTTGAAAGCCAATAGAATAGACTCTCTTGAATAGAGTCTAATTCTATTGGCTTTCAAAAGCCAATAGGAATTGTCCAGGCTGTCTCTGCCCTGCTGAGCCCGCCAAAAGGCCCATTCTGCAAACGGTGCTGCACCAGTTGAGTAGTCCTCGACTTACGACCGGTTGAGTAGTCCTCGACTTACGATCGGTTGGGGGTCGCGGCATTAAAAAGGTTGAGAACCACTGCCCTATACCATTTCAGAAAATCTTGTAGAGTTAGTTCTGTAATTTTAAACGCAACATTCAGCTGTTACTAATTTTCTTGTTGCCACCAGGTTTCAATTGCTGGAAATATGCTGAGATAGTTCATTCTCCAGATTGGATATATTAATCCACAACTAAAGCTTAATTTAACAACAGTAGCACAAAAAAGGACCATATTTTTCTCCAGCAACAAATTCATTACTTATATTTGGATAACACTGAAGTAAAACTCCCCCCCCCCCCAATACACCCACTACTACCTCTAGGTCTAATTTGAACTTTTTTCTGATCTTGGTCCCGGCCATTAGAAGCAATGCATGTAAAGAAGCCGGCATCTTCAGATGTCAGATGACTGATTAGCAGGGCACCATCAGGTTGCTGCCTATGCCTGGAGATTAAAATTAAAATTAAAAAAATGAATTTTAGAAGAAGAGGAAATGCATTTACTCACAGATTACAGATTCCTTTTTGTAAGAAGCTAATGGCTCAAAATGTATTCTGAATATGAGTTATGAGCTAAAGTTCAAATAATGTTAATAATAATAATGATGATAATAAAAGTTGGAAGGGACCTTGGAGGTCATATAGTCCAATCCCCTGCTCAGGCAGGAAACTCTATACCATTTCAGACAAATGGCTGTCCAGTCTCTTCTTAAAAACTTCCAGTGTTGGAGCATTTACCGCTTCTGGAGGCAGGTTGTTCCACTGGTTAATTGTTCTAACTGTCAGGACGTTTCTCCTTAGTTCTAAGTTGCTTCTTGTCCTGCCTTCTGGGCTTCTCTTCATTAAATTAGACATACCCAATTCCAACAACTGTTCCTTATATGTTTTAGCCTCCAGTCCCCTAATCATCTTTGTTGCTCTTCTCTGTACTCTTTCTAGAGTCTCAACATCTTTTTTACATCGTGATGACCAAAACTGGATGCAGTATTCCAAGTGTAGCCTTACCAAGGCATTGTAAAATGGTATTAATGTGATCTTGATTCTATCCCTCTGTTAATGCAGTCCACCACTGTCTTGGCTTTTTTGGCAGCTGCAACCCACTACTGGCTCATATGTAAGTGATTGTCCACTAGGACTCTGAGATCCCTCTCACAGTTGCTACTATTGAGCAAGGTACCCCCTATACTATACTTGTACAATAATAATAATCTCTCCGGGATCAGGTATCATCAGTCCTGCCTAATTGCTGCAAGCTAATTAAAAGTAGCTGGATTATATTGAACTAAACCATGGTTTGCTGAGTAAACCACAGTTGGCTGGGTTCTTAAGGAAATATAAACTGTAAAGGTATTTGGTTTAAACTTTGCATCCTGTGTGAATCAGTCCACTCTTAAAACTCATCTTTTTGAGCAACTGGTAGTAAGTTGGCTGTTTCACTTAAAATATGCAGGAGTCCAAAATACAAGAAGCATTGAGCTGAGTATAATTACAATGCAAGGTACCCATCCAGGTTGTCAAATGATAGTTTTTGACAGAGCACTTTAGCCCACAAATATTGAGTAAGTCATTAAAATGAATGAGTTGCTATTTGAACAGACGAAGCAAGAATGTATAACAGAGAGAGAGCCTCTGGAAAATTAGGACATCCCTTTGATAGCCTGTCTTCTGATATACATGGGAGGGGTGTCTTCCTAGTTTATCCCCACAGTAAGAATTTAATGAGAGAGGATGAACTAAGGATTAGTGACTGGCCCAAAGTCAATTCAAAATGCTGTGACTGAGAGAAGATTTGAAACTGCCTAGTCCTAGATACTTCTTCTTCTTGTGCCATATCCATTATCAGACATTGGCGATCATGTTGACGATCCTGTTTTTATCAGCAGCCGCATGAAAAAGTGCTGCTGAGTTTTGTCCAAACCAGTCCCTTAGATTTTGAAGCCACAATGTTCTTCTTCTGCCTGGACCTCGTTTGCCTTCAATCTTTCCCTGGAGGATTAAATGGAGTATTTTTCTGGGCGTCGCATCACATGTCCGAAATATTCTAATTTTCATTTTTTAATTGTTTTGATTATTTCCCTTGGCTTTCCCAGGCGGCTTATCACCCCCTCATTTCTGATCTTGAGTCCTAGATACTGATCATTACATTATGCTGTGTTCCAACCACCCTGATCATGTTTAGCAAAGTTCATTGACAAAAAAGGAGGGAAAGGCTGTCTGCTTGGGTTTTCCCAGATTTTTTTTTAACATGGTGCATTTCAGGCCATCTTACTCAGCCTTCTTTGACTGGAGCTATTTCATCTTTGTGATATGTTCTACTAAATATAGGACAGTACAGGAGGAAAATAATAATAATAATAATAATAATAATAATAATAATAATAATAATAATAATAATAATACAAGCACCTGCAACATAACACCCCAGACTTAACAATTGTCGATAAGAAAGACAAAAAAGTCTGGATAGTGGACGTGGCAGTGCCTGGAGACAGCAGAATAGACGAGAAAGAACTGGAGAAGATAACAAAATACAAAGACCTACAAATAGAAATAGAAAGACTGTGGCAAAGCAAGCAAGGGTAGTACCAATAGTAATAGGCTCCTTGGGTGCAATCCCAAAACAACTGGAGCACCACTTGAACAACATTGGCATTGACAAATTCGCTATTAGTCAATTGCAAAAGGCGGCCTTACTAGGAACTGCTTCCATCCTGCGACGATACCTGTAATACCATCAAACATCCACACCTGCCTATCCCAGGTCCTGGGTAAGGACTCGATAGGTAGACAAAATGCCAAATCCAGTCTGAACATCTGGCTGACTGTGCGATGACCCGTAATAATAATAATAATAATAATAATAATAATAATAATAATAATAATAATAATAATAATAATAAAAAGTTGGAAGGGACGTTGGAGGTCATTTAGTCCAACCCCCTGCTCAGGCAGGAAACTCTATACCATTTCAGACAAATGGCTGTCCAGTCTCTTCTTTAAAACTTCCAGTGTTGGAGCATTCACCGCTTCTGGAGGCAGGTTGTTCCACTAGTTAATTGTTCTAACTGTCAGGAAGTTTCTCCTTAGTTCTAAGTTGCTTCTCTCCTTGATTAGTTTCCATCCGTTGCTTTTTGTCCTGCCCTCAGGCGCTTTGGAGAATAGCTTGACTACCTCTTCTTTGTGGCAGCCCCTGAGATATTGGAACACTGCTATCATGTTCCCCCCTCGTCCTTCGTTAAACTAGACATAGCCAATTCCAGCAACCGTTCCTTACATGTTTTAGCCTCCAGTCCCCTAATTATCTTTATTGCTCTTCTCTGTACTCTTTATAAATGGTATGAAAAAGGTGTGGTTGATTGGGTTATGACTGCTTATTCGGAGAGCCTTCAAAGATATTGTATGATAATGCAAAACAAGAGGGAGATCTGACTATCGCAGCACCTCCATGGTCCTGCGATCATGTAGGAGCTCAGTGCCCAATTTGCAATTAGAGTGTCAGAGTGAGATGTGATCACAATTTCCAACATTCTCTGCCAGTTTTCCACAAGTAAAGTAATAGGGAAGCCAGCAGGAAGTTGGAAGTTACTCCTGCTGCTTTTTTGCCTACTTGTGATCCTTAGTACCTCCCAGTGGCATTCTGTTGTGGCACCCACACATCTACCTAAACTTGGTAGAGTCTGTTTGTGGCACACCTGCCTCCTATGGCACCGGCCCACAGCACCCACCCTGACCCTCCTATGGCACCCTGCCCCATGCTCCGCATGCATCGTGCATCTCTCCCCAATTCGTGGCAGAAATCACCAGCTTGATTACCTGGGACTTCTGTCTCTTCCCACTTAATGACCCACATGATCCTAGAATTATGATGGATAAGTAATGTGCTCATGGAACCTTATGACCATGTTGCTTAGCTGTAGAAATTCTGCTCCTAAATGTTATTGTAACCCAAGAGCTACCTGTAACAAAATGGACTCTATTTGCTCAACTCATTCAGTTACACAAAACCAAGGTTAAGGGTCAATAGGTATTATGTGAACACAGACTAACTGATTTTGTTAAGCACGTTATATGAAGTCAGCTGCTGTGCATTAAACAGTTACAGAGACTTCTAGCTCAAGAAAAATAGCAGGTTATCACAAAAGGTTATACAGAAATTCAGGTGGAAATGATGACCAGAAAAAGGTAAGGAAGTAGGAGAAAAAAATGCAGGAAAATATGAATAGGAAAAAAAGGCCTACTGAAATATGAAAGCATGGCTATAGAGCAGTGTTTCTCAACGTTGACAATTTTAAGGCATGTGGACTTCAATTCCCAGAATTCCACAGCCAGCATTGCTGGCTGTGGAATTCTGGGAGTTGAAGTCCACATGCCTTAAAATTGTCAAGGTTGAGAAACACTGCTGTAGAGTAATACAGAGAAGGAAGTGTCCTAAGGGAAAAACAGAAAGGGAAAATTTGCACACACTTAATTTACCTACTTTATTGGAGGCATTGAACTTTTGCACACACTTAGTACAAAGGCAGCAAAATGAGAGAGTAACATTGTCAAAGATATAACTTGCCTGGCAGATGAAATAGGACGACCATCCTTCTGCCATTCAATGGTTAAAGAGGGGGAAGCGTCTACGCGACAAGGCAGTCGGACTTGTTCACCAATGCTAGCATCAACTATCGAAGGCTCATTCTTATACATTTTTAACCTGCAAAGTAGATGCATAAAATGTTTTTTTTTTAAAGGATCAGAATTCCTTCTTTGATTTTAATCACTCTTTTCAGCAAGTGCCGGGGGATTTCCTTGTCAATCTGTGACCAAGTTGGCTGAAGGCCAGGTTTGCCATTGGCAAAAGATGGTATCTCAGGCCAAGGTAAAATAATTCCAGAGCAGTTTCTGCCTCTGCATAGTTTCCTGTATTTTTGAGAAAATTTCTGGCGGATAAATTGGTAGAAGTGATGCCTGGGACACAAGTGGAGAACAACAAATAGTGAATCTGCTGAGTATATGTCCAAGGATTTGTGATTCCTACTGGCTCAGCAGTTGGCAACCTTGGCTAGATCAGTCTTTGCCCAACTTGGGCTGCTGAACTAATTACAACCTTATCTGAGAAATGTGGACTTTAAGATAAGATGAGATGAGATAACTTTTATTGCCATTTTTACTCTGAGCACATTGGCACACATTAAAAATGAAATTCTGTTGCCTGTTCTCAAAAGAAAGTGTGTGTGTGTGTGTATGTGTGTATGGCTGACAAAGAGGGGAGGAGAGCCGGTGGCCTGGTGGTTAATACAACTGCCTAGCATGTAGGCTGCCTAGCTTTGAATCCTATAAAGGGTTTGGTTAGCTGATGAGAGCAAAATGAGCAAAATGTGTGTGTGTGTGTGTGTGTGTGTGTGTGTGTGTGTGTGTATAAATATATACATATATACATATATGCACACACATACACGTTTATACACACACATATATACATATAATATACATATATGTATATACATATAACATGTATACACATATATTAATCACTGTCCATTTTGAATATATAGCAGAAAGAGGAAACTTGAGAGTTCACAAGGTTCACAAGGTTGAATACTGAAAATGGTGTATAAATTTGATAAATTAAATTTATCTATATTATATAATTGAACTTTCACTCTTTTCTCCTTTCACCATGATTTGAACCTAAATGGACCATTACAGAGATTCCTCTTTAGCCAGTGTGCAGCTCTCTCTTAACCCTTTACAAAATGTAGGCTTGTATAAATACATCCCTGTTAACTGTTCCCTTGGCTACAGGCCCAGATAATGCTGTTAGCCACAAGAATCCCATGTAACAGAATGTACTCCTTATAATTTATCTGGCTGTGTGTGATGTTTTCAGCAAGAATTTCAACAAGATCATGCAACTGTCTGGGGACCTACATCAGTCAATTAATCCAGATACAGCAGGTTAGGAGGTTGACTCCTAACCTGTAAGCAAGAATAAAGAATAACGTAACTGAATACTTATGACACATGATTGCAAAACAAATGACTCCCATTCCCTTTGATAATGTTCTATGCATGCACTCTAGTTTTTGACTGGAGAATTATTTCCAATTATTGAAGCTAGTAGCAATGGCTAGAGATGGGTCAGGGATCAATGACTAGAACTGGGAATAGCAGATTACCTATTCCATTTTTATACTTTCTTCTGGGCGGATTTCTTTGCAGAAGATGGCGTAAGAGTTACCCTTGTCTCTGAAATGACGTACTTATGCTCAACCCCATTGTCATACTGAGCCCTTTAAAAAAAAGATGAGTTGCTAAAGATAAACTCTTATAGTTCATCATCTGTCTCAATGCAGCATTTCTTAGTCCTTTTTAATGGAGCAACATTCTAGAAAGTGACTCACGGTTGTTAATGAGATGATGCCCACCTACACGAGAAGCAATTTTGAGCTGATGCATGTGAACCTGGGCTGCAAGCTGGCCACTGAGTTTTATTACAAAACTGCCCAGTGATCAGTGAAAACAAACTATTTGACTAATTGCTTGCCTGTACACCTTGTTTTGCTAGAATTTGTTTCCTGCAGTATGGTTTTATTTCTATAATGAATATTTATTAAAGACAATAATTAATTTCTTAATGATTGTTTCCTCCTCCTCAAGGAGCCAAGCAAAATACAGAAAACTGCCTAAGGCATAAAATGATTTCATTAAAACACTTTGATATCAAGGGTTGCTTAAATTAAGTCCCTTGGGGTTCTTTCGGTTGCTTGATCAGGTCCAACCAGTGAAAAGAAAAAAAAAAACTTCTAAAAAAAAATAGGTTAAAGTTGCTCCAGATTCTGTGTTGTAGGGCTGATTTCTAAGCATTAAGATTAGATACAATAGCACTATGATTAAATAGCCAGCTCTTGTTTGATCAGCTTCCAAACACATCTCTAAAAAGCACACAGCACAATATGTGGAACATGAGCTGCTCTGAGAAGTTGAAAGATATACCTATATGTTATTTGAGGATGTAGAGAAGAAACATGTGACCGCCCATCATTAGTTCCTGTGCCAAAGATTCTGTGCTGGGGATTTTGATCATGAGTAAGTTGATGCCGTCTTCCCTGGGTGAGCGTAGATTGAGGGATTTCTAGACAAAGAAATAGGACAAAGACGCCATCAGGATTGGACTTTCAGAAATCTTTGGGGGCTGACAAAGGGATGGGTCTTTCCAGGGTTTGTTTGGCTAGCTAGGAGGTTTTCCTTGTACCACCTAATGAGAAGGAAGGAAGGACTCACTGGAGAAGGGCCTAATGCTGGGAAAGATTGAGGGCAATAGAAGAAGGGGACGACAGAGAATGAGATGGCTGCATGGAGTCACTGAAGCAGTAGGTGTGAACTTATTTATTTTATTTATTTATTTATGAGACTTATATACTGCTTTAAGTGCAAGCACTCTCTAAGCGGTGTACACCAGTAAGCAATGTATATATATATATATATATATATATATATATACATTGCCCCCAACAATCTGGGTCCTCATTTTACCTACCCCGGAAGGATGGAAGGCTGAGTCAACCTTGAGCCGGTGAGATTTGAACCGCTGACCTGCTGAACACAGTCAGCTAACGTGGCCTGCAGTACTGCACTCTAACTGCTGCGCCACCTCGGCTCATTAAACTTAACTTAAATAGACTCCAGAAGATGGTAGAGGACAGGAAGACCTGGAGGAATGTTGTCCATGGGGTCGTGATGGGTCGGACATGACTTCGCAATTAACAACAACAACAAGTTTCCCATAAGATGGAGGAGAGCTTTCCAAGCATTGGAACCACAGAGCAGGATAAAGATAGCATATGTTTTGTACTCTGAGGCAATTTAGAAAGGATATTATTTTCCATTGATGGAAAAAAAAAGTAGAATGACCTGCTGCTTTATGGATGTTTTGAGTAACAAAAGAATAAATAACCTTTGATCAGCAGCTCAATCTGTCTGCGTTCCGCTCTCCCGTTTGAAATTATGCAGGTGTAGATCCCCGCATCCTCAGTCCTGAGATGGCTAATCACCAGGGAGCTGTCAGACTGGTAGGTATGCCTACAGGGGAAGAAAATTAAAGGAGTGTCAAATATGGTAGACTGGAAATTACACCAACTCAGTGACAGTCACTGACATAATCAATTGACATAGAATGACATAGTCATTGACAGGGTCAAATGCATATTAATAGTAGTTATTCTACTATTAGAGTATGGGAATAAGAGCAAGTGAGTGATGCTAAAAATGAATGGCTGGCAGGTTTCTTACTGGCTATGTGAAGACAGTGAAATACAGGTAGTCCTCAACTTATGACCACAATTGAGCCCAAAATTTCTGTTGCTAAGTGAGAATTTGTTTAGAGAGTTTCGTCTCATTTTATGACCTTTCTTGCCACCGTTGTTAAGCGAATCACTGCAGTTGTTAAGTTAGTAAGATGGGTTGTTAAGTGAATCTGGCTTCCCCATTGAGTTTGCTTGTCAGAAGGTCGCCAAAGGTGACCACATGACTTTGGGACACTGCAACCATCGTAAATGCATGCCAGTTGCCAAGCGTCTGACTTTTGTCACCATGGGGATTCTGCAACGGTTGTAAGTGTGAAAAATGGTCATAAGTCACTTTTTTCCAGTGCCGTTGTAACTTCAAACAGTTTACTAAACCAGTGTTTCCCAAACTTGACAATTTTAAGGCATGTGGACTTCAACTCCCAGAATTCCACAGCCAGCGTTGCTGGCTGTGGAATTCTGGGAGTTGAAGTCCTCATGCCTTAAAATTGTCAAGTTTGGGAAACACTGTACTAAACAAACTGTTACAAGTCAAAGACTACCTGTAATGCAGCAATGAAAACATGCATGTGAAGCTCACTGAAGTTCACACCATGATCAGAGGTTGTAGGTTTAGACATTGACAATTTCAAATGTGAAGCCTATGACCTCAAAGTTCCATTCACAGGGCATATGAGGTGGATCCAGGGATCAGACCTACCTATCAGATGAGATCGGCTGTCCATCTTTCTGCCACTCAACTCTAGATAAGTGTGAATTGTCTGTCTTACAGAGAAGACGAATGCTTTGTCCTAGGCCTGCCTCCACCGCAGAAGACTCTGATCCATCCAAAAAGATTCTGAAAGTTTCCCCCAAAATGGATATGCATAGTGGGTTAGATAGGAACTTGTATGAAGCATGATTCTAAAAAATTAGCAAGACATCCTCACTATTTCTGTGGGAAACCATGCTAATGCAAATACGTACCTGTTCAGAGAATATTGAAAAGTAGAACCTTGTGGGATTTGATACCCAAATCTTCTCTGTGTTAGCCCATCTGTTCCAGATTCCCTCCTCCACTCTTCACGTTGTGTGGTCTGGCCATTCACAGTCAGCTGCTTCTCTGACTGTCTGGAAATCACAGTCTCACTCAAACCACGCATATGGTCTTCTGTGCCCCTTTTAATTTCATCAAGAGTACTTGAGTGATGAGAACTTTCTGGCTGGTTTCCTAGCAAGCTAGTTCCTTGTTCAGATTCAGGTAAGGCATCTTGATTGGAGGAAGTCCTATCACTATGACCTTCATTTCCTGTTCTGTGACTTATAGTTCTTCCAAATTGTTGTGGTTTTACCTCTGTATTCCCTTCTTGCAGTTGAGAACTAGAATGGATGTTAGGACTTGCGACATGATGGTGAATACTCCCATAGCTTCTTCCCATTGATCCGTGGCAGGTTTTCATGCATTCTTCTTCAGTAGCAAAGTTGTTCTTATTCCCATGACAACTTCCGTACCAAAATCGATTGCATTTTCCAACATCGCTTACAAAATACCAACGTATTGTCCAATCTGTGCAGGAACCATGGGCACTGGGTAACAGACACTGGACAGGATAAGCTAGCAACAAAGGCCAGAAGAGAAATGATATTTGTATATTGTTTATTTATCATGCTATCAACTTCTTTGGCTTCCTCTATTGTACTTTTTCCCATGCCTGCATGAATCTGCTTCCCCTAAAACAGTAATTCCTCACTTGGCAATCCCTAGATGTGTGGACTTCAAATCCCAGAATTCCACAGCCAGCATCACCATTGATGAGAATTCCAGGAGTTGAAGTTCTCACCCTGGGAAATTGCCAAGGTTGGGAATCAATATACAAAAAGGAATTGTGTGATATGTATGTATGCAAGTGATTTCATCTGGGAGCCTGAACAGGTTTTACTTCAAACAGAAACGTATTGGTGAATCTTTCTTATGAAGACCCTTGGAATGTACAAATTCTGTAAAATCTGACTACAAAAGCACAAAATATTTTTCTATGCAAGAAATATAGACAACAGAATTAAGATATAATGATATTTATATATTTCAGGTCGAACTCTGACAGGTCTTTTTAAATCAGATTTTTGATTGTATAGTACAGTGATGGCAAACCTTTTAGAGACCGAGTGCCCAAACTGCAGCCCAAAACCCACTTATGCATTGTCGGGTGACGAGCGGGTGTGGCCCATTGGGTGGGTGTGGCCCATAGGGTGGGCGTGGCTGCAGTGGTAACAGCAGACTGGGTGGGACTAAAAAGTTCAATCAATCAATTCCAACTTTGCAAGATCTTTTTTTCCCCGCGAGAAGTTGAAATTGACTGATTGATTGAACCTTTTGTTTTGTACATGGCGGCGGAGGTCTAAAGCGAAAAGGTTTTATAAAACCCAGTTGAAGGCCTAGGACTGGGGCGACGGTGCGTGTGCCCACAGAGAGGGCTCTGAATGCCACCACTGGTATAGTACATAGTCCACATTCAGTGACCACACTGAGCAAATTATTCAAAGTTAGGATGGCTCTGAATGAGGGGACTTACAACCATTCCTCATAGTTGTGGTGGTTGCTAGGTGAAATACCAGGTACCTCATTTCAAAAACCAAACGTCACTTACATTGGCTGAGTCTTGTGGGACATCCTTCCCCTTGAGGCCCTAAAGCAGAGGCAATGTTGTCATAGCAACAACCATACATAGAACCTCGGCATTCCTCTGTTGGCACCTGCTGGGCCAGAACTTGGCTTGCCTTAGAGAAAACCAGATGTTACTCAGATTATACTATTCAACAATGTTTATTGATTCAACTGAATCAATCCCAGAAAGAGTTCATAATTCAGTTACATTTTTTCTTACAGAATCAAATACCAAAAAGCTACACTGCTAATTTTAATGGGATGAATGGAAATAGCCCATTATACCCTGTGAAAGACAGCAAAACACACTTGATAATATTTTACTCTATCTTAGCAAGACTTGGAGGAATTGTCTGCAGAAATAGAAAAATCATAGAATTGTGGAGTTGGAAGGAAAGCTACCTTCTCTAGCTTTTCATCTGGAGGGGCAGAAGAACCAATGAACTTTTGAACCTAATTCAGTTTGCAGATATCTATGGAAGCATCAAATTTATCAAGAGGACACAGGAAAACAGCACTGATTTTGGATAAATGCAGTCATTGTATATGGGATAGCTAAGGGGAAATAACTATATTCCAACATGTCTTCTAGAAGGTGTAGAAGTTTCCATCACTTACTGTTGGAGTGGGAGTAACAAGATTTCTGCTTATGTAAACATCACTGTAGTATTGTGTGCACCCTTCTTGATTAGGTCCATGGGAACGTGATACTCCATCAGGGCAGCATCCATATCTGGGGGGGAAAAACAGTAACATGTTCAAAACAACCCAATATATCAGCTTCACCTGTAAATTGCTCATTTAATGAGCTAGTCCTACCTGCTCAGATGGCAAGAATCAAGTGGGCAACCTTGGCCAAAGGGACCTGCTGCAGCAGTGCGACCATCTGAACAACAGCCATGAGGAGTATGGTTGCAGTCTTGATCATTACCGTCACCATTTGGATAAGAATGGGACCGACGGGACACAGAAGAGTCTGAGTAAGAATCCCCTCCAAGAGGTAAGAAATTGGAGCGAGGACTCTCATTTGGCTGGACCTGGCGATGAGTAGAGCCAGCTTGGATTATTCTTTCATGTCTAGAAACTGAAAAATATAGGAGGAAAATCCTTTGGACCTTTCAAGGAAAACATAATGTAATGCTATATAACTTGTAATCATATTTCACTAGGGCAAACTCTTACTAGAGGTGTTGTGTAGTAGTGAGATCCACACAGGTTTCTCTATTTTTTTTTACCCCAATATCCCTGCACCTTCCCTCAACCCACCACATTCATTCTTGCTCACCTGAAGTAGATCACCTGTACTTACAAGGCTTATCACTTAATGTCGCACTCAATCATTATGCAGAAAGTCTGAAAATAAGTAATCTAGCACAATACACCCCCAAATTAGAGTAATTATCTCTACTATCAGTTGTTAGAAATGAAGAGGAGTATGATAGCCCTTTATTAGACTAACAAATGTTATTAAGATGCATACCTTTTGGTGGCCACTCCATGCATCTAATAAAGTGAGCTATAACTCATGAAAAATCTATACCTTTTAATCAAATTTGTTAGTCTGATAAAGTGCTACCAGACTCCTCCTGATTTTGGGCTACCAAAGACCAACATGGTTCTCCTACAATATCAATTGCAAAACTGGGTCTGTCCATTTGACAGTAAAACAAAACTAACCTATGTAAAATAATGATTTTCATTTGTTTGTTTGTTTGTTTGTTTATGACATCATTAGGATCATAGTTGAGGATCCTTAATTGTACATACATATAACCTGAAAAAAACCTCAGGGAAATGGAAATGGTCCAAAAACTTAGCTAGCAACTTCCAAGGCAAGATTATTAATATTGAGCAAACTCCTTGCTTCATTCACAGAACTTAGGAAGGAGACAAAAGACAATACCTTTCAGTGGTAACCTCTTACATTTTCTCATTATTTTTCCCCTTCACACAGAACAAATCTTTGAGGAGCAAAAATGGGAATAAACACCCAAAGCGTCTGATGGATGGACTGGTTGCCTGGAAGCACGTAGCTTCTCTTAGTTTATTTCTAGGAATCCAGGAAGATTACTTTGCAGCTGTGCAGTGCTACAGTTATCAGACAGGGGGGTAATAATAAAGGGGGAGCAAGAAGAACCAGGATCTTAATGGGAGGATTAGAATCAAGAGAGTAAAGCAGCGTGCTATTAATTTTTCAAACTTACATACTTTCCTGCCCATGATATGTATGAAAAAAAATAACAGGCATGGGAAAACAAAAGAGCTTAGTTCCACTTTATATTACTGCGTAGTAAGGTTTGGCATACAGATTTGAAACCTGAACACATTAGGGAATATTGTGGGAGAAGGAGAAAGAAAAGTTTTCTTCTTCTTTTTTTCACCTGAAACTTATCCTTCTTCTTTTTCCAGAAATCTAAAAGAATATTAAAGATTCTTTTTCCTAGCTGGCTGGACTCTTGAATTCAAAAGGCCATTTATACCAGAATGGGACAACTCGCCGCAGCCAATTCACCATAAGACAACTCACTGTGGGCTAATTCAACAATTCAATTCAATTACTTAAAATAGTTAAAAAAATATTTTAATGTTCTCATTCACATTTCATTTTGTCCCCCCCTCCCTTGCCATTCTTTGTTAAGGATTTTGTTCCACTATTTCTATGATATTACTGTAACTCTTGTCCTGCAGCAAGTTGTCTTGTGGCAAATTGTCCCTTGGTGAGTTGGCTGCAGTGAGTTGGCCACAACAAGTTGGCCATAGTGAGTTGGCCATGGTGAGTTGGCTACGCGAGTTGGCTGTAGTAGACTCCATTTATACTGGGGCTAAATGTGAAGACTGTCCACAACAACACATTGTGGACAGTCTTCATTTGAATTATGCCCAGTATGCACAGGATATAGAATGAATGCCATTTCTTTTCTTATTTTATACTCATTTAACATGAAAGAAGACTGAGCATGGTCAGATTTCAGAATTTTGTATTCTCTTTGCCTCTTATAGTTTCCTATTGAATATCATTATGAGGAAACATGAAGTGTGGAACTGAAGCAAAAAGTGCAAGCTTGGGTGAACGCCAAGTGAAAACCAGCCATATTGGCTGATCCCTCCCCACCCACAAAAAAAAAGCTAAATAGAGGTTGACCTTAATTAATACTTGGATAGCCAACCACCAAAAAATCCAGAGCTGTAGTCTAGCCCAAGAAATACTAATACTATCCCAGAAGAAGACAATGGCAATTCACTTACAAGTCAAGAATCTATAAGTGTCTACTGCCCTAGGAGTCAAGGCTGGCTAATAAAGTCTTTAGATAAAATTGGCATATTCAATCAAAGCCCAACAGGATTTCCTACTTTTCAGGAAACCTGTAAAGTACCAAAAGACACATGATTTAAGGACCAAGTACAGGTAGGATAGAATTGCCTGAGAAAATACTAGTATCTTTAAATTAGGAATTGGAAATACTGACAGGCAAGGCTTGCCCCATGCCTTCTGCAAAACCATAAATGATTCTTAGAGTCTACTCAGGAAACACTAGTTGTGACATACAATTAGTTAACAAAGCATTTTAAATTTATCCTTCAGGTTCGTTGAAGACTTGAGGCAAGTCCTAAGTTGGATCTCCAGTGAGGAGATTATTAGAATTGGTGGGTTATCCATAAGCACCAATCTCTCCCTGAGCATATTGTAGGCTCCAGGTTATTTGTTGTATGTCTGTGTTATTGGCAAGTCACCGTGACCACCATTTTGTGTATAGGAAGCTCCTTTCTCCCACACAGTCATAACATGTGCTACAACTTCCAAATGTGCACACTGGTTCCAACTGGATTAGTGACTAAGAGTGGAAGCAGATATCAATTTATCTCCCCATCTTCATAGTCACGTCATCTTTGCTTTCTGTCACTGTCACTGAGAAAAGCAGGAAAATGAAGGCAGTGCTAGTGGGTCCAAAGCCTTTTCCCTAGAGAACTATAGCCTGAACTGCAAGACTTCCATTTCCTTAAAAATGGGAAAGGGGAACATGTTGAAAAGCTACTCAGAGAAAAGCAAAATAACACTGGTTGAAGGAAGGGCATTTCCAAACCTTCAGTGCCTTGGTCAGGATGGTAGCGGGTCAATAATGTCCGACGGCTGGTATTGAACCCTGTGATGTCTTGCATACTGGGAACCTCTGCAGGAATAGGAATACATATAGTGCATTATGCTGTATAAAAAATAAATTCTCTACTCCCACACCCATCAATTAAAGGGAATCTAAGGACGTATTTTGTTGTGTAGTGGTAAAATGGCACTTCAAAATAGACGGAAATAAAGCTCCATTAGAAAACACAAGGGAAAAGTTCTACAGACTTTAATACCCAGAGTGTACATTGGAAAATATTAATATCCCTTAAGAAAGAGGCAAAAGAAAAGGAGAGTAAGTTAAAACTTAATAGAAAAGTGCATAAAAAATTCCCATTTGACCCTCCAATACCCCATTAATATCCCTGCCAAAACTCCCAAAGTGTGTGGACCCATTTTTTTTTTATAGTTTTGGGGAAAATTTAAAGGATGAAATGAGTTTCTTAATTTTCCTAGACTTTCCTGGTCTTATTTGATTTCAATGGCCTTTGATACTATTGATTGTGTTATCTTTATGGACTATTTCCAAGGGTTGGGAGTAGGAGGCAGTAGTACTGTGGTTTTTCTTTCCCTTGAGAAGACTCCAGATAGCATTGGTGGGGTGGAGAATTCAGCCTAAGATCCCTGCTTTGCATAGTTCCCCAGGGTTTAACACTTTGTGCTCTTCTTTAGTATCCACATCAGCGGTTCTCAACCTGTGGGTCGCAACCCCATTTGGGGTCGAGCGACCATTTCATGGGGGTCGCCAAACAACGTGATCCGCCATTTTTTTCTGGGGCAGCGCATGGGGGGCGCCGCCGCGCATACACGCTGCGCAGGGGCGGCGCATGGGGGTGGCACCGCCCATGGGTGCTGCACAGGGGGCGGTGCATGGGGGCGGCGCTGCGCATGCACGCTGTGCAGGGGGCACCGCCACGCGGGGTGGCGCATGGGGGCGCTGCCATGCATGCGTGCTGCATAGGGGGCGGCACCGCGCATGCACACCACGCAGGGGCGGCACTGTGCATGCGCACCACGCAAGGGGCGGCACCGCACATGCGCTTCGTGCAGGGGCAGCACCGCGCATGCGCACCGCCTGCTAAATACCGGGGTTGCCGTATAAAAAGGTTGAGAACCACTGATCTACATGAAGTAGCTAGGTGAAGTAATCTAACGGCATGGGGCCAGATATCATCAATATGTGGATGTTACTCAGTTGAGTATCTCTTTCCTGGCCAATCAAATAATACTGCTGAGCTTCTTCTCAGGTTATTAGGATATGGATGGAGAGGTACAAGTTTAAGCTCAACTTTAGAAAGATCCAGTAGCTATGGATTCAAGGACCCTGTGTTTTCAGGGATTTCCCATTTCTAATTCTTGATGAGAGAATTACTTAATTTGTTGTAGGGGTTAAGATAACCGGCCATAAACTGGGAGACTATGAGTGTTAATTCTACCTAGGCACAAAGCTAACTTGATGACCTTGAGCCAGTCACTCTTTCTCAGTCCTAGGAGGATGGCAATGACCTGTCACCTCTGCTTTCTAGTTTGATTATTTTTTTATTTGCAGCAGTAATGAGCTTTAAACTGATAGTTATTATTTCTTTTTCTTCTTGTTTTTCAAGGTATTCAGCTAGAGCTGACACAGTAATTGAGGGATTTATACATGAAATAAATATACATAAAAATGGATAGTCATAAAATCTTCCAAACTGGGCTGATTTTTATTTTTTGGAGTGGTTTTAAAGCACCAAATGGACACCTTATGTTTTAGTAAATCTCCAAGCATTTCTTTTGTCCTTTAAATTCTCCAAAACTTAAGAAAAAAGTAGAGTAGAGAAACCTAGCACCACCAACTCTAATATTACCACAGTGTCATGTTGTTTGGTCACGTCAAGCCCCTTTCAGCTCCCACCCAACCAGGGCACCAACTGGAAGCATGGATCACAGGACAAAATAAGTTGTCAAATACTCCTTTAAAAATCAGCAGCACTGATTTTTTTTAAAAAAATAATTGATTCTGAATAGCTTGATATTGATAGCAAGTAACCAATCTGATACTAATTTCTGTGGAATAATACTATTGGGAAGTTTCAATGAGAAGACAACGAACTCCCTCCCAAAAAACTACTTTCAACAATAACATAACAACAAACCAATTATTTTTTTCAGTGCTTTCTAGATTTTCTAGAAATCACAGATTTTTGTTGTGACCCAAGAAAATCATAATTCAGTACTAAAGAACATATTTTTGGATATTAAAAAGTCTAAGGTTTAATCTTAGCATTTTTATGTGGAAAAACAAAACATAAATCAAGTCACATTGTGACCTGAATGAGCCCTCTGTGTTTAATCCCCACAAAACACAAATCATAAAAATATGTTATCTCTTACAGCAATCCTAGAATTAATTTACTGGCTGGTAAGGTCCAATCTACTAAGGCAGAAGTTTACTCATTTTTTGCTAACCTCATTTATTCTAATATGCATCGCATCATCCCCTTTTTTTTACAAATCAGTAATCAAACATAGGACATGAAGAATACTGAGTCATCAATGCAACATTTCTGTAATGGATGTTTCATAGAGGTATAATTTAACATGTATAAAACGGAAAAGCCTACCAGTTACACTATATGACGGTGGGATTCCTATCTGTTCCTACATCCCAGATGCCTTGGAAGTAGATGCTGAGACTACCACCACTTTGCACTTACGTTGAGGCAGATGACAAGGTTGTGTATTGCAGCTCCCAAGCATGGTTGGTATCTGTGGCTGTATCTCTTGGCAAATCTCATGACTGTAGAATTTGGAATCACCATCAGCACAGATGACTTGGCGGGTTCGGATACCAGAACCACAGCTTTTGGAGCACTTGATCAAAAAATGGTAAAGATTAAAACAATGGATAATCAGAGGAGAAGCAAAGAATCACCAAAGGGCCAGAGGCCTTGTGGGTGAAGTGTCAAGGAACAAGTCTGCAAATGCTACTTGGGGGTTTTCCAGTCTGAAACCCTCCAGTCTTCCTGCAGCCATTCTAACTTGGAATTCTGAAAATCCCAAAAACCCAACCTCATCAGAATCATGGCAAATCCAGGGAAAGAAACTGGTAAAGAACAAAGAGCTGGTAGGAATAGTTATTTCCAGGTCAGTTAGTAGGACTGATAAATAAGGCCCAGGAATTCTGCAGGCAATTGTTCTTTGAGGCAATTACAACTAAGGCACTTTACAGTTTCATTTCCAGAAAGTAAGATCATGTGAGTATCACCATCCTGTCCCAGAAAGCAACTGATTAAAATATCTATGCTGTCACCATGCCCTAGCTTTGTGCTAGGGGTTATTCAGGTTGGTGTCCTCCTTCTTGTGGTTATTTTCATTATCCCAGGAGATCAACAAATATGGTGTGGATGCAAATGGGTCTTTGTAAGAATGTGAAAGAGGAAGCAGGGACGGGACAAAAACTGGATTAGTCCTCTAGGACAGGGGTTCTCAACCTTGGCAACTTTAAGACTTGTGGACTTCAACTCCCAGAATTCCTCAGCCAGCTTTGCTGGCTGAGGAATTCTGGGAGTTGAAGTCCACAAGTCTTAAAGTTGTCAAGGTTGAGAACCCCTGCTCTAGGGAAATGTGTGTCATACTCACCAGTCCCCAGTCTCCAATATGCCAGCCAACCTCTTGTATACAATTCTCCCCGATGCAGGGCTGGGTGTGCGGAGGTTTTCGTTCTCTTGAGCAAGCAGCATCTAGAATCTGAGGGCCCTGTTCAGACTGGCAGCTTACAGTCCGGGTTTGAATACCTTCACCACAGCTTACTGAACACTGTAAAAAAAAATTATCTGCTCGTGGCATGACATACATCTCTATCGCTGATGTTGATTTGTTCTGCATATTCTACAGTCTGAATGAAGATCTCTTCAGTGTTCAGGTTTTCAACGTTTCACTGAAATGCTATGGCATTCAGGCATGTGGGCAGTTCCAGAGATTTTGCCATGGGGTTTGACTTCTTTTGAATGTGAACTGCAATTGTGGCTTGTTATTTTATTTTATAAATAAAATTTATTAAAGTTTATAAATTTATAAATATTTTATAAGTTGTAAGACGCATCCATTTTTTTAGAATTTGTTCCCCTTCTCTTTTTCTGATTTTTATCATTTAAAAAAAATCCCCATTTTTTGGTATATTTAGTCTTTTGTGTACATTTTGTAATTTTTCTAATTTTAAATACATGCTTTAAACATGATCATAATCAGTTAAATGATATTCAAATATTTATGTACTTTATTTATATATTTTTATTTATTTGTTATATTTATAACCTATTTTTCCTCTAGGAGGCCTATACGGTGATCTTTCCTCTGCACAAAAACAATCTTGCAAGGTAATACAGAGTGAGATGGTGGACATATAAATCTAATCAATCAATCAATCAAATTGGGCTGAGAGGAACTGATATGTCTAAGATTATACTGAGCTTCCATATCTATGGTAGATTTGAACTTGCCCCCTCCCCATGATCCTAGATCAGTGGTGGCGAACCTATGGCACGAGTGCCAGAGACGGCACTTGGAGCCTTCTCTGTGGGCACGCATGCCATCGCCCCAGCCCCTTCCTCACCAGCAGCCCCCCTGTGAGGCCTGTGTGAAGCAGTGCAGCCAAGTACATGGCAGTTGGGGAGCAGAAGATGCTGCGGAGCGCGGGCGGAGGGCATGGCCACCATGGCATTGCAGGGCCATTTGGGAGATCTGAGGGCGGGCACTGAGTCTCTAAAAGGTTCGCCATCACTGTCCTAGATGAACACCTGAACTACCAGTCCACATCTGTATTTAATCTCACTCTGTACTTGTGGTACAGGCGCACACAAAGTTATGATGAGCCCCAATGTTAGACAATGCTGTCGTATTACAGGTAGTCCTTGTTTAGCAACTGCTCACATTTGGAACTGTGATGAAAAAGTAACTTTATAACCAAACCTTGTTTTTATGATCTTTGCAAGTCTATAAAACAAAGCTGAAAAAAGAGAATTAGCACAATCACAGTTTTACTCTGTGACCTCTTCACTTAATGTCTGAGTTGCCAATCCCAAATGTCACCATTAAATGAGGACTACCTGTATTTCCAATGGTTTACTGAGTACCACAATCATAAAAAGCAAATCAGGGTGCCCCAAGGGTGCCCTGGGGCTAGATGATCTTTTTCTTCCCAAGGCACAGAGGAAGCTGGGCCAATCCTGCCTCAGTATAGATATTGTACATAGAGGAAAAAGCTCACCTCAGACCAAAGACTTGTAACCCATGTGGCACACCGCTGCAGGTTGCAAGGCTGCGTACTGCGTGGTTTCTCTGTTAAGGAGGCGCATTCGGTATCATCCACAGCATCCTGAAAATTATGTCCATTGTACGTGGCACAGTAAACTGAACGGCTTTGAATGCCCCCTCCGCAGGTGGCAGAGCACTGGCTCCAGTCACCAGTTTTCCAGCTAAAAACAAATTTAAAAAAAAAACAACTCTCAAGAAACCAAAAAGCCACTAGTATCCCGGAACAAAACGTTCTCACAATTAGTTCCTGGGATGAGCTTTTTTTGATCACAGCTTTTATCCAGGTAATAAGGGTTAGGAAAAAGACGCCTGAAATATGGGAATTAACACAGTCATATTAAAAGCCAGGAATTCTAAATTTCTAACAGCATTAAAAATAACAGGGGTGCCAATCTAAGGAAAGGAAGTAGATGAAAGGAATCAAAAAGACAATTTGAGGTGAAGTATTAATAGGTGCCTCAAAGATGGAACGGTTTAGAAAGGGAGGAAGTCTTTCTCCAGGAGAGAGTAGTAGAATGTCACTATTTTAAGGGATTGCAGCACCAAGAGTTATATTAAGACAAACCCCAGATTCTACATGAGGAATACCATTACCGTATGATCTCTCTATATCAGTGTTTCTCAACCTTGACAATTTTAAGGCACATGGACTTCAACTCCCAGAATTCCACAGCCAGCATTGCTGGCTGTGGAATTCTGGGAGTTGAAGTCCACATGCCTTAAAATTGTCAAGGTTGAGAAACACTGCTCTATATTATGCAGATGCTATGCACATTTTAAAAAAAATATTACATGCATTTTGCCTCTGCAGGGTCGCAATGTCTTTCCCACCATCAAAAAGTAGCTGGAGAAAATTTTATTTTCAGATAAAAATGTGCCTATGAAAAATTTTGCACATTTATACCCAACACTACTTGCATCAATGTGGTCTAGGGCATTTGGGATGGAGGGCTGATCTTTGTGAGATCTCCAGGGTCTAGCCTGGGGCTATGCTTTGAATAAAATATGAATTAATCAGATCTCGATATTCTTGGATGCTCCTGAAACATGCTTCACTCTGTACATGCATTGACACAAAACTCCACTTTTAACTTGACTTTTCTAAATTTGGGAGAAGCTTCGCCCGACGCTGCAAACAGGAGTAGCAAGGACCACAGTTGGAAGGCTGGGCTTTAATCAAAATTCCAGACAGTCAAACGCCAGCTCAAGCTGTCGTTTCCAACAGAAACTGCACAAATAACCTCAACTATCTTGGCACAGCATACAGACCAATAGGAGGCTCAGTGGAGAGTGACTATGGGAGTGGAGCATGGCATCTCAGAGGAAGTCCTTTTCTAAAAATAACTTCGCTGACAGGAGGCTAATCTAGGCAGCTCCTTCAATAGGACTAGAGAAGGAAGCAGACTGCAAAAAAGGATCAGTGTCTTAAAAAATAAATTCAGCCTTATATTCCAAGAGGAATTTTACTACTTGCTGCCTTTTATAGTTACGTATTATTTTAGGTTGCTGGGGAACAATATTCAGTGTAAGAAAATAAATTTCCTTCCATTCCCTGCAAACGGTATTGTCTTTCTCACTCCTGTGATCATTGCCATGATATATAGCTCTTTTCAGCCCTTAGTGGTCCCTTTCATAAAAAACATATTTTTGCTTCTCCAAACAGTATTTGTAATTATTCTCACTTCCCTCCAACCCCCGTGAGGTGATCACCCTATCTTCAGTTGGCTCCAGTTGTTAAAAAAAAAAAAGATAGGCAGCCAACTTCTTGTTTTTCCCCGTTCTTCCCTTGCTCATCTTTTTGGGCAAAACAATTAAGCCCCAATTGGTCATTGCTCAGGGGAAGTGCCAGCCATGCTTCAAAACAACTCTGGAGAAATGGGGATGGTGGCAAGCTGCAATGGGATCTTGCCAATTACAAGATGAGAAAAATGAAGCTGGGACTTGGACAAGGTGGAGGTTCCCATCAATGAGAAATCGACTGCCCGATCTCGACAGGATTTCCTTTGGAGGAGGAGCCAAGCTGATTGTTAATTGGCTCGCTTTCCATGTCCTTCATGAAGGATCAGAGAGGTAGAGATGGGCAACAACCATTTTATGTGCAAGGAGCAAAATGGAGAGAAAAGCCAATTTCCCCTACAAAAAATGAAAAAAAAATTGCTTAAATAGACTAATGATAGAAAAAACTATTCAGACCAAATCTCAAAGCTTTCATAATTAGGGCTACATTCAAGAGGAAACCCTGGCAACCAGCCCGTGGGCTGTGCTGCCCCGATTCATTCTGTTTTATGCCATTCATTCTCAGACTGCAAGATGGTGAACAAATAAGCAGCACTTGTAGCAAGAATAAAGCCAGGGTTGGATCACTAGATGGGACAATAGGAGTCACTTCACTCTAGTGAAAGAAAGCCATGGAAATCAATATCAGAAACAAAATGGCACTGCATTGTCAGGGGAGCCCAGAGAGATAACGGAGTCAACTTTCTCTAACTGGGAGCAATGGTGGTGAGGAAGATGAAGATCCATTAAAAAGGAAGATATGTGTTATGGAGTTGCTTTGGGTCAGATTCTTGGTGGAATTCCAGAAATCTAGAGTTGTCATGTACAAATTAAACCAACCTTTCTCAACCAAACCTGCTTCCAACTTATGAATCTCATTGGAAAAAAATAGCTGGGGTGGATTATGCATCAAAAGAAGAGCAAAGGGTACATAATGCTTTCCCAATATTCCCCTGCCCTAAATTACCAAACATCTTCCTCATCCAATCAAGCAACCATGTGGCGGATCCACATTTTAATGGCTTGCTACCAATATGTCTAGTAATTACCACCTAACGCTTTTATATTCACTTATCCAAAATAATTAGAAAACTTAAGAATTTTTTTTAGTCTCTCAAGAGATCTAGCATAACTTTTAAAGTTTACGAATCTTGAGACATCACTTATTTGCAACCATCTTGATTTTCCTTTCAAATCTTGTAAAATATCGAGCACTGGATCATCTGTTTTATTTCACCTGAAAAGAAATAAGTTTCAAATGGCAATGGTATTTCTGTCTTATAGACATACAGTATTCGCTGAGTTCTTATAATGGCTAAATCAAAATGCAGCCTGTTAGCTTGTGCTTACTATGTTGTTTTAGTCCAGCTCATCCTGAAATGAAAAGAAGGACTAGGGGCGACATGATAGCAATGTTCCAATATCTCAGGCGTTGCCATAAAGAAGAGGGAGTCAAGCTATTCCCAAAGCGCCAGAGGGCAGGACAAGAAGCAATGGATGGAAACTAACCAAGGAGAGAAGCAACCTAGAACTGAGGAGAAATTTCCTGACATTTAGAAAATTTATCAGTGGAACATCCTGCCTCCAGAAGTTGTGAATGCTCCAACACTGGAAGTTTTTAAGAAGAGACTGAACAGCCATTTGTCCGAAATGGTACTGTATAGAGTTTCCTGCCTGAGCAGGGGGTTGGACTAGAACACAGGTCAGCAACCTGAGGCTCCGGAGCCACATGTGGCTCTTTGAACCTTCCCCTGTGGCTCAGCCTCCTCTGCCATTTGCAGAGAGAGACAGAGACAGAGAGAGGCACTTGCGCTTCCCTGCTTCTCTCTCTGTCTCTGTCTCTCTGTGTGTTTGTGTGTGTGTTTGTGTTTGTGTGTGTATAAAAAAGAGAGTGGACAAGCTGAAAAGCTTTTTGGCTGGGGCTCCTGCCTTGGCTGCGTCTCTGCAGGAAGCAGGAAGGACAGGAGAGAGCTCGCTTGCCCAGCTATGCTGACTCAGGAATTCTGGGAGTTGAAGTCCATGAGTCATAAAAGAGCTGAGGTTGCCTATCCCTGAGCTTGTTGGAGAACAATTTGCCACACATCCTGATTTAGCATGTTGTGGGAACAGTTACAATTAAAGAATATAGCAAAAGATTTTATTTCAGGAATGGTGACTACAAGCTATATAGCATTGTAGCCATGCTTACTTCTCTGCTAATTTAGCCATATATTCCATATTCTATCATAGTGTGGGAGGATATATGACATTACATGGAAGATTCTTTTTTTGTCTGATTTGAATTATAAAGCATAATAAAGAGTAGATATTCCACTTGAAAAGTGCAGATACTCCACTTGAAAGCTCAAAAAACTTTTTGGTATCTTCTTCTGTAGGACTTAGGAGTTCCACTGGATCAGACTGGGTGTCCCATTAGGTTAAGACATAACAAAGTCATATCTTCACTTCCCCAAACAGTATTTGCAATTACTCTATTTCCCCATTCCCCACCCCTCTGATGGCTCTTTTGGTTTGGTTTAGCCCCTTGTTGAAATTATCAAAGCAAATGGCATCATCATGCTTTGTAGTAGTGAATTTTATTATGTGAAATATGACTTTTAATACAGTTGTACTATTGGTTGGTAATTCATCATTATGGAAGGACCTCTGATAAAGCCTTAGGATATGTAACTGAATCTGTAAAATGATCATCGAGACTAATGGGTATGGGAAAAATATAGAAAAACAAAAAAGAAAGGTTAGGTAAAACAATGCAGCAATCTCCAGTAATATTCATTTTTAATTTACTAAACTTCTCAGCAGGAGCTACTGGGGATATGATATCTAAACTCTTGGGCTACAAAGAAAAATAAGAAAATGTCTTCCTTCACCCTTCATCACACAGGATAAGAAGGCAAAAAGCACTGGCTGCCCAACACCATTATTTAGGGAGAAAAGCCAAAGCTTTAAGAACAAAGTCCATCAGCTAGAAGAAAAGCCTTCAAAAGTTCGTGGAACTTTTGGAAGATTTAGAGCCTCACCAGCCTTTGAGTAGCGTGCTGGGAGCCACACTCCAACCAGGATGTAGAGCCATGACAAAAAATTGTTTTTTATCTAAATTAAATTTTACCTTACTTGAATGTAAATTAAAATGATTGAATATACTCAGTATAATTGCTTGCTATGAATTTAATAATTCCTTCTGTCTGCAAATTACAACTTTTCAACAGCAATTTGGGGAGAGGCTATGTAGTCACACTGCTTGGATGAACAGGATGAACCTGTGCTTTAAATTACTACAGGTAGTCTTCAACTTACAATAGTTCATTTAGTGACCATTCAAAGTTACAACGGCACTGAAAAATGTGACATATGACTGTTTTTCACACTTATGACCGTTGCTCTATTCCCACGGCTACGTGACCAAAATTCAGATGCTTGGCAACTGACTCATATTTATGACGGTCGCAGTGGCCTGGGGTCACGTGATCACCTTTTGTGACTTTCTTACAAGCAAAGTCAATGGGGAAGTCAGATCCTCTTAACAACCATGTCACTAAATTAATAACTGCAACGATTCACCTAACAACTGTAGTTCAAAAGGTTGCAAAATGGAGTAAAATTCACTTAACAAATGTTTCACTTATCCACAGAAATTTTGAGCTCAATTGTGGTCGTAAGTCGAGAACTACCTGCATATGTCTCACCAGGCATGGAGGACCGCTAAGGTCTCTTCCAACCTTTCTGTTTTGTATGATTTCATGAATCTAGGTCTGTGGCTTTCAACAAGCATTTCTCAGGAATTTGTGGTTTGTTTTTTTTAGCAAATTCCTGCTGAATGAGCAGCTAATAATGCAAGGGGAGGGGGGAATACAAGCTGTTTACTAAGGTTAGGAAGCTTGAAAACCACTATTGTAGGTGAGGAGAAGGAAGAAAAGAGCCAAACCACTTTCTCCTAGTTACCTCTTTGTTTGCAAGTTCCATGCTCTGTTGCGGCTCCATGCTCCCGGCAGATAGAGGTAAGATACCCTTTGTATATAGAACAAAGATTTTAAAGCCCATAATAAATATATAGACATCTGGGTCTGTCTTTTACAATATGATTTCTATTCTTTTAGGGCCAAACTAAATGGGATTTTGATGACGGATTGAAAACTTCCGCTGCCATTTAAAAAAAAAAAAAAGTCTTATGACAGTGTTTCTCAACCTTGGCAATTTGAAGATGTTTGGACTTCAATTCCCAGGATTCCTCAGCCAGCCTGACCTTTCCTCAGCTAGCATGGCTGGCTGGGAATTCTGGGAGTTGAAGTCCACATGTCTTCAAGTTGCCAATGTTGAAAAACACTGCCAAAGGATGTTGGGATGGGGTCCAATTTGGATCGGGGTCACGGGCAGGCAGACAGCCTTTTCTCCTCTTTGCAGCTGTACCAATTTCCTGCACCAAAATAGATCACCCAGCATAGCTACTATTATGCAGAAAACATAGAGGCACCTTATTATTCACAAGAAGAAGAGGCAATTCAAATCAAGGCCAAATATGTGGGTGGTGGGAAGAATTCAGTTTCCCCTGCCTTTCATCATGTCTTCAAATCACTCCCTCGAAAAGTTGGATACAACAAAAAATATTGATGACGCTTTCATGGTTTGATCTCTTCATCTGAACTGTCCAGAATTTTTTTTTTGTTTTTTACAGCCACAAGAATTCATAAGTACCTGGAAATCAGCAATGGGTCATAGTAAATGGGAGGTGGGATTTTGGTCTAACTCTCTGTGTTGAATGTGACACATCCTTTGGAGATCTGAAGGTGGATACTTGTTTTGGATTCTGTCCATATTATAAGCAGAAACCTAATTATTCCTCAGAAAAGTTCTAGTGCTAAAACAGAGGAAACAATTTCATATCTCTAAAATTTTATAAAGAATAATATAGTCTTTTTGATAAAATGAAAAGGAATTCTCGCCACTCACCACTTGCATTTCATGCAATACGGTTTCCCATTAATCAGGAAATATTCAATGATCTTCTAACAGAAAGCTTTTATCTACCCTTCTTAGTATGTTTAGTAATACTGACACCTTCTCCTAAGAGAAGAGTCAGGTGCTTTTAATTTAATTAAATGGGTTGATGGTAAGTGGGAAAGTAAAGCACCAGCTTCATTTCCAGAAGGTCCCTGGACCCCACACAGACTGCACTGACTTGCTTAGGAAAGAAAAACAGTAGATGTCATAGCTATTTTTTTTTCTTTGTTCGTGGATTTATGGGTCTAGAAAGATGGCGCACATCCTGGAGAGCAACAATTTGCCAATATAAAAAAAAATAAAAGAAAGATAATAACATACATTTGATTAATAAATCAATAAAAATTATGTGTTGTGTGATTAGCTATTCCCAACCTGGAAAACATTTTGTGACTAGGCAAGCCTCAAAGAATAGATTGCCTATTCTCACCCAATTAGCTTGTAAGATATTTTTCTCAGATATTTTGTTCTGGCTTGTATGAGAAGAGGTCCCCGACTTACAGCCACAATTGAGCCCAAAATTTCTGTTACTAAGTAAGGCAGCTGTTAAGTGAGTTTTACCCCGTTTTATGACCTGTTTTGCCACAGTGGCTAAGCGAATCACTGCAGCTCTTAAGTGAATCGTATGGTCATTGAGTAAATCCAGATTCCCTCATTGACTTTGCTTGGTGAAAACTGGCTGGGATGGTTACAAGCGGTGATCACAAGAACCTAGGAAAGTGCAACTGTCATAAATAATGCCAGTTGTCAAGCACACAAATTTTGATCACATGATCATGGGGATGCTGCAACACTTTGTAAGTGTGAAAACCGGTCATAAGTCGCTTTTTTTCAGTGCCACTGTAACTTGGATCAGTCCCTAAATGAATGGTTGTAAGTTGAGGACCACATGTGCTTCTCCAGGGCTCAGGTTTCTCTACATGCCTTTTGCGTGAGAACAGCAAGGGCCCCGAACGGAGACTACCAAGTTATTTCTGACTATGACCGTTTCTTAGATTTCAAGGTATCTCAGAGAAGAGAGAAACCAAATCAAAGCTCACCGTTTTGTGTGGGGACAGGCCTGGAGGCCACAGGTTCGGTTATTTCCTGGCCATGGTTTATCTCTGCACATGTAATCTGGATATGCTTCATTGTCAATGGTACAAAAGACCAGACGAGACTGATAACCTGAAGAGCAGACAAAAAAACAACGACAAAGATGGCACAGATAATTGGCAAGGAGATCAGTTGCATAACATTCCTGAAGCAAACAAATATTTTCATCAAATAGATAAGCATTAGGTAGAGGCCAGCATCTAATGAGTTTTGTTTTCATATTCCCACACAAATCATGTGATTGAAATCAAGATAGCAGGGCTAGCACTAATCTGAAGGCAGGAGTGTGTGTGTGTATGTGGGGGGGGGATTAATTAAGTTACATAATTAATTGAATGAAATAATGGGTTCACATGCACATCCTTGGAAAAGAATTCTGAAAATCCCTCAATTTCATCAATTTTTAGGGGTGGGAGGTGATATTTCCCCACCATGGCCCTGTGCTTTTGGCCAGCTTTCCCTCAGAAGTCAACTTGCTCTGACATTGATTGCCTTGCAGAAGCTGGTTGAGATGGGGACCCCGCCCCACCCCCTCGCCCCCAAGGATCTTTTCCCATTAGCTTAGCTAAATATAAATAGACTGTTATACGTTTGCTCAGGTTCTTTCAAGTAATGAAAAGAAATAAAGAATTTTGCTGACTGAACCTTTACCACATATGCATTATTTATTTCACAGAGGATGTTTTATGTTTGTAGATTATGCTGTGCGCTACAGATAGTCCTCGACTTACGACCACAAAATTTCTGTTGTTAAGCGAAATATTTGTTAAGTGAGTTTTGCCCCATTTTACGACCTTTCTTGCCATAGTTCTTAAGTAAATCACTGCAACTGTTAAGTTAGTAACAGAGTTGTTAAGTGAATCTGGCTTCCCCACTGACTTTGCTTGTCAGAAGATCACAAAAGCTGATCATATGACTCCAGGACACTGCAACCATCATAAATATACGTAAGTCAGTTGTTAAACATCTCAGTTTTGATCACATTTTCCCCTCAAGTGCAGGGTCTGCTTTTTCGGGGTCAACAGAGTGCTGATCCATTGGTTGTGACAGGATTTAACCAACTGTCTTGTCACCCAAGCCTGATGTTGCGGGATGAGAGAGAGAGAGAGAGAGACTGCCCCAAAGTCTCCCAAAAGGCTTTCATGCCTAAGGCAGGACTAGAGTTTAATGGTTTCTAGCCTGGTGCCTTAACCATTACATCAAACTGCCTTTCATTTCATTTGCAACAGTATAGAAGCTGAATGAAGAAATAAAAGACTACTATTTGCACTTTACCATACCATATACAATCTCACTGGCATACATGCAGTGCAATCAGTAACTAAGGTAGTTGGTCACATCTACTTTGAAGAAGAATAAACAGATGGACAGGCTTTAAGTCTGAATGAATCAAAATATGTCTGCCATCCATTACAAAATTGTATCTCCTAGAATGGCTAATAGCAGATCTCTTTATAATCCCATAAGCAAAGATTACAAGATGATTTCTGCACAGACCACTGCAAGCTTTATATATATATCAAAATACCATTATTTTGTTCATGATATAATAATCCTGTTGCAACTTAATCAGAGTTTATTTTCAATTTATGCCTTTTCTCACAGCCTTCCAGGCAATACTAGAATATACCCTGTTATTTTCTGTATGTAGGAACAGAAAGGTTGAGTATTCACGTTAATATATTTTATGAGTTCTAGATTCCTTCTGGCTCTAGAATTCAGTGACAACTTGATCAAGGTCTAAGAGGAACAATTTCAAGAATAATGATCAGTTATTGAGTCCCACTGGAAAAAAAAAAGCCAAAAATAAAAACTTGGTTATAGCAATAGCAACGGCACTTAGACTTATATACCACTTCACAGGGTTTTACAGCCCCCTCTAAATGGTTTACAGAGTCAGCATATTGCCTCCAACAATTTGGGTCCTCATTTTACCGACCTTGGAAGGATGGAAGGCTGAGTCAATCTTGAGCCGGTCAGAATTGAATTGCTGGCGGTTGGCAGTCAGCAGAATCACCCTGCAATACTGCATTCTAACCACTGCACCACCACAGTTCTTATAACCAATATAATCTAATATATCTAACCATTTATCTCTCTGCCCTACCTTTCAAACCAGGTTTTCCCATTACATTAAAAACACATACTAGAAAAATGGCTACCAGAACAGAATGTCATTTTGGGAAAGCAGCAGTTAAAATTGTTACAATATCAGCTCTAAAAACTAGTAAGATGCCCATGGGGGGGGGGGCATAAGGAATTGCAGAAGTAATATTGCTACATTTCTCGTGCCTAACAGACACATGTAGCCTCCCCAAACTCTCAGGCATTCACAGGATGCAGTGCCTTGGTGCAAATGACCAAAGCAGCATCATGCTATTGTGATAAACGCCTTCTCCTTTGTATGGGTGTGTTACATCATAACAAAAGGGATGGGGCTTGCATCATAAGGGCCCAATACTGCTTTGTTATTTGCCCCTCTTGATCTTTCCACAGGTCAATGTCTCAGCAAAAAACCCTTTTGCAGCTCCCAGACTGATCATGACAAATTTTCAGGACATTTTTGTGTACTTTGTGTGGGAGAAATGAAGGAAAATATTACCCTTAGCTCTCTAACAAAAAAATGGGTGGTTTAAAACCCACCAATTCTCTCCTGAATTAGGGCAATTTACTTATTTCAGCAGACCCTGGAAAGCAAGATTATACTTAATACTTTTGTGACTTAAATCATTTATTTAACTTCTTATAATACTCTACTCAAAGCAAGCCAAATGCATCGGGCCTGTCCACATTATTATCCACATTACTATCTTTTACAATCCTTAGGCAGGACACAACATTGAAGACTAAATCTCTGTGTATATGCTACAAAACACAGTGACCTACTCAGATTGGATCCTGCAAAATTGAAATAATATCTCAGGCAGGAGAAGATAGCTTTCACCCATTCTATGCTGTGGTTCTAGAGTTCTCCTGAAGTAACAGATTTCTGCTTAGGATCATCTTGATAATGCATTTATTCTAGTTAAAAATGGCTTTAAATGCTTTAAGACAGGGGTGTCAAACTGGCAGCCTGCAGGCTGGATACCTCATGCGCAGGACATGCCCACCCAAGCTCCGCAAAGGCAAAAAAAGGCACGATACGTCATGATATGTCACGTGACGTGATCGAGTTTGACACCTATGGTTTAAGAGATGGCATATAATTTATTACACAATCATCACTACAACAATTCAGTATAGCATTTAATTTGATTGAAATCTAGCATGTCTACCAATCCTCATATGCAACTAGTATACCTGTCCAAACATTTCTGAGATTTTGCGTGAGAATGCCAACATTTTGTGTGATTTGCTAATTATCTGAGATTTCAACCAATTAAATAAACATTCAGTCTTAGAGACTAACATTCACACATCACCCATTCAGTTTTCAGTTTCCCCATCTGCTACTTGTCTGTATTTGTAGCATACACACACAGACCACAAACTATCTAGAATATACTCACAGATCAATATGTGATCTGTACACACAGATTGGGAACCATTATTTAAGCAAATCAATAATATTAAATGTAAAGTGCTGGCATATACCTCCACCACATTCAGCACTACAATCACTCCAGGAGCCGTAGCCCCAGTTGTAGCTTGATGTTTGCCTTTGGAATGGCAAATAGTATTCATAATGTACTCCTTGGTTTGGTTCCTGGCTGATAAGCTGAAAAAGAAAGAAAATAAGTAGGTGTCAGGAAATGCACTGTTTTTGCTCTCTTGTAGCAAGCTATTATCTACTGGTCCAGTTCACGTAGTGGCAAAGTCTGGACTCATAATGCTTTTGCACATACATATTTAGATGACAAGAATATCTCTTTTTCAAACAAACAAACAAAAAATCTGGTCTACCTGTAGGAAAATAAGGTGAGCTTAGTTTCTTTTCCCTGATGTGTTAGTTACTTAATTAATTAAAAACACAATTACTCATCTGTTTGTTACAGTCCAAGTTCCAACCTCCCTCTGTGAGGGAGATGGGTAGTTTTGAAATTTCATAAATAAATAAACAAACTTTGTCTGCCATTTGTGAAAACTATGCCTATCACTCAGAGCCAATTTGGTTAAGGCATAAGGTTAGAAACCAGGAGGTCCTGAGTTCTAGTCTTTCCTTGGGCATAAGCCAGTTGTGTAACCTTAGGCCAATCACTCCGTCTCATCCTTAGGAAACAGTCATTGGCAAACCACTTCTCAAAAACCTTACCAAGAAAATGCAGGGACTTGTTCAGGCAATTGCTTGGAGTCAAAAACTGATTTGACATACACATACACAGACACAGACACACACAGACACACACACACACACACACACACACACACACATACCACTCATCCTTGCCAAAGTTATTCCCTTTCTGCCTGCTACACATCTCCTGCTCTTTCCTGACTCTGATCGATCAACATTTGAATACTTTATCTACAATACAAAGGATAAAGTGGTTTCTTGCTGAAATGAAAAAAGCGGACATTTCCTCTTTATTCAACAAGAAGCAATTATTAAACTACTGCAGTTTCCCCAGGCTTGTGCCCCCCCCCCCCGAATTCTTGTTTTGTCTAAGCATTACTGTTAAGGTTAAGGAATGAGGAACTAAAGTGATCTTAATGCAATACCAAATAAATTATCTATTCATGCTTAACCTCTGCATGAAATAGAGACAGCCTCAAACCCTGTTCTCCTCCACTCTAATAATTGTTCAGTCAAGAAATAAAAGTTCCCCCATCAATCTATTTTATTTATTTATTCTCCTCTGTTTGGAGAATTATCTGGAACACCTATGCACAGTTCAGGCATTAAAACCTCTAAGACAGTGTTTCTCAACCTTGACAATTTTAAGGCATGTGGACTTCAACTCCCAGAATTCCACAGCCAGCAATGCTGGCTGTGGAATTCTGGGAGTTGAAGTCCACATGCCTTAAAATTGTCAAGGTTGAGAAACACTGCTCTAAGAAAAAAGGAAAGCAGTTGCAGGTACTTGCCTCAATTATCAAAGGTTCGGTGATGGGACCCCGGGCATGTAGAAGCTCTGGAGCCAGATCCCCCTCGGAACCTCTCTCATAATGCATCACTGTGCTAGCAATAGGCAAGGCCTGGCTATACTCAATTGTCCACTGCCCATTCAGATAATATGTTCCTTGTACATTCTTGATGGCTGAGATTGGGGGGGGGGGGAAGAGGGAATGGAAAGAAATGGAAAGACGGTGATACAGAGTTCTGAGACTCTGAGGTTGCAAAAGTTTCCCCAGATATGAAATGGTTATTATGTACTAAACAAAATGATATATTTCTGGAAAGGAGGTGTGATATTTTGCTGAGAATCTACAAATGGTAATTGTATTTAGCCAACCATAACTGATTCCCCCCCCCAAACACCAGACACTTAATAAATACAGGTAGTCCTTGAGTTATAACATTTCATTTAGTGACTATTCGAAGTTACAATGTCACTGAAAAAAAGTGACTTATGATGGTTTTTTTTCACGCTTACGTCCATTGGACATCTCCATGGTCACGTGATCAAAACTTGGACGCTTGGCAACTGGCTCATATTTGTGATGGCTGCCGTGTGCTGGGTTCTTGTGATCCCCCTTTGCAACTTTCTGACAAGCAAATTCCATGGGGAATTTAATGCAGTTTCACTTAAGAAACATATCACTAAGCTAACAACTGCAGTGATTCACTTAACAACCAGGTCAAGAAAGATCATAAAATGGAGTAAAATTCATTTAACAACTGTCTTGTCTAACAACAGAAATTTTGAGCTCAGTTGTGGTCATAAGTCAAGGACTACCTGTACTCAGGTGGCAGATTATAAGGAGATCCCTGGGCTGTGAGCTGCCCTGGGAAACTGACAAAAATATCATAGAAGAAGGCATGGGTAAACCATTCCATGTTAATGCCACAAAAACTACTCAGATGTAATAGTAATAGTAATAGTAGTAAAGTTGGAAGGGACCTTGGAGGTCATCTAGTCCAACCCCCTGCTCGGGCAGGAAACCCTACACCATTTCGGACAAATGGCTGTCCAGTCTCTTCTTAAAAACTTCCAGTGTTGGAGCATTTACTGCTTCTGGAGGCAAGCTGTTCCACTGATTAATTGTTCTCACTGTCAGGAAGTTTCTCCTTAGTTCTAGGTTGCTTCTCTCCTTGATTAGTTTCCACCCGTTGCTTCTTGTCCTGCCTTCAGGTGCTTTGGAAAATAGCTTAATTCCCTCTTCTTTATGGCAGCCCCTGAGATATTGGAATACTGCTATCATGTCCCCCCTTGTCCTTCTCTTCCTTAAACTAGACATACCCAATTCTAGCAACCGTTCCTTATATGTTTTAGCCTCCAGTCCCCTAATCATTGACATGAAAGAACCTTGGCCATTTTTGTACAGAGCAGTGAGTAACGTTCAAGCCATATCATTAAATCAAAGCATTATAAGGAACCTTGAGATGATTTATTAATCATCTCATCCTGAGATGATATATGTTGATTGCTCTCATGCTGAGGTATGAACAAGCCTCATTTTTACGTTTTTGCTGATAAGAGACAATTCTTTTTGCCTTGCCCTTTATGGTCCCCATGCAATTTCATCATCTGTTCCAGAAGATCCCCCAAACCAGGAGACTGGGAGTTCTAGTCCCGCCTTAGGCATGAAAGCCGGCTGGGTGACCTTGGGCCAGGCACTCTCTCTCTCTCTCAGTCGAACTCACTACACAGGGTGGTTGTTGTGGGAAAAATAGGAGGAGAAGGAGTATTAAATATGTTCACCACTTTGAGTGGTTTATAAAAATAATAACGGTGGGATAAAAATATAATAAAATAAATAAATAAGCAAAGGTGGATGGCATCCATGGGATTTTGATGGAGAAGTCATGAAGACTCTTGCTTCATGTAAAATACACATATTATTGCAGGTATATTGTTGCAAATAGAATCTTGTTTCATAGCATACACTCATTGCATTCTATTATTAAGTAGTCTCCCATCCGTGTTATTAATGATGCAATACCCAGATGACGGTCCCATGTCATATTTCTGAACATGCAGATCCATATTGTCCTGCATTAAGTCATAACTAATTGATGTGATGGAAGTCATATACAAAGAGCAGTAACAACTACTTACCCAGGAAGTTCCTGGTAGGGTTTGCTTCCTTAATCCGGATGCTTGTGGCTCCCATCGGAATGACAAAGATTTGGTTGTAGCCTATAAGAGCAGAATAAATCAGCCAGAATAAATTCATTTTCTGAGAGAGAATATAATAGAGAAGGAAGCCAGCGTAAAGTCACTCTTTCGTGCAGAGAAGCTACATGGGAAAAGATATAAATTTTGCTGTAACTACTCCACTGATTTTGAACTGTCTCAATCCGTATTCATATTACCCATAAAGCTACTCTTGCATGTAATTGATGTAATATGGCACAAGGCAGGGATCTCAATGCATCACACTGCAGACATGGTACAGTAAAAAACCTTCCTGAGTTTCAGTTATTGACTTTAGCTTCAAAGATATAAAGAGATTAATAAGAACCATCAATCACATCTCTATACCTCAGCCCTAGTCTAAAGTCCGCCATATTAATCAATGGTACTAAAACAGCCCTGCAGTACCTTTAGGGAGATTGGGCACATCAAAGAGTCCCTTGACTTCAAAACAAGCTCTTCCATTCCCACCGCACTGCAGGCATTTGTCTTCTTTTTGGGAAGAATCCAGCATTTTATCACAGCCAACAGCCTGTAAAATAACAAAGTTCAAATCATCCACAGGTAAAATGGAGAAGTCAAGCTATCAGAAAATACAAAGACAAGACACTTCACAGTAAGGTCCACAACATGTTTTTGAGGCAGTGGTTCTCAAAATTGGCAACCTTATGACGTGTAGATTTCAACTCCCAGAATGCTGGGGGTTGAAATCCACATAACTCAGTGTTTCCACGTTTGAGGACCATTGCTTTAAAGGCTTTAAAAAATGGGGGAGAGGATTGCTTGCAATGCTGAGCTTCCATCTTTTTCTTTAAATTACTATTATAGATGGAATTATTTAAAAGAAATAATAAACCCTTATAAAATCTATTTAAACTAATAGATGAGCACACATATAAATAGGATTCTTTTTTCAAATCCTCTTTTTTTTTGAAATGAATACTAATTTTCTCACTCAGAACATCTCGAGGGATATGTTCAGGACAGGACAAAAACAGCCATATGTTTCATAATTTTTGGCAGAACATCTTTCTAAAACAGCCTTGGTACCTACCAGGCCCGTGGGAGTTCAACATCCATACTTTGCAGGCATCCGGCAGTGAATGTGTATATTTAGACTTTTAAGCAAGTTTGCCCAAAGTCCACACAAATGCCAGAGACATTTCTGGCACTGATATTTCAAAGGAGATTGTGTTCAAATACACTGTGTTATAATAATTGTAGGAAAGTCAACCCCATGGGGATGCAACATTAGAAATTTAACTCAGCTAATGTTTGTGCAACCACTATTGACTGGCTAATAAAAATTAAAACAGTGTCTGGTTTTTTTTTTAGCTAACTATTGATGTGGTTGCTTTAATGAAACTGCCTATTACTCTCTGTAATTTGGTATTTCCAGAGCTCTCCTCCCACACCAGCTGTCCAAGCAAATAGCTTTCTCCTACATAAATGTGCTCTTAGCAGAGAATCCAGCAGATACCTATTGAGCAGAAAAGAGGGAGAGGAATTCAGAGAGACCAGGACTAGTAGTCATTGGCTTATGACCATTTATTTAACAACAATTCAAAACTGTAACAGCCTCAAAAACACTGGACTTGCAGCCCATTGCACACACCCCACAGGGTCACTGCCTAGAGTTGTGTTTGATTAATAAATGAAAAATAATAAAATGGATGAGAGCAGAGACATATTTATTTAAATGGATATGGGCTTGCCCCTTTCTCTTCCACCTCAGCCTTGTCTGCTATTGCCTTCCTGAAGAGTCTATTGCAGACAAACTCTGCCCACAGCCAGGTGTTCGATCCTTATAGACATGAGCTTGACTCATTCTTCCATCCTTCAATGCTGGTAAAATGAGGACCCAGATTGCTGGAGGCAACACGCTGACTCTGTAAACTGGTCAGAGAGTGCTGGAAAGCACTATGGAGCAGTATATACAGTAAGTCTCGGTGCTATTGCTAAAGAGTTGGACAGGAACAGTGCTGAGCTCGAGAGTTTGAGTTCTCTCTCTCTCCCTCTCTTTTTGTATAATCATTTTGTTTATCGAAGCAGACAGGAATGCAGTAGAGCTGTACATTTTAAGCACTGGTTTGTTTTTGCATTTCTCCAGCAATTCTGTTCTAGGTACCTGAAGTGTGTCCCCTGCCACAACTGGTGCCCACCTGCACAATTTGAGGATGCTGCCATTTTCCTTGCTTTATGGGAGAGTGGAAAAAAATGGTAGCTGGTTAACTGAAACGGTGATTGTTCAGGATGATGCAACAATGCCAGACTGCTCTAACAGTGCTATAAATGCTACTCCAAAATGAGTGTTTTTCACTCATTTTGTGCAAGGCTGAAATAAATTTCAGGGGACTAGTGGGATCTGCTCTTTCTCACTGCTTCCCAAACAAAATACAGAGGACTGTGTAAGTTGTTACCCATAAGAAGGAAGAGAGAGAGATCCTGGAAAGGCACCCTTTGTGACATCTATTACTACTACTACTACTACTACTACTACTACTACTACTACTACTACTACTATTATTATTATTATTATTATTATTATTATTATTATTATTATTATCTTCATTCAGTGCTGGTTACAACTAAATGGAGTGGAGAGGAAGAAGCTGAGCAATAGTGGAGTCCTGTGTTACACCCTTCCTGCCACAGTGCTTTGATTAGGAAATGCTTTTCCTTCTTGGTTGGTTGGTTACGTGCTTAAATGGGAAAGAAGAAGAACCCAAAAGCTGTACCAATAACTTTGCTGTCAAGCCTGCACACAAATAATTGAGACATCATTTGGCAGAGGCAGAAGAAGCAAGAGAAGGGTCAGCAAAGGGGGTAGCAAAATTCATGTTGTTAAAATATTGGCTAAAACTCAGGGCTGGGTAGATAATGCTTTCCCCCAGCCGTCGTTCTTGGTCTGTTGATTGTTTTTCTGGTCCTTGCAAACCCTCTGGTGGCCAAGGGTGGAAGTTCAGGAGCTACAAGAGTTTTTAAAACCAAGGTGCATCTGAACTTTCTCCGGAAAAAAGATTGTATTCTTCAGGAACTAAATTCTACATTTCTCCCTTGGCTTTGTCGTTATAAGATGGAGATCCACTGACACAAACTGTTTCTAGAAAGGCCTTTTAACACGCAAAGGGCCCAGACATCCTTCTCATGCTGCCTGGCAGTTGAAATTCACACATCTTAAATCTGACAAGTTTGAAAAACACTGTCCTACAGCATCTGGTACCCCTTTGGTGGCCAGTAACAGCGCTCCGTGATGTCATGCTGGTCACATGACCGCAGAAATGTCTTTGGACAGTGCTGGCTCAATGGCCTTGAAACTGAGAGGAGCATCACCCCCTAAAGTTGGCAATGACTAGCGGAATAAAATCCGCAGGGACTCCTTTACCTTACAAGCATCTGAACTATGATCCCCTCCCTTCCCCTTTCTGTTATCTCCCAGTCCCATTATGAGGATTATGAGATGTATACAACTCAGCAAACACAAACATACGATAAGCCTTGGCCTCTTGGGTCCTCTGATCTAATCTGTTAGGTCTGAATTTCACTCAGAAGGCTACTTCTTTTTAATCTTACCCTGGATTCTGACCATCCCTTGATTATTCTGGGAATTTCCAAGACATTAAGCCCTCACAATGATTGGAAAAAAACACTCTGAATAGTCTAAAGGTGTTCCTGATCATAACCAACAAAATGCTGGAAGAGATGGGCAGGGGAATGAGGAGAGACTGAATTGGGCAGAAGAAATATGGGATTCCTGCCATTAATAATCATCGGCTGAACAGATATACTAGGCATCTTTGCCATAAAACACAGAATAGAATTGAATTGTGTGGACAATATGCTGATATTCAGTAAACCACAAAAAAGGAGGAAAAAACCAACAGAAGGCTCACTATTAGCTTAGCTCCAGGGAGGACAAATGTTGAAGCTTGTCTAACCTTGCAACACTTCCTTTAATGTGTGATTCCCCACCTGTTTAAAGGCAGCCTACACCCCTCCCCCAAGTTAAAGGCAGTTCTTGGCCAGCAAACCCCTCCTCACCCCTGGTTTGGTCTGGCTTGAGGTATTATGTGGATTCAGACAACATGATTTATAGAATGGTTTTTTTAATACTAAGCATGTGGAGTGAATGCCATTAATTATGGCTTGGTCAATAAAACTATTGTTCAAACAAAACAAAAAGATAGTCATGGTATGTGAATTTAGAATCTCAGCTTAGTTTACAGAATAAATCTGCAGTAAGATAAAATGAGATTATTCCATATATGGTCTGAGGAAGTTCGGGGTTCATGTATGAGGCAAAGAAGCCAAGGAAATGTGGCATTCTTTCTGAAAGTGAGTGAAGACAAATACATACGTGACAGGTCCCTTGCACACAAATATCGTTTGTTCCTGGTTCACAAGAAGTTCCATCAATGACTGCATCTTTCTGTCTGTAGTAGAAATTTTCTCCTTTTGGGATGCAGTTTAATTCACATTTATTGGGAGCTGGGAGCAAAATTAAAAAGAAACATGTTATTTCGCTGCTGGAGCTTTAAGTTTTGTTTTATTTTGATTCTTCAACAAATGGAGAAGAGCAGAACTTTATTAATATTCTCACACTTGGCTTTAACAGGCCAGGGTTTAAGAATGCGATTCCATTCTCTGGAATAAGAAGTTAAAGGGTAGACCACAGCTAATTCAGGCTTGACTCAGGCCTATCTTTAATTTGGACATGGATCGAAACAAGAATTGCTCAAAACATTGGCTGGTTTCATTGCATTCACACTCTAAGCCATAATACTTGTGGTTTGATTTTGATAAGGTTTGTTGTGCAAATGCAGCCTTTCGTGTTTTGTTCAATAAACAGGATTCAGCAAACAGTGACAAATGGACATACTTCATTTAGTTTATAGTTAATCAAATCACAGACTTACTGTTGTTTTTTTTGGAACTAAGCAAGTTTAAGCAAAGCTGAGAAAAAGAGTAAAATATAGAAAGCAAGCAAGATATAGCAGTTAAAGAAATAAGACGAGGCAAGAAAAAGAAAAGTTAATACAGCTAAAGTAGGATAAAGTACATCAACTCCATTCACTATATTTATCCAAACCTATCTTTGAGAACCACTCTTGCTTCCACCAGGTCTATAGATAATTCACATATTGACTTTTATTTTTTTAAGCTCACATCTCCTCTGTTGAGGAACTCATTTCAGCCACAACTTTTTCAGTGACCCCTACCCTTCCTCCCAACACATTCATTCTTCATTCATACATTTTTCAGTTCATTCAGTCTCTGACTAGCTTGTCTTATTTACTTTTATGATTTTCCTAAACTCCACTTAGCATCAATGTTCATGCTTTGCATAAACAAACTCAACATGGTTCTGTGGCATCATTTATACCACTCTATGCCATGCACCTTCACTATCTCCTCAATTCTGTTGGGAGATTAATCTGTCTTCATATTTTTTTTTAATACAGAATTTGAACTTTCTCTTCATGCAGCCATTCTTTCATTCTAGTTTCTTTCCTTTCTTTCCTTTCTTCTGTGCCTATTTACCCCTGATCCATTCTTGACACTATCAATGGTTAATGGTGCCATATTCAGAAACCGTCATCATTATATCCTTCACTGTTCTCTCAATCTTCATCGTAAGTGGCAGATCCATTGCAAGCAGACAGTACAAAGGCACCATGAAAAGGAGGGGAGAGGCACCAAATTAAGTTTTCAAAATCTATTCTTCATTCCAACTGCATCACCTAACTTACATCAGATTTCACTTCTTCCAAAACAAATGCTGTATATTGTTACAGTTCTGGGAAGCCCAGCCTAATCTACTATGAACTGTGGCAAGTCTTCTCTGCAGCAACAAAACAACTTAAAGCTTATTACAAACTTCCTGTCTAGTCTTAACCACTATCCTGTTTCTCAAAAATAGCAAATAAAATGATTATGCAGAGGGGTGGCAAAATACATTTTTGCGCAAAGGTGCCTTACAGACCAGTGGCAGTCCTGATAAATGAACAAATCAATCATCCTTTGGAATGCATTCCTGTTCCATGAAGGGACATATCATTAATGTGCATAGTGAAACAGACTTTTTTCTAAGCAAAAATTAACCAATCAATCATCATTCCTGTTCATTCTTGAGTCTTCGAAAAGCCCAATCCCTTTTTCTGTACTCACATGTCTTATCCCACCCAGCCATTCATGTCAGCTAGCAGAACAAATCTTTCTCTTGGATTGCATTCATTTCAAGCATGGCACATTCCCCCACCCCCCAAACACATATCTGGTTCTTTCATTATCACCATTCACTAGAGCGTAACAGCAATGATCAGCAAACTCATGCAATGATCAGCAAACTATCTCCTTTTTGTATAGACAGCCACAAGAATCAAAATGAGACCGATTCATATTTTCTGACATACATTTAGCCCTTTCATTCATAATTCAAAATCCCCATTCTCTTCCCTGCATGTATTAATGAACTCTGCTCCACAAGATCACACCATTTCTACTTAAATCTTTTATATCTTTCCCCTTTCTCTTATTTCACAAGCATACAATGAATCTATTTTCCTTTCTTTCCATTTGTTGATACCTGCTCTTTATCGTTTATTCTTCTTCCGTTCCAGGTTATAGTTTAATTACATTCATTTATTTATTATTATAATTATCAATATAATGGGCACATGCATACTGATCCCTCCCACTCATCATGGTTTTGGCTAGCTGAGGCTTCAATGTAGTATTTTTTTTATGTAAGACCTTGCTGACCTTCCCCATTTATCAGCTCAAATCCAGGAAACCCCCTACTGGTACTAACACAACATCTGCCCACAACTTTAACATCAATTCTCAATGGAAAGCCAAATTGGTAGCTGAACGCTCAGACATAGGAAGACATGTAAATGACCTGCACAAAAAAGGGCCCAGGCTTTGAACTGTCACATCAGCAATGGACAATTATGAATAGGATTCACACCACCCACGGAGTCTGCCGGGACTCTCTATAAATGGAACATTGTATCCTCCCCTCCGTGTGACTACAGGGTCCCATGTCAAACTGGAGATCACATCGCGACCTGCTGTGAGTTGAGAGCATATACTGCTCCAGTATCTGAATTAATACAAATGATGCTGTGCTTCAATGGTTAGATGGTCTAGAGTAGATGCTGGTATTTAAACATAGATCTTTTCAACATTTATATTTTATTGTATTTTACTAATCTAGCTGAAATATTAATATATGCTGCTCAACCAGCCCACAGGCATGTATGATATGTCATATGCTAAGTAAATAAATAAATATTTAGGACTTTTCATATTGTTGTTTTATTTGGATATAATTTCATGATTAATTATTCTTAAGGTGCAGATCAGGTTGGCAGTCTGTGCCAACTTCAGCTTGCCTTTGCAATGGCAAGGGCTGAAGCAGTCACTTTTTGAGATATTGTGATCTGTATGGCTGCAAGTCCCGTGATATTCTGTGCAAGGTAGGAGCTCAGTTATAGAAACTCCCTTGCAAGTTTATAATTTGGAATATGGAAGGGGATATAAAATCAATGGAACGACATATATAGTGGACAGTAATAGATAGTGCTTAATGGCAGATAAGGATGACCGTGAAGGTTATCTAGTCAACCCACAACTTTAATCCATTTTTCTGCAATATAAGAATGGAATACTGAAGGACCATGTACTGTATTTGTCTTTGATTGGCATGGGAGAAGAGCAATTTATTAAAAAAAAAATACATTCAGCATTTCCCTCAACCATGTTCTATTATACTGGCCATGAAAAGAACCTTTTCTTCCTTTTCATAATTAGTCTGCTGTCCATCTTGATCACAGAGCTAACTATTTGTGGCCATGGCAAGTGGGAAAAGGTCCACTATGGACTTTGTCAGAGGACAACAGATTTTATTTACAAAGGGAACTTGCCAAACAAGTCAAAATCAGATGCAAGAAAAGTTAGACTTCAAATTATAGTCAGGTTACCATATCAAATATTTCTGAAGTATGACAAAATTTACAGAAAAGCCTGGTATGGAAAATTCAATGTCTTAACTGGTTTTTTTTTCCCTCCCAGTCAGTGAATATACAGCTAGGTTGCGATTAAAGTGGGTTTGAATAATGCAGTATTTGAACTAGTGCAATCATAAATTGATATCAAGTATTGAACCAGCATTTAGTTATGCAAGGTACAGTTGGGCTTGCTGGCTTTTAGACACTGCTACTTGCTTATCTTCGATGCACAAAATGGACAAAAGGAAGATTCTTTCCAATGAAAACACCACAAGGTCAAAAAAGAAGCTCATTATTACATTACAGCAAAATGGGTGCAACTGAGCAACATGAACAACTCTAAAATAGCATCTCTAGAATAAGATGAGATTTTGGAATGCCTGATTTAATGGTATGCAGGGGAAATAAAAATAAAAAGGTAAAGTTGCGTCATTTATTTCGTGGTTTGAAAAGAGCTACAGGGAGCAAAAGTGACTCAGTGATAGAAACCAAGCATCTATAAAGGCTGAGGATTGCAATCAAAAGCAACAGTCCTCTTAGAAAAAGAGATGTTGAGACAAAAGCTTTAAATTTAAGAGAGCAAAAGAAAAAAGCAATCAAGTAGAACAAACATTTAATGCAAGTGTTGGTTGGTTGGTTTGATCAACTTAAAAATTGAGTAAGCTTATCTTTAAGAATGATAATTAGATTTTTTTGTTTTTATTTTGTTTTCTATAACTATTCTGTGATTTTGCTAACTGTACATTTATATTTTTTATCCTTTACTGTAATATTTCATCAATGAACAAATAATAACAGATGATTAAATTTGCAATACTGCAAATTTGAATAATGCAACTATTTTGTGGGATTCATTATCTGCCCGAATTGAAACTTACTGTATTCCAAAAAAGCAAAACCAGGTTGGGTGGATTCTTTTACTTTTCCAAATTTTTTTCACTGATCAGTTTTAGCTCAGGAATTTTAAGGATTAGAATACCATCATTCACCATTTCTATGCCCTACTCCCCCTTTCTGTGAATGTATCTTTCATTCTAACAGCAGAATTTTTTTAAAAAATTACAATTTTACAATTTTTACCATTTTTTAATTTCTAAAAATTAAATTGATATTTGTAAAAATGTGTTGCTTGCTCATTAAACTGAAAGATAGGTTAAATAACAATTTAAATAAATGTTTCCAGACAGGGAATCTCAGCAATTTCCCCCCTATAGGAAGCCATACATTTTTACCCAGAATTTCGTTCACCCTCTATGAAGAATCTGCAATAAGAATCAATAAACTACCTCCGTAGTAAGGGAGCCACTTGTACTTCTTCCCTTGAAATTCTGTTCCATCAAACTCGGCACACTGTTCCGCTCGAAAATCTCTGGAGCCCTCAGGACAATCCTACAGAAAAGAAGAGAAAAATCTAAAATAGAGGACATGTTGAAGCAAAAAAGCAACCAATTTGGAAGAATACTCCAGAGTTTAGTTTCTATATTTTCCTCCAAGTGAGGATCTGTTGTTTATATGCTGCCTTCTCTTATCTTTAATGTTTCATTGATTTACTATAATTTAGGCCTGATGCTATTGGCTACCTCTTAAAACATCTTTTTTTTTCAAGCAGGCTTGCAGAGTGCATGGAAATGGGGAGCTGCAAAAGGGTTACACTGTGTGAATGTTGGTCCATTCTCTCGCTGTCTTACTTATATTTATGTTTAACTGTTTTAAATGGTTGTTCTGGATTTGTTTTTAACTGTTTATTTTAATGCACAATGCCTAGAGTCATGTTTAAGAGAGATGGGCAGCTATACAGATTTGATAAATAAAATTATTTGATTGTTATGAACTGTTGTGAGTCTGGCAGCACAGAAGTTTAACAAACAAATAATTTAAAGTAACAGAATATCACCAGCATACCACTAAAACTGGTAGAGAGTAGTGGATGCATTTTTGAATCAAAAATCATATTTGAATCATATTTATTTTTCATTATTAAGCTGTCTGGATGACTTTGGCCCAATCATCTAATTCTAGTTCCATAAAATGACTGAAATTATTCAGATTTCCAACTCCCACCCATTACATTATAAATATCTTAAGAGCAAACAAATATATTACCTGAATGTTGCATGAGCGATAACTTTGGGCTGGTCCTATACAACTGGATCCACCATCTGTCCTGAAATACACAGTAACAATCAGCAAAAGCTTGTAAATGATTAGTGATGCCCAAACCATACTTTGCCAGATCATTTTTAGTATTTCTAACAAGGCAGTAGTTGCCAAGAAACTTCCTTCTGTTCTCCATTTCTCTAAGCAGTAGGAGTTAGAGTTACCTTTTTAAAAGTTAAATCAGTAATCTTGTAAAAGGAACGAACCCTGGTTCAAAGGTAATATTCCCAGACTTCAACATACCATGATTTGTTACAGCTGAAAGAAGTGATGATTTCATATCCATCTTTCTTTTTTCAAATATTCTCTTGAAAAATTCAACTGAATTCAAATTCTTCCTTAGTTAAAATAATTGTCTATGCTTTCTGAACTGACAGTTGTAACTGTTTGTCAATTTGTAATGCAAGGTTGAACCAAGAGAATTCTGAAACTCTTGGATAATCAATGCTGTCTTGAAGTAGAACCAGTTCTCTCAACTTCAATAATCTAACTCCCTCAAGACACACTGCATTCACAAAATATTCAGACCCCCTTCACTTTTGTCAATTTCGTTATGCTCTAGCCTGATTCTACAGTTGTTGAAATTCATTTTTCCCCTCATTAATCTACATTCAGTACCCCATAATGACAAAGTGAAAACAGAATTTACAGAAATGTCTGTAAATTTATTGAAAAGAAAAAACTGAAACATCACATTGCATAAGTATTCGGACCCTTTGCAACAACACTTGAAATTTAGCTTGATGTCTCCCATTTCTCTTGATCGTTGCTGACATGTTTCTACACCTTGATTGGAGTCAGCCTGTAGTAAATTAAATTGATTGGACATGTATTGGAAAGGCATACCTCTCTCTATAGAAGGCCTCAGAGCTGACAATGCATAGCAGAGCAAAAGCCATGAAGTCAAAGGAATTGCCTGCAGAACTCAGAGACAGGATTATTGCAAGGCACAGATTTGAGGAAAGCTACCATACTTTCCAGCGTATAAGACGACTTTTGCAAGCGTTAAAATCGGCGCCGAAGTCGGGGGGGGGGTCATCTTATACGCCGAGTCGTCTTATACGCCAGAAATTACAGTAGTTTCCAGCATATAAGATGACTTTCTAGGCATGTGACTTGGCGCTGAAGACGGGGGTTGTCTTATACGCCGGGTTGCCTTATACGCCGGAATATACGGTACAATAAAATTTCTGTTGCATTGAAGGTTCCTCCATAATTCTCCAATGGAAGAAGTTTGGCACAACCAGGACTCTTCCAAGAGCTAGTCGCCTGATCGAGCTGAACAATCTGGGGAGAAGGGCATTAGTAAGAGAGGTGATCAAGAACCTTATGGTCATTCTGACTGAGCTCCAGAGATCCTGTGTGGAGATGGGATAGAGTTCCAGAAGAACAACCATCACTGCAGTCCTCACGGATCTGGGCTTTATGGCAGAGTGGCTAGACAGAAGCCTCTCCTCGGTGCAAAATACATGAAAGCCCACTTGGAGTTTGCAAAAATGCATCTGAAGGACTCTCAGAGTGTGAGGAACAAGATTCTCTGGTGTGATGAAATCAAGATTGAACTGTTTGGCTTCAAATCTAAATCATTATGTCTGGAGGAAACCAGACACCGCTCATCGCCTGTCCAATATCATCCCAACAGTAAAGCATGGTGGTGACAGCATAATGCTGTGGAGATGTTTTTCAGCAGCAGGAGCTAGGAGACTGGCCAAGATTGAGGGAAGGCTGAATAGAGTGAAGTACAGCGATATCCTCAATGAAAACCTATTCCACAGCACTCAGGACCTCAGACTTGGCCGAAGATGCACTTTCCAACATGACAATGATCCTAAGCACACAGCCAAGACAACTCAGGAGTGGACAACTCTGTGAATATCCTAGTGTGGCTCAGCTAGAGCCCTGACTTGAACCCTATTGAACATCTCTGGAGGGACCTGAAAATGGCTGTCCACCAATGGTCGCCAACCAACCTGACTGAACTTGAGAGGATTTGCAAGAAAGAATGGCAGAAAATCCCCCAATCCAGGCATGCTAGACTTGTCTCATGATATCAAAAAAGACTCGAGGCTGTAATTGCTGCCAAAGGGGCTTCAACAAAGTATTAAGTGAAGGGTCTGTTTCTAAAATTCTGTTTTCATTTTGTCATTATGGGATACTGAGTGTAAATTAATGAGGAAAAGAAATGAATTTCAACAACTATAGAATCAGGCTGAAGCATAACAAAATTGACAGAAATGAAGGGGGATCTGAATACTTTCTGAATGCACTGTATTTCTTATAAATTAGTTTCAACATTCAGACTTCTTTCTCTTTTTCAGGAAGAGTAGCAACTCCTTCTCAGAGCACCAAACTGACAGATAAGAGATAATTTAATTCTCAAACTTTTAAAGATGTGACCTTAGCCTCACATTCTGGAACCCTTGGGTAACATTTAAATAAGTCAAACGTGTAGTGAAGTGGTCTCACTAATATGTTAACCATAAAGAAATGCTGCATAATTCATTCTCACCCATAAGATCTGAGCAATTTAATCTCCAGCCCAGCCATAGGGGAATGGCTTGTGAAATAGCACTCCTATTCAACTTTAAGCAGAAGATGCTGCCAAGTAAGGCTTTTAATCTTCAAGGACCTTGACTCATGACAGAAGCTTAAAAGATACCAGGACTGTAAATCTCTATATGTGGCAGGCTGGGGTAGAGTTCCTATTTTTTTCCCTGACAAAATTCATTAGTGAACAAACCACCAAGCACAATAGGATATGGATCATAACAGAATCCTGCTTATAAAAGCATGTTTATTTATCATAATAAGGTCATAGTGATTACTTATTGGACAGGACCCAAGGGACGTTCCTGCAGGGATCATTTCTACTATGGAAAAATTAATTTTTTTCAATTGACAAATTGCCTACAGTACTGGTGGGTAGTGTAATGGCATCAAATATTGGTCCAATAATAAAAATAAGAATATCATAAAAAATATAGTTTTCTATGGACTAAACAATAAATATAAGCTTTTGAGTTGTAAAGAATATTTTTCTGAGTTGGAAGGTCAATGTTATGCAAACATCTGGTACATCTTTGCTTTCTGAAAGACTGGAAAAAATTGATCCAGCCATTCCTCTATAATTTCTAAAAAGTTCATTTTTATGGTTAATTTTAAAATTGTTTTTCTAAATGTATTTTGGAATTCACTGTTCAATTAACAGAATAGGAAAATGTTCATAATCTCTTTAGTATTTCCTGTGAGACCCTGTTCTCACAGCAATATTCTATGTGTATGTGGTTATGTGTGGTGTGTGTGTGGCACACTCTTCACAGGCCTGATCAAACCAAATTTATTATTCTGATTGCCACCACCAGATAGATTTGCAGTTTACTAACTTCACCGAGAGCGTCGTCCTCAATGGAACTACATCTACATTCAGGGAAGTATTGAGTGGGATATCTCAAGCTTCTATCTTGGGCCCAATGTTCTTCAGCATCTCCATCTAGACCAGTGGTTCTCAACCTTTCTAATGCCGCGACCCCATAATACAGTTCCCATGTTGTGGTGACCCCCAACCACTTATACATTACCGAGTGCCAGGGGCGTGGCCAAAGAAAAGGGGGAAAAAATGGCGGACAGCCTTGTTTGGCGACCCCCGTGAAATGGTCGTTCGACCCCAAATGGGGTCCCGACCCACAGGTTGAGAACCACTGATCTAGACCTACATGAGGGGATTGAAGGGGCAGTCATCACATTTGAAGGTGATACCAAGCTGAGTAGAATTGCTAATATTTTGGAAGATAGACTCAAGATTCAGAAGAATCTTGATAGTCTTGAGCATTGGACCCTATCCAACAAGATGCAATTCAGTGGTAATAAAAGTAAGGTTCTGCTCTTAGGGAGGAAAACCAAGTGCACAGGTACAAAATAGGCAATCCTTGGCTCAGCTGTAATAACTAGGAGATAGATTTAGGTGTCCTGATGGACCACTGCTTAAGTATGAGTCAGTAGTATGCTGTGGCCACCAAAACAAACAATGCATCTCGTAGGCTGTATCAACATGAGAAGAGATAGTACCGTTCTACAATACACTAGTAAGGCCACACTTGGAATACTATGTCCAGTTTTGGTCACAGTATAAAAAAGATGCTGAGGCCCTAGAAAGAGTGCAGAGAAGAACAAATATAATTTGGAGGCTAAATTGTATGATAAATGGCTAAGGGAACTTGCTATGTTTAGCCTAACAAAGAGAAGACTTAGGGATGACATGATAACTATCTTCAAATACTTGAAGGACTGTCACAGGAAAGAGGAGGTTGATTTGTTCTTCAAAGCACCTGAAGGCAGGACAAAAAGCAATGGGTGGAAGCTGATTAGAGAGACAGATCCAATCTGGAACTAAAGAGAAACTGCCTAACTCTATTAGTCAGAGAAACAGCTTGCCTCCCAGAGTTGTGAGTGCTCCATTGCCAATGGTTTTCAAGAAAAGATTGGACAATCATTTGTCTGGAATGGAATAAGGACCCCTGCTTTGGGCAGGGGGTTGAACTAGAAGACCACCAAGGTCCCTTCCAATCTTATGATTCTATGATTGCAATGGAAGCAATTTAAGCTCTGAAATACGTCTTTTTCTTTCCATATAGGTAAGCAAACAGACTTCTCCCCGATTTCAAATAAATGAAAAGGGGACCCTCCCCGATTATAAAAAATAGCAACCCCCCAAAAAAACCCAGATATTTCTAGTAACGTTTACAAAAATGAAGCAATGAGATCTTCAGACATGTTATTATTGAGGGTTTTTAATTCTGTCTGTGTACAAATTTAAAGGTTTAATAAAAAGGGAGAGAGAGTTGACGACAGAGACCTTCATCTAGAATGCATATCTAGTAATTTCGCAATACCTTAGGACAAACTGATTTTTAAAAGCATTTGTTATGCCAGCATTCAACACTTTTAATGTCTGGCCTTGTTTATACAAGACTAGTACATATCCTCCAGAACATTGCAACTAATGGGTGCAGCTCTGCCTGCCCTAGCACGCAAGGCTCAGGCATTTTTATTACTACATAGATGTAACATCTAGAGTTTTGTTAGTGTCTGCAAAATGCCATGCTTACAATGCCTCTGTTATGTCTACAGTGTCTGCAAACAAAGCAGCACTAACCTGGAATTTCAGTTTGATAGCGGTCAGGAGAGTTTTTCAGAGTTTATATCTGATTATTGTAAAGCTATTTATACCTGGATGAGCTATAAACAATTTCCAAAATAATTTTGCACCATGAGACTACAAGGCAAATTAGAAATGTACAATTACAATGGGATTTTTTTTCTTTTAATGACCCTGTAATCCCTTTATTTGGGGTGACTGAGTAGAACTGAGCATTTACTGACCTGATGCCCTTCCTGATGCCTACGTGGAATTTGCAGCAGATATTTTCTCTTTGCACCCCGATAGAGAAACATCTTCTGCAAACCCCACATAAGCATCAGGAAGGGCATCTACTCAGTCACCTTGAACAATTTAAAAATAAATATTAATTAAATAAATTTAATTTATTTAAAGCAGTAGGTGTGAATTTAAATGGAATCCAGAAGATGGTAGAGGACAGGAAGACCTGGAGGAACGTTGTCCATGGGGTCGTGATGGGTCGGACACGACTTCGCAATTAACAACAACAACAACAAATAAATTAAAATTAAATTAAATTTCTTAGGCAATGTTCACAATCATTAGTGTGGAGTAAATCAGAGAAGGGAAACATGAAAAAATCTAGCATCATGAGTAGGAAGCAATTTCAAATCTCATGTAGGCATTGACCTGGGAAGCCATCAAATCCAAATTGCTTGAAAAAATAAATGCTTTTGTGCTATCTTCCCAAATAATCAGTTCCCCCCCCTTTCTTCCTTTCTTATTTTAACAGAAAGATAACATCTACACAAAACCTTTGATCCTTTCAGGATATTGCTGATCTCAAAATTGCCAATCTTGGGGAAAATTCAGAAGGACTTTCCAATCCAAAATTGTGGAAATATAGTTTATCTCAAGTCCATTTCTGCCCCTTGTGACCAGAATCAAAATAAAAGGTTGCATCCTATTATAAGTTGTGCTGCCATTACCTTTGTGTATTTGTGTAATGTTAATTGTTCAGAGCACTATAATTGTACTCCTGTCCACAAAATCAATATTGATGTTAATATCTTGTTCCTTTTCAAACTACTAATGGGAGAAAGACAACAGCTCACCTAAAGATGTCTAATGGCTTGGAGCAGAGGCTAAATCAATTTACAAATTGATTTATTTATCCAAAAAGGTTATTGATAAAAAAACCCCAACCAGTATGCCACGTGACAGTCCTTACTGATCTAATTAATATCAAGATATTTGTTTTTTAAAACTAAGTTGGGATATGCTGCTTACATCCTCTCGTTCATATATTTCATTCCCATTTGTTGTCACTTCCTACAGTCATCCAGACCCCCAATATATTTAAATATAATCCAAGCAAGCACCATTAGGAACTAAAGAAGACAAAATCATCTCCCAGATGGCCTGAGAAATCTACCTAATGTTTCATAAGACGCTTCTTAATTTTCCATACAAGATCCAGGGCTTTTTTTCTCATAGAACTTCCAGAACAGAGTTCCGGCACCTTTTTTGGATGGAACCTTATAGGGTAAGCAAGGTGGGTTGTATGATGTGTATGAGTTCCGGCACCTTTTTTTTTTTTTTTTGGAAAAAAAGCACTGACAAGATCTGTTCTACACTTTCTTGTAAATGATACAATTTGAGTAGAAAATTGAATTGCAAGGAAACAGTTATTACCTCCGTGAGTAGCAGTGCCTGTGCCGAAGACTGATGCCTCCACCACAGCTTCGGCTGCATTCACCCCATTCTCCCCAAATTCCCCAGAAGTCATTTTGCCTCTTTGCTTTTCGAGCCTGTAAGAACAATTCATTAGACAGCAAGAGGGTCAACATTTGGAATCTTAAAAATACTTTCCAACAACACAATATGGTTGAGAGACAATGACAACACCATTTGTCTCATCCCTCCTTTTGCCTGTCGGTGGTATGGCAAAGAGCAAACCTCTTGTGACAATGGCATTTGTGCACACTTGAGATGATTCATCTAGGTGCACCTATCCCACGCTCAGGAAATAATGTGCTGCAACTCTCAATCTATCATTTTTACAAGTGAAAGTCAATTTGTCCTGTAGATCAGAGGACCCCAATCTTTTGAGCACCAGAGATCGGTTCCGTGGAAAGGGGTTTTTCTGTGGACTGGAGGGGGTGTGGTTTCATGTACTGCTTGCATCCCATGGATGGGGCTTTGTTTGCGCGGACCAGTTTCTGGCATGCTGCAGCCTGGTGCTATCCCCAAACCGGGGGTTGGGGACCCCTGCTGTAGTCTGTCTACACGCATACATTACACATAGGACAGGGAGAAGGGAAAAGATTTATCATATTTCAGTTCAAAAAAGAGTCATCTATCTACCAATGGATAGTTGAAGAAAGGCACAGAATGTAAGGAATCAACTATTCTTAATTACATTTGCAAGATGTATGGGCCTTTCTGGGAATCCGGAAAACAATTAAAACAGTGAGCTGTAGTGTCTATACCAGATTATCTTCTAAACGGTTTTTTTTTTTTTTTTTGACATTCTTTTTGTCAGCCTTCCAAGGTAACAAACTTGGAAACCAAAGGTGTACAATCAGATACTTCTTTTAGTATAAGCTTATAGTAACAGAATCTTGCAAGTCTGAATGTGTTTCCCTCCGTTTCCCCCTTTCTCTTCATGAGAACTAGGGAGGGACATGTCTGAGACATTTTCTCAAATTACATTTCTGGTCTGAACTCTAATTTTTTAAATTAGATCTTTGTCTTGGTTGCAGCTCTTCCTCCTGTTCCTTAAGGTTATTTCTGCTGCTCATTACATTTACAAAGTATTTATGTAACAACTTAAAGAGTATTGACAGTATACTGCCGCATAGTTCCCAGAGACCGGTGAGGTCCCACAGATTGGGCCTCCTTCAGGTCCCGTCGGCCAGACAATGTCGACTGGCGGGCCCTCGGGGAAGGGCCTTTTCTGTGGTGGCTCCGACGTGGTGGAATCAATTTCCCCCCAAGATTCGAACTACTTCCACCTTGCCGGCCTTCAAGAAAGCCATTAAAACTCTCCTGTTCTAGCAGGCCTGGGGTTGATGTCCCCGGGGGGGGGGGCGGGACACGATTGGGACATGTTGTATGAATGCACTCATTTTTATTGTTATATTTGTTGTTTTAATTTTGTACACTGCCCTGAGTCCCTAGGGGTTGGGCAGCATATAAATTTTATTAATAAATAAATAAATATTGAAAATCACATTTCAAGTCCAGCCATTTTTAAATCTGGTTTATGTTGCTAGCATTCATAAGTAAATTCTGTTTCTTTCATTTTATGAAGTCCACGGTAAACATTTTCTTCCTTGACATGTCCAAGAATACTCAAGTCAAGGAGAATAATAATGGATGGAAGATTAAGCATATTTTTCTAGAAAGAGCTCTTCAAGTCCTGGTTAGAATAACTGTAAGGTGGTGTGATGGCTCAGTGGTTAAAGATGGTGAGCATGTCAGCTGGAAAGTTGACAGCCCTGGTTCGAAAGCTGAGCACCGCTTGACAGGCTGAGTCCCCATTACAGCTCCTGCTAACCTAGCAGTTCAAAAGCATGCAAATGAGAGTAGATAAATAAGTACCACTTCGGTGGGAATGTAACAGTGTTCTATGAGCCACAGCATATAGTCATGCTGGCCACATGACCATGGAATGTCTTTGGACAACACTGGCTCCCTCTGCTAAGAAACAGAGATGAGCACCACCATCTAGAGTTGGACACGACTGGACCTTTATAATAACTGTAATAATAATAATAATACCCTTGTTTCCTCTTTATTTTGAGAAATTTCAGAAAAAAATTGGTCCTGCCCAAAAAACTTCAAGACTAACTCAGAAGTGTCCATGGGGAGAGGAGGACAAATGGGGGTATGTGTGACAGACCCACAAATCAAGGACAAATGAAATTACCTCTGAGTAGTTCTTGATGGCTGTTTTCCTATAGACAGAAATCTTGCCAGACTAAAGTAATTATCTGCATATTAGATATACCCTGTGAATTGCTAGGGGGAATCTGCCTTTGCCTTTTCCTGTACATCATAGATTCCAAGCTCCAATATCTCTTTACTCTCTGGGAAAGAGCCCCTCCCTCTTACAATTCCACATTCCATTCTACCACATTTGATAAAATAAGCTTTACAATGTTGTGATGTAAGCCCCACCAATTTTGTATGTGTGTTGTGATGTTGAAAGTAAGGAGCTTGTGTTGCAATGTAACAATCATCATATTCTATAGGTGCCTCTGAACCAATCACCGTATATCTCTGGCCTTTCATTGGTTTTATGTAATCCTGCACATCTCAAACAACTGTATACGAACAAGACTTAATTTAACAATCCCAAATCTCAAACAGAGAAAAAGTGTAAAAACCAAATTCCATTCCAAACTACTGTCTAGGTGTGCATACTAAAACTGAAATGAGATTTAACAAATTGAAACCCCAAGCCTATTTTTTTTAAAAAAAGCGCTATAAGTATTTTGCCTAATATATTCTGAAGTGTGGGAATATACTACTGTATCTCCTAATCATTCTGTAGTTTCTGGATTAAGGATCCTAGTTTGTACTGAATAAACATGTTTGTGGTAAACTGGGCTTTGGTTGTGCTTACAATATGTCAAATTGTGCCAGAATAGACTAATACTGTTCCCACTGTAAGCAGGGAGATAGCAATAAATATCAATGGATCTATCAGATGACCACAACATCTGCTAAGTGACGTGAATAGATGATTGAGAACAAGATAATAATATGGAAAACATTATTGGGCTTTTCAGACACCCAGGAATGAATGAAAATGTTGAGAATGAGAATATGTTTAGACAAAACTGTGTTCATTTTTGAATATGAGAGTTGAAACTACATCTGTTCATGCATACACATTGAAAGGCAACGGATATTTAAGTATGTTTGATTTTATTTTCCATGTTGAAGATTTGGCAGAATTAAGAATTCAAGAATTGTGCTTGTTACCAAATGAGGAACACACAATTTCTGGTGATGTTAATATTTGGTGAATTGTAGGGAAAATGGACATGAAAGAAAAAAAGTGAAAAAAGTAGAGAAAAAGTACAATGAAAAACTAGAAAGTAAGATTTCTTTATGAAAAAGCAATCTTTTATTACTCATAAAATAGATGGAAAGTGACCACTTTCTACAGGGGAACGATCGAGAACATCCTGTCATACAGCATCACAGTCTGGTTTGGAAGCATCACTGCTTCATACAGGAAGGCAGTGCAGAGAGTGGTGAGAATGACTGAAAAGATCATTGGCAGTTCTCTCCCTCCCATCCAGGACACAGCACAGAAGCGCTGCTTGAGCAGGATCCATACGATTATGGGACACTACACATCCTCTCCATGACCTGTTTTCCTTGTTGCCTTCTGGGAGGAGCCTTCGTGGTATCCGTAGCAGAACATCCAGATTCAGCCATAGTTTCATTCCATACAGCATTAACCTTATGAACTCTCAAACTTCCTCCTTCCGTTATATATTCAAGATAGACAGTATTTAATATTTATTTGCTATTTATATGTAGGGGTGTGGGACTATACATATGTTGTACATAGTATATTTAAGTCTGTGTCATGTATGTGTTTCACTTTGAGAGCGGGCAACTAAATTTCATTTTTGATGTGTGCCATTGTGCCCACAGTAAAAAAAAATGACAATAAAGGTTATCTTACCTTACCTTACTTTACCTTACCTTACCTTATCACAGGAGGATTTGGAATTACCCCAATGGGAAATATGAAAAATATATTTGGATGAATGAAGAACTGAAAGAGTCTGTACATGAGGCAAGCATGCAGATATAGAAGTGGCAGTTGTAAAAATGATGAAATACCTTCCATAATCATATAAATACAGAAAATATTGTACAAATGTGTTCAAAGAGCAAGGGTTGGATAAGATTGAAACAAACAGAGAAAATACAGGACAATTTTAACAATAGTAAAAAAAGTTGGCCTGGAAACAAGTATTAAGGAATGAATGGCTTAAAAATAACAACATGAATTGTGATAAAACAGAACTGAAAGGATGATGGCAGGCTAATGTCCAAGAAATAATGGATGAGAAGAAAGCTGTAAGTGCTGTCAGGTTAATGAAAAATGGTAAAGTTACATGTGCGGATGATGTAAATGGAGATATATGAAAACTTGGTCATTGGATTTTTATGGAGTGGCTGCACAACTTATTTAATTATGTGGGTGAAGACTTTATTTGTGCCCAACAAATGGAAGAAGGCTGCAGTGGTATCCCTAAACCAAGCAAATAGTAGCCAGAAGGAATGCAAAAAGCAGAGAGGGATTAAATTTTCAAGTGTGCCTGGGAAGGTGCCTGGCAGAATTCTGAGTGCAAAGAAGAGATAATGAGAGGTAAGAATGAATAACTTATGGAAAATCCAGTGCAACCTTAGCAAGGATAGCTGGATGCAGAACAGATTTTTGCTCTTCAAGAGATCATTGAGAAATGAATGAAGGTGGAAGCAAGGACAGAAAAGTATTGAGAGGAAGTAGTGAAAGATGTTGATATAAAGTAAATGTGGCCCGATTTCCATTTTTCCCTTATCAAATTTTATTTCTTGAGCTTACTATTCCTTTCATAAGCCTTGCATAATGTATCTTACCCTGGAAAGGAATATTGTGATGATGGCTGTATGTACGTGCTCTCTTTTAATCATTTTAAGAAAAAGTTACTTCTGTTTACCTATAAAGAACTGGTTCATTTTTTTGTTCTCATTATAAACCCATATTAGATAAAGTTTATGAAGCTGATCTTGTATG